AAAGGCAGAGAGACAAACCTTCCATCCACAGGTTCATTCTATAAATGGCCTACAGCAGCCAGAGCTGAATCTGGTCGAAGCCAGGAGCCAGGAATTCAATCTGGGTCTCCCATGTGGATACAAAGGCCCAAGCACTTGGGCCATCTTTCACTGCATTCTCTGGCACATTATCAGGGAGCCAGATAGAAAGCAAAGCAGTCAGGGCTGGAATGGACACACTCATCTGATACAAAATACAGGTGTTACAGCTTAATCCAGCAACAGAGCCCACCCCTGATGCCTCAAACATCCCTCAATGACAGCATACTTCAAACAACTAATTTAAAAGAAAATGTACCATGTAATTATGTGATGCGAAAAATGTTTTAAACAGCTGACAAGCTTTTATGATGTTGGTGTGCTACTACAGTCCCATTGACAGGGTTGCACAGTTACAGGAAATTTAACAGATGAAGGAAAATCAGCAGACTGGAGAGACAGCAGATAGCAGGACGCACACTGGTCTCGATCACCGGGAGCCCTGCCCTGCCGAAATGCAAGCAGATGGTGGCCCATAGAAGGTGCTAAAAGGAGACCAACCCTTAGCAACTGCGTGCTGGGGAGAAGAAAGGTAGGAGGCTCTGCAGGAGCACGGTGAGCACCCGCCCTGCCTCCTCCCGGGCTGCATAGCCGCCCAGAGGCTCAGCAGCGAGCCTTCTTTTCCTTCAACACACTCCTTTCAATCAGGACGTGGGAACTCCAGGTCTTCAACACACCAAGGGATCAGCAGGGGTTCCCCTACCTGTCACTTCATTCCTTAGCAAATTGTTCAGGCTGAGGAAGTTATGGTGCAAAACCAGCAAGAAGAGGATAACAGCCAGGACCAAGATGATTATATTTACTGAAACAGATGGGGAAAACAAATCTACATTACATCTCTTTGCCTCTGACCAGGTACCAAAGAGCAGGACTTGTAGAAATGGCATACCTTTGCGGACTGGCATCTTTTTCCTCTGTCTTGAGTAAACATTAGTTATTACCCCTACAAGACAAAACAAGCCCCCAAAGTGAGTGAGTGTGTGAGAACAGTCATCGAAAAGCGCAAGCAGGGAGACACCAGAGGAACAGGGGATACTGCGCGAGAACCTCGGCTTGTGTCAGCAGTTCTCAAGGCCCTAACTTTGGACTAGAAAATTTTATAATCATATTGAAATACTTCCAAATAACTCGAAGAAATATACAGCCTTGAACTTTATGTTACATGCCACCAGATGAAAGGCAGAAGGAAAAAGTACCAAAAGTCCTACCTGCCCTAAACCACTACAGAAATGCTTCCCAAGGAATTCCTGCTTCAGCTTCCTTGATCACACAGGGACCGTGACAAAGCCATCTGAGGCCTGAGCTTCATCCCCACTAACCTGAGTGTCCTCAGGATAAAGAACACTTGCAAACTCGCCTGACAAAACAACAAAACAGTTAACACAAACAAAAATGAATCTTAATAACAAAAATGCTATTCTCAAAGTGAAGATCAGCTAACAGAAAAAAAGCAGCACTCCATCCCAAGGCTTCATCTCTCCTGGTTAACTGCCCTTTTCTTACCACACTGACATCTTCACTTTTCAAAACAAATAGTTCACTGGAAACAAGAATGTGGAGCATTGGTTCGAGTGCCATCTGCTCTATTTTTTTTTTAATCACAAAGTCAGATATACAGAGAGGAGGAGAGGCAGAGAAGAAGATCTTCTGTCCGATGATCCACCCCCCAAGTGACTGCAACGGCTGGAGCTGTGTCAATCCGAAGCCAGGAGCCCGGAACTTCTTCCAGGTCTCCCACGCGGGTGCAGGGTCCCAAGGCTTTGGGCTGTCCTCAACTGCTTTCCCAAGTCACAGACAGGGAGCTGGATGGGAAGTACAGAGCTGCCGGGATGAGAACCGGTGCCCATATGGGATCCCGGTGCGTTCAAGCCGAGGACTTTAGCCGCTAGGCCATGGCCCAGCTGCTCTGCTTCTAATCCATCTTCCTGCTTGAGGCCTGGGAAATCAGTGAAGGATGGCCAAAGTAATTGGGTCTCCTGCACCTTCTTGGGAGACCTGGAGGAAGCTCCTGACTCTTGGCTCTGGCTCGGCCCAGACCTGGCTGTTTTGGCCACGTTTGGAGTAAACCAGTGCATGGAAGAGGGTCCTCCCTCTCTGGATCTTTCCCCCTCCCTCCTTCCTTCTTTCAAACAAAATAAATAAAAAAATAAAGTGGTATATGATTGGAGTAGCACATGCATTTGTGTTATGCAAGCCAGACAGACACTCTGAGCCAGTATGTGATATGTTGAAGTAAATCTGCATTGGCAGAAACCACCTGTCCCTAAGTCATGGTGACACTCATTGTTTTTTCTTTAAGATTTTTTTTTTAATTGGAAAGTCAGATATACAGAGAGGAGGAGAGACAGAGAGAAGATTTCCGTCTGATGATTCACTCCCCAAGTGGGTGCAACGGCCAGTGCTGCGCTGATCCAAAGCCAGGAGCCAGAAGCTTCTTTCAGTTCTCCCACATGGGTGCAGGAACCCCAGGCTTTAGGATGTCCTTGACTGCTCTCCCAGGCCTCAAGCGGGGAGCTGGATGGGAAGTGGGGCTGCAGGGGTTAGAACTGGGATCCCGGCATGTTCAAGGCCAGAATTTTAGCCATTAGGCCGCCATGCCAGGCCCTGTGACAGCCACTGTAAAAGGCCATGTCTTATATTTCCTTCCCTGGTTCTACTCCTGGCAAGGCAGCTTCCCTGACTGTTTCCAGGGACTCTCCAAACAAAACTCCCACAGGGACCCTGAGATGGAACAGTAGCTATGCTTCTCTAGGATTACAAAGTTGCATACAAGTTAATTAGCAATTTTCAGTATCCAATGAAAATTCATCTTTTGTTTAGTGATTATGAAATGTTCATTCCCCCATTACTCTATTACTGTCAACAAAGGCACACACGCACGTGCGTGCACACACACTCACCCAGAACATAAAAGAAATCTTAGGGGAAAAGAACAGTTTTATGCCCCTACCACCTCGGTCAAACCACTAACGGACAAGTTTCTCTGCTCCCCGGCTCTCGGCACTCTGAAAGCCTAAGAAGGCAGTGTGGTGTGTAGCTCCACTTCCTTATCTCCTATACTCTAGATCCTCCTCCAACCACTCTTCCCAACCTCCCTCCCCTTCAAACTGCTGTGCAAGTCACCAAGGCTCGAGGCCATCTTTAAGCTCTCCCTGCCCCATCCCCTCGGACAGCCTCAGCTCAACCTCCTTTCTCAATCATGAAACTATCTCATCTCTCTTCTCCCTGCACCTAACCTAAGCTCCACGAAAACAGGGACCACAGGGAAAATGCTTCCTGACATATCCCTGATAGCTCACCCCATCAAAATAAACAAACAAACAAACAAACAAAAACACACGTGGCATCTGGCAAGGGAATGCAATCTTTGAAAATAATTACCAAAACAAATTCCAACTTAAAGAAGAGCAAAGATTCCAACGGTATTCTCTCCCACTGAATTTAACTAGCAATTTCTTTCTCCCTGAGTTTTATCTTTCAAATGCCATCATGTCCTACCGCTGAACTATGAAGTGCACTGGATGAGAGCCCACACAAGGGAATGCAAGTATTTACACACACAACTAACACCCATCCAAACACACCGGAGGAAGTACCCAGGATGCTAGGCACCCAGGATAAACTCCCTTCCCACCCCCGTTCCTGCTCCCAGCTGGCACTGCACCTTCTGAGGTCATTCACTTGTCTGCACTTTGCACTTCAGTGCCTGCCAGGATGACTTTGGGGATACAGCCCTCACCCTAGCTGCCTCCTGGGCTTTCCGGGAGCCTCCCTCCAAACTTTCCCCTGGGCTGAAGCAGCAACTGCCTCCCTAACCAGCTCCTATGCCTCTAGGCCTCGATTCCACCTGTCCTCTGCTTGCGTGCTGGGCTGCCTGTCTGCCTCGGGGCTCCCAGCACAAACAAGGTATCTGAAGGTGAGCGGCAGCCACATCCCCGCCCACAGAGAACCAAGATCCCACGGTCTGCTGATAATGCAGCATACACATCACAGAGGCCAGGGCCCTCTAGAACGATTTCTGTCTCAAACGTAGGCAGGAGAGGGTCAGATCTTCTGAACTGTCCACCAGCCCTGACTGAGATATGAGGGACCGCTTGCCTGCTCTCTAGTGGGAAGGCCCACAGTTGCTGGTAAAGCCAGCGTGTCCTCAGCTCCCCCCAGGATGCTTTCCCTTGGTGAGAGGACCGGGGTCTCTGATTCAGGGAGATTCCTTTTTCTCCAAAGGACGTGGTCGCGGGTGGGAGGCGGGGGGAGTGGTGGATCCCCAACACTAACTATCAACAGGGCTGCCTAAGGCTTAGCAAATGACCGAGAGGTGGCGCGACGCCCCGAGGCGTCCGCCAGACCCACAGACTGCACGGGTTAGGGATGCTAGGCGTCGTTTCCCGTCAGCATCTCGTGGCAACCCGTCTTACCTGCAGCGGGTGGAAGAGGAGGAGGAGGAGGAGGAGGCGGCGGCGCCGCCCAGGCCGCCCGCGCTCCGGCCCGCCCCGCCAGCTCAGCGCCCGAGCCGCAGGCCCCGCCGCCGGGCCCGCTGCCAGGCCGCCCGCGTCCTCCGCCCTCCGGACCGAGCCCACCCTCCCGGGCGTTCCGCCACTGCCGCGGAATCTCACAAGGCCCGGCTCAGCACCCCCGACTTTCCCAGCGCGAATGCGTCAGGCGGGGCAGGCGCCGCGGGGCAGCCCCGCCGCCGCCGGGGTCCTCGCTGAGGAAGGGCCGTCGCCATGGAGACGCGGCTCGCGCCGGCAGCCGTTAAGCTCCCGTGGAGGTGCGGTGGACTTGAGTGCGTGTGACCGAGGCCGGGACTCTCGGCACCCCCAGCAGCCCTGACGGCGAAGCCTCCGCGGGCTCGCGATGGCTTGACCCGCTCGCCGCCCCAGGCCTGCCGGCCGCTGCGCCGCAACACAGCCAACTTGGAGAGCACACGTCGCCGAGCGATGGCGCGGGGCGGGGCCACGGGCAGCCAGGGCCTGGCGGAGACATCCGCTTCCGGGGCCGCGGCCATCGCTCTGCCCGGCTCGGAAAGCTCCCCGGAGTGTTTGCGGTGTCCTCCGGTGCTTCAGTGTTGCCTTCCCGCGCCCTGCTGCTCGCCCTCCGGAGTAGCCATGCTGGAACAACTGAGCTCGTTTCCCACACAGATGGTGAGAGCGTGGCCTCCTGTCCGAGCTCCGACTCGGGGGCTGCGTGGCTGCTGGCCCCGGTGGCTACCGTTCACCCTGTACCCCCCGACCTGAGCCTCCCGGGTTCCCCGTTTCCCCGCACGAGCTCCGCTTAGGATGCTTCGATTCTGCCCCTCCCCACCCCAGAATTTGATTCCTGGCCAGGCCTTCTGGGGGAACCCCTGATAGTGGGGCTGCCTTGCATCCAAGCTGTGGGGTGAGAGCCGCAATAGGGACCAACTCCGTGTTTGCTGTCCTCCATCCTCTAGGATTACAAGGGCCAGAAGCTGGCTGAACAGCTGTTTCAGGGAATTATTCTTTTTTCTGCAGTGAGTACTGATTTTGTATTATATTTTGACCCTGAGTTTGTGTGTATTTATTAAGTCTTCCCCGTCTCCCCCGCCTTAACTGTGTTTTCATGTGCTTTGGCTCTAGATAGTTGGATTTATCTACGGGTACGTGGCTGAACAGTTCGGGTGGACTGTGTACATAGTTATGGCTGGATTTGCCTTTTCATGTTTGGTAAGAAATGTGTGGTTTTCTGAGTTGGGGCGGTTTGGTTGGAGGTAGCAGTGCTAGGAGCCAGTCATGGGCGGCTTCTCAGAAAAGTAGATACCAAGAGTGTCAGATGGCATGAACCGCAGAAAGGGGCCACGGCTAGCAGGGATTCCTCCGGGTGCTCATGTATTGCCTGGGAAGTAACTCAGAGCTTTTGCGGGAGTGGAAAACATTTGTATGAACATATCTATAAAGCATTTTTTAGCACAGAACCAGGTTCTATACCTACTGGTCTTCCTGGCTAGCACCGATGGCATCGTGATCCGTTTTCTCTCTTCTGGCCCAGCTGACACTCCCCCCATGGCCAATCTACCGCCGACATCCCCTCAAATGGTTACCTGTTCAAGACTCGTGCACAGAAGACAAGAAACCAGGAGACAGGAAAATTAAGAGGCATGCTAAAAACAACTGACTGGGGTTTCTCTGATTCGGCACCTGCTTCTGTTCCCCGAGATGAGCTACACTGCTTTCATAACCAAAATCACCTATGCTCTTACAGCACCGCGGCCAGACCTCATTCTGTTTACATTTCATTTTAATCCACTTGAGGTTTCATTTATAAATATTTTAAACCCTCTTCATAATCTTGCTGTGAAATGGAAAACAGAAAATGCAAGTATGGAAAGTTTCAGGTGTACATAAATAATAAATGCCTCATGATAGTCCAGTTTGTCAGTTTTATAATTCATTATTAAATCATTAAGTCCCTTGAATGTTTCCAATTAAAACTCATAATGCAGGTCTGTGTCTCGCAGGCCTGCTGTTGACTGTGCTGCAAGCAGGACTCAGTGAAAGCAAAGTTAGAAGCATGGTAAGGCCTCGCCACTGCCTGCCACACCAGCATCCCATATGAATGCTGGTTCAAGTCCCGACTGCTCCATTTCAGACCCAGCTCCCTGCTAATGCTCCTCAGAAAACTAGAAGACGGCCCAACTTCCTGGGCCCCTACTCCCCACGCGGGAGACCTGCAGGAAGCTCCTGGCTTCAGCAAGCCCCAGCCACAGTCATTAGAGCCATCTGTGGAGTGAAGATCGATTTGGATGTTTGATATATGACTCTCCTCCTCAAACTCTACCTTTCAAATCTTTAAAAAAGCAAAAATCATGGTTCTATAGCTACAAGTTCCTAAAATATTCTTAATAGCACCTATAAAAAATTTACTGCTGTGGATTTGTGGTAAAGTAACATTTTAGCTGAAATATGGGTTTTGAAAAGGTAAGAAAGAACAATCATATCAAATTATAAGAAATGTTAAAAGTTAGAAGCTCTACAGAGGGTTACAAACTGGCTTACCTCTTGTTCTGAAAACAACATCCAGAGGCTGAAAACACCAGCATGGCTGCTTTAAGCTGTAAGAATGAAAAAGGTGTTTGATGGCCAGAAGCATCAGATGGTACAAAGAGCACAGCCAGGATGTCACTGTTCTGATGTGCTGAACAAGAGAACTCTATACAGCTGCCCGTAAGTGCACAGGAGCTGAGCAGAGGTGTGGGTGGCGTGCCACAGTAGGCTGTTACCCTGTGATGCCAGTGTCCCATGTGAGCAGCAGTTGGAGTCCTGGCTGCTCCATTTCCAAACCAGCTTCCTGCTCATATTCCCCAGGAAAAGGCATTTTGCCTTTCAAATAAAATCTTTAGAAAAATAAACTATTAGAACTACTTCTGCTCAGCACTCTTCCTCTCAGAACCTGGCAGATGAAATCCACAAGCAACAGACAGAAAGGTTTTGCATCTGTTCCCTGAGTCTGGAACATCACCCTCACCCCCAGGACTTGCTCCCTCCATCAGGTCTACCCAGATAGACTACGAAGTGGTGCTCCCTGGGACCCTTTCAGAAGGCGGCATGCCGCACCATTCTGCATCTGCTTCACCTGTGTTTATCATGGCAGTTAGTACATCTAACGGTGTTCGGTCAGTTCTCATCAGAGCCTCAGCTCCCTGAAAAGAGGAACCTTGTGTTTGCTCCCTGTTGCTGACCTCATGCCTAGCGGAGACCTTGACATGTTATAGCTGCTCAACTCTTACTTAATGAACAATACAGAATTAGGCCACCCAACATGGTGCTGTAGTCCAATGTGTACAAGGAAGTTCTTCAGTCAGACTACGATTCAAGGGCTAGTCATCTGACTTAACGGCTACCATACTGAAGAGTGCAAATGGCATTTCTGTCTTAAAATGCTGCTAATTGGGTCTTACAAAGGAACTTTGAATAATGTTAAACAGAAGTGATTTTTATACCAGTTTTATTTAATGCTCACAGTGCCATTATAATTGTGAATAAGCAACAGGGAAGAGAATCCCCAAAGAGAGGCTGCACAGGTCATACACACCAACGGCCCACAGCGCAGCTGAAGCAAGGTGCTTCCTGAGCCTGTGAAGAGTCCGAAGCATTTCTGAAGATACCAGAATTTTTGGAAAACAGTCAAAGACAGACTGAAATATGACCAAAGGTGGATTTATAAGAAAATATGTTATGAAGTAGTTTTAAATTAGTGAGATTTTAAAAGAATTAAGCATTCAAGGAAGAACCACAAAATAACCAAAGACTTGGCTAGAAACTTATGTATTTTTATTTTGCTTACACATTAAGACTAAGAAAGCATGGGGAGTTTTTTTGTGTGTGTGAAAATACCATGTACTACTTCATAACAATTCATTAGAGGTAAAGGACCTAGCACAATAGATCAATTGGCTAGTCCTCCACTTACCAGTGCCAGCATCCTTTATAGGTACCAGTTCATATCCTGGCTGCTTCACTTCCCATCCAGCTCGTGGCTTATGGCCTGGGAAAGCAGTCGAGGATGGCCCAAAGCCTTGGGACCCTGCACCCACGTGGGAGACCCAGAAGAAGCTCCTGGCTCCTGGTTTTGGATCAGCTCAGTTCTGGCCATTGCAGCCATATGGGGAGTGAACCAGTAGATGGAAGATCTTTTCCTGTCTTTTCTTTCCTCTGTAAATCTGCCTTTCCAACAAAAAACAAAAGCAAAAAACCAAGGCCAAGGGCTGGGGCTATTAGTACTAGAAGGGCAGGCAGGACACATTGTTTACTTAACCACTCTATCCCCAGTTCCTGGCTTATAACTTAACACACAGGAACAACTAAGCTTTAAAGAAACTGAAAGGAAGGCCCAGCGTGGTAGCTGAGTGGCTAGGGCCCTTGCCTTGCATGCACTAGGATCCCAGATGGGCGTCAGTTCATGTCCTGAAGGCTTGACTTCCCATCCAGCTCCCTGCTTGTGGCCTGGGAAAGCAGTTGGGGACTGTCCAAAGTCTTGGGACCCTGTACCTGCATGGGGACCCAGAAGAAGCTCCTGGCTCCTGGCTGCAGATTGGCCAGCTCCAGCGTTTGTGGTTACTTGGGGAGTGAACAGGCAGATGGAAGATCTTTCCCTGTCTCTCCTCTGCAAATCTGACTTTACAATACAAGTAAATCTTATAAAAATTTATTAGGATTTCTGTTTTATTTTGTAAAAAAATTTATTTCACAGAGGAATATTCCCTCATTAAACAAATATATGCTGTAAATCATACATTTAAAACACAAAGTTATGAGGACAACAAACTTCAGGAAGACAATGTTAAATATGTTCAATGAAATTAAAAAGATGTGGGCTTGACTTATAAATAGCTTAACTGGGAAAGCAGTTCACTTTTAAGAAGTATAGTCACTGGAGGAAAACTCTGGTAAAACAGATATGCAGACACATTGATTTACAAAGCCAAATACTTGTAAACCCTAAATAAGGTTAATATTAAGTGAAAATAAAATATATAAAGTCCATTAGTATGTAAAAAAAGGAAGTCAGTTGCTCAAGAACTACAAAGACCTGCATGTTCTTTAAACTTAGTCCTAGAATAGTGAACTTGCTATGCTAGTCGCTAAGGGCTATGTTAGCAAATGTTTTTGCTGAACAAACATGTCATTGGTTTCTCTTACTGCCTTGACCTCTTAGTACAATACAAAACTTACAATCCAGTATTCTATGGCCTCATTTTTAACTATTACCTTAAAAAATAAAGTTCTAAATATAAAGTTGGTGATTTAAGGCTCAGTAAGTATAGCCACATACAACATTTTCATCATAAAGACAATATCAAAACCAAAATGTTTTTCTTTATGAGCTTGCTCAATGTTACTTTGTTCTGTCCAATATATTTTCAGTAAGAAAAGGATAATGGATGGATTCCAAACAATTGTGTTTCACTTTTAAGCTAAAAACCCTGGAAAATGGGCCTTTAGTTCTGGCAGCAGATAAAAACATTCTCAAAAATTCACATTTTCCTCAAAAAATTTTAACTGGCGAGCTTTCATACCGTATGCAATATACTTTTCACCCATGTGCTCTCGCAGCCGTACCTATTTGGGAGACAGAAAATCAGTATGTTTTAGAAAATATATGTCTGTAATCTTAAGGGCTTTTCTAAACATGGAAGCCACAGGGCACAATACTGTTACAGTTAAGGAAAAAAAAAAAAACAGGCTCGATTTTAAAATCTTAAGAAATTAAAGAGAAACTAAGAAAAGTATGTGTAATGTTCACACCAAAAGATTAATAGCATTAATATATGGTTAGTAATAAAACAGAATTGATAAAATTCAGCAATTTGTGTGTAAGTGCAAGTCCCATACGCTTTACAAAATAGTCATTCAAATGACCAGTTAACAGAATTCAATCTACTGCGTCACTCAATGTATCTCTGTTCAAAGAAATGCTTGACATTAAATGACAGCATGTTTAGTAGATACCATCCATCCACCTCCTGATATATGAGGACACATCGTGGTATTCCTGCCAAAACTGCAATAACCTAAGTCTAAGGGCAAAACATTAGAAGTGTGTTAAACCAAAGGGGCTTTAATAACACACATGGCCTTTACATTTAAAAAAATGTCAACACCATGAAAATCCCAAAGGCCTGTTAAAACAGCTGTCTAAACACAAAATATAAGCCTAATCGTCCCATATCCAGTATAAGGATTTCTGCAGGATTTCTGCAGGGTCCTTAGTGAAGCTGGTAAAAATTATGTTTAAAACCATTTGATGTCCCTGAAAATGGCCCAAAGGACTTACATCGTATGAAAAACCATTTCCTCAAGAAAATTTATACCAAGGGGCCAGAGCTGGAGCATGGCAGACAGAGCAACTCTTGTGAGGTCAGCACTGCAAGTGAGTGACCATTTGTGCCCTGGCTGCTCCACTTCTGAGCCAGCTCCCCGCTAACCCACTGGAAAAGCAGAGGATGGCTCACATGTTTGTGTTACTGCCACACACATGGGAGAATGGATGAAGTTCCTGGCCTCTGGTTTCGACCTGGCCCAGCCTAGCCATTGAAGCCATCTAGGGAGTGAACTAGCAGATAAAGATCTCTCTCTCTGTCCTTTCTGCAATATCACATAGTCAAGTTTCTAAATGGAATGGAGTAATCAGACCTGTGTCACTGTCCCCACCCATAGACCAAGTCACATTTGGACTTGGCCTAGGAGAAGAAGCAGGCCTTTAAACAGGATGCAAAACTTGGTTCACAGTATGAAGTTCAGATCTAGAATTTTAACAGTAGAAGCAGAAATGGAAAGCAGCTAAGAATTAGTAGATTCACTGGAAATACAAGTGAAATTATAAAATGAACTTGTTTGTGGGAGAAAATGGGAGACATTAACTAGGAAGAGTCTTCCTGCAGCCAAAAACTATGAAACACTAATCTTGGGAACAATGCCATCCAGAGAGTCCAAGTTGGATCAGATTAGTCTGTGGAACAATATATTCACCAGCATTGCTGAGAAACAATAAAGCAACCCATTGGAAACCAGAGGATCTTAACAGCTAAATTAAGTCTGGCAAAGAGAGAGCCCTGCCAAGCCCACAATAATTTCAAGGTTATAATTATAACTTCACTTACCAATAACTAAAATAAAGATCTTTGGTAAATACATGGAAAATTATAAAACATACAACAATTCAATGAAGCTTTGTAATTCTACTTTGTTTTCTACATGATTTAAGACTAGTACATTAAAAAAATTATTAGTCTAAGGCTCAGCGTGGTAGCCTGGCGGCTAAAGTCCTTGCCTTGCACGTTTCAGGATCCCATATGGGCTCTGGTTCTAATCCTGGCAGCCCCACATCCCATCCAGCTCCCTGCTTGTGGCCTGGGAAGACAGTCGAAGACAGCTCAAAGTCTTGGGACCCTGCACCCATGTGGGAAACCTAGAGGAGGCTCTGGGCTCCTGGCTTCGAATGGGCTCAGCTCCAGCCGTTGCAGCCACTTGGGGAGTAGATTAGCGGAGAGAAGATCTTCCTATCTGTCTCTCTTCCTTTCTGTATATCTGACTTTCCAATAAAAATAAAATCTTTTTTAAAAGATTATTAGTCTAAAAGTCAGTATTACTGTGATTATAGCTGATAATTCCATGTTTTGTATCCTATGTAATTTAGGAGAACAGTGCATTGAAGAAACTAATAATTGGGGCCGGCCTGTGGTACAGTGGGTTAAACGCTTACAATATTGACGTCCCATATTTCAGTGCTGGTTTTAAGCCCCTGCTGATCCACTTTTAATCCAGCTCCCTGCTAATGCACATGGGAAAGCAGCAGATGGCAACCCAAGTACTTGGGTCCCTGACACCCTCGGGGGAGATCTGGGCAGAGTTCCTGGCTCCTGGTTGCAGCCTGCCCAGCTATGGCTATTGTGGCCATTTGGGAAGTGAACCACCAGATGCAAGATCTCTGTCACTCTACCTTTCAAAGAATTAAATCTTTAAACAACATATTTAATATACACAAAATGAAAAAATGAAATGAGAAGTGAATTAAGATATTTCACCATAGGGCCAACATTAATTCTAGCATCCCATATTTGAGTCTCTGGGAAAGCAACAAGTACTCGGGACCCTGCCACCCAAACAGAAACCCAGATGGAGTTCTGACCCCTAGCTTTGGCTTGGCTCAGGCCCAGCCCCAGCCATTATGGCCACTTAGGGAATGAACTAGCAGAGATCTTTCTCGCTTTCTCTCTCTTTCTCTGTAACTGTCTTTGAAATAAATGAATGAATCCAAGAAGTTATGGCCTGGCGTGATTGGCTAAACCTTCAATTCCAAGTACTGGGATCCCATGTGGGCAACGGTTGATGTTCCAGCTGCTCCACTTTCCATCTAGCTCCCTGCTTGTGGCCCAGAAAGGCAATGGAGAATGGCCCAAGTCTTGAGATCCTGTACCCACATAGGAAGCCTGGAGGAAGCTCCTGGCTCCCAGCTTTGAATCAGCTCAGCCCCGGTGTTGTGGCTACTTGGGGAATGAATCAGTGGATGGAAGATGTTCCTGTTTTGTCTCTTCTCCTTTCTGTATATCTGACTTTCCAATAAAAACAAAATAAATCTTTAAAACAAGCAAACACAAATGAATATGTTATATACTGCTGGCAGGGATGAAAAAATGCTGTGGTCACTTTGGAAAATAGTTCAGAAATCCCTAAAATGTTTAACTATAAAGTTACCATATAACCCAGCAACTGCAAGTCCTAGGTATTCACTTGAGAGAACTGAAGCCACATAGAAACTTGCTGACAAGTGTTCACTGCAGCATTGTTCACAACAGCCAGAAAGTAGAAGCCACCACCTGCTCATTAGCTGATGAATACACAAAAACCCCTCAATGGGATTTTGCCATCTAAAGGAATGCTACAACACAAATGGATCTTAAGAACATTATACTAACAGAAAGAGGCAATACTCGAAAGGCCTTTTATCTAATTTTAGTATATGTGCTGCCAAAGCACGCACAAGGCCTTTTATCTAAATCATGTGTTCCCATTTATACGAACTGTCCAGAATGGGCAAATCTACAAGGGCAGAAATATTAAAGGTTGCTCATAGGTAAGGGAGGGAGGGAATAATTGGGAATGACTGTTACTGGGGTACACTGGGCTTCATCTGGACATAGGAGAATGTTCTTATGTTGATTACAGCGATGCTTACATAACTCTGTGAACAAATTTTTAAAAAATCACTGAAATTTATATGTTAAAGGGGCAAACTGCATTTTCAAAGTTTGTTGAAAAGATTCTATAACACAACTATCGACTACACAGTCACAAGGGCGCTCACCTCTCTCTGCAAGTCATCCTCTTCTTCCAACAGGTCATATACCTGCTCTAAAAGCTGAACTCCCAGGCCCTGGATGACATCAGCTCTCAAGACTTCAACTATTCTCCTGATCTTTTCAGAACCCGGCATGACAGCTAGGAAGCAAGATCAAAAACAGGACAAAGTAAATCCTTTCCCTTCCAAGGCAAAAAAGCTTAAAAAAAAAAAAAAAACAACAACTCTGCTAAGATTCTTTTCACTTTAACAAGAGTTTGATTTAATGATTTCTTGTTTATTTTTAACAACTAAAAAATTTACTTATGGGCCCGGCGCGGTGGCGCAAGTGGTTAAAGGTCCTCGCCTTGCACGCCCGGGATCCCATATGGGCGCCAGTTCTAATCCCGGCAGCCCCGCTTCCCATCCAGCTCCCTGCCTGTGGCCTGGGAAAGCAGTCGAGGACGGCCCAAAGCTTTGGGACCCTGCACCCGCGTGGGAGACCCGGAAGAGGCTCCTGGCTTCGGATCAGCATAGTATCGGCCCGTTGCGCTCACTTGGGGAGTGAATCATTGGACAGAAGACCTTCCTCTCTGTCTCTCCTCTCTGTATATCCGCCTTTCCAATGAAAAAATAATAAAAATAAATCTTTAAAAAAATTTACTTATACACTTAAGCTCATCTCCTTAGCCTAAAAGCTATCTTAATAGCTTTGGAAACAACTGTCTAGCTTGTAGAAAATCCACACGAACAATCCTAAATATTTATTTTGAAAAATCAATTTTCTTTATACTTTTCATGATTACATTTGCTATTTTACCTTTTACGGAGTTATCAAAATGAAACCAAAGGGGAAGAAAAAAAATTTTGGTGTAACATATTTCTCTGAGAAACACCTTCTCCAGTTTCCAGAAAGGATAAACTGATCACCTGGAGGCAGCTCTTTAAAATGGAGCTGCCCTGCCTCTTCCGGAACTTTTCCATGCAGTATCAGTGTGTCCCGATACTTGCGGTGAAGTCTGAATTCTGACACTGGATTTGGTACTGTCAGATCTTCACAGCTGTCCTTAGAATCCAACTTCAGAGTCTGCGTCATCAGTTGTACCAAGTCACTCATTTCATTGGTATGACCTTTCCTGGAAAAGGAAAAAAAAAAAAAGCAAAACGAGCTTTGGGGACTTTTACTTCCAAATGCTGACATAAACATCCTGCAAGAAACAGATATAAACTCTGGGTAAAAATGTACAAATCAGCTCTGCAGAGGCAATGGAAAATAAAATCTGTGGGCAATTCTAAAGGAAGTCAGCAGACTTTAATCGAGGAGCAGGCCACAAGCAGCTCAAAGTACAAGTCTTTCTGGCCTGCAGAATCCAAGGACATAATTCAGGACAACCAATGTCACTACAAAGTGAAGAGGAATCTTGGAAAACAAAGGGCCCAAAAGACTCAGATTCTGTGTACAATGAAAGATTTACTTTATTTATTTGAAAGAGGGTGATAAAGAGATGTTCCATCTGCTAGCTTACCACTCAACTGATTGCAACATCTGAAGCTGGGTCAAGCAGAAGCCAGGGGCCTGGAACTCCATCCTAGCCTTCCACGTGGGTAACCTAAGCCCAAATACTCAGGCCATCTTCCACGGCTTTCCCAGGCACATTAGCCAGGAACTGGATCAGAATGTAGCAGCCAGGTACACCACAACACTAGCCCTAAGTGTACAAACTGAACTACACTCAAGCATAATGCTCAAGAATATCAGTTCCAAATCAGGTAAGACGCGCAGTGCCTGGCATTCAGGGCAGGTATTTTGGCAAAGTAGTTAGAATACAGCATGGGCCACTGCCATCCAATCTCAGAGTACTTGAACCTGGGTTCAAGTCCTAGCTCTGCTTTCAATTCCAGCTTCCTGCTGATATGCACTTCAGGAAGGAGTAGGCAATGGCTCAAATAGTTAATTCCCTGCCACCTACATGGGAGAACCTGGATTGAGTCTCACCCAGCTCCATCTTGGTCTTGTTCCAACTGTTGTGGACATCCAGGGCCTGAAACAGCAGATGAGGGGTGAGTGGGTGAGTGAATGTGTGTGTGTGTGTGTGTGTGTGTGTGTGTGTGTGTGTGTGTGTGTGTGTGTGTACGTGCACTTTTCACAGCACTGTGTCACAGCAGGTTAGGTTGTAGCCAGTGACACTGGTATACCATAATGGAGTACCAATTCAAGTCCCAGCTGCTCTATTTCTGATCCAGATCCCTGCTGATGCACCAGGGAAAGCAGCAGATGGTGGCCCAAGTACTTGGATCCCTGCCACTCATATGGGAGAGATCTAGACAGAATTCCAGGATCCTGGCATTGGACTGGCCCAGACCCTGCCACTTTGGACATTTAGGGAATGAACTAGCAGATCAAAGATCTCTCTCTCCCTCCTTCTGTCACTTTGCCTTTTAAATAATTAAAATAAATCTTTTTCAAAAAGAAATCATCGAGCCCATTGTGATGGCTCAGTGGCCAGATTCCGCCTTGCACACCAGGATCCCATATGGGCACCAGTTGTATTCCCTGCTTGTGCCCTGGGAGGGCAGCAGAGGATGGCCCAAAGACTTGGGACCTTGCACCCATGTGGGAAACTAGGAAGAAGCTCTTGGCTCCTGGCTTCAGATTGGCTCAGCTCCAGCTGTGGCAGCCATTTGGGGGGGTGAACCAGCAAATGGAAGATCTTTCTGTCCCTCTCTCCTTCTCTCTGTAAATCTGCCTTTCCAATAAAAATAAATCTCATAGAATTGTGAAAAGAAAAAAATCGGTAATGGAAATGAACCTAGAAGTGGAATAAATATCATAATTACTACATGAGGCTATAAAAGTATATATATAAATTTATTTCATATGTCCAAGGTAAATAAAAAGATGGACACGTCAAGGAACAGTGGAAGATATAAAAAAGTGGAAGATATAAAAAAGATCCACACCAAACTTCCAAAAGTGACAAATGGGAATGCGTTAAATATACAGGACAGGAGTAACAAATGAGACACTTCAGCAGAAAAGACTGGAAAATTTTTCAGCAATTAGAGTAACAGATGTACGAAAAACAAATGAAATAAAAAGTAAAATAAAGAAGAGAGCTGGAGTGGGCAGCAAGGCATCTTTAAGCAACCTAATATAAATGTAAGCGGAACCCCTAGGAGAGCAGGAGAGGTCCAAAAAATGCATGAAGTAATAATGGTCAAGACATTCTAGAAGAATTCTGAATACAAACAAATGTGCTCATGGAAGAGGTATCATCAGCTCCAGCACGAATCATAAACCATTTCCATTTGTAATGTTATCAGTGAGGGTTCTGAAGCTCTGAATACTCTGTAAATGCGCATTTAGGACCCATTCAAACAAACAGTTCATGGAGGAAGACAGTAAAGCAAGAACTTACCCTTCCCTGGAATCCCCATCTGATTTATCAGTTGAACTTGTAGAAGAACTCAATTCATCCTCAGACAGAGAATGGATCGATTTCCTTTCCTATTTATGTTAGAAAAGAAACAAAATACCATGTGACATGCAACCAGAAGGATGTAAGAAAAACACTCTCAAATGTTACGACTAAATGCAAGTGATGTTAGGTCTAACTTAACAGGAGAAACGAAAGGATATAAAAATTGAGTTTTTACATAACTGATGCATAAAATTCATGCATGAAGTTTACCAACAGGGGCCTGGCACAATAGTGTAGTGGTTAAGGTTCTCACCTTGCACGCGCCAGGATCCCATAACGGTGCCGGTTCTAATCCCAGCAGCTCCACTTCCCATCCAGCTCCCAAAGCCTTGGGACCCTTCACCCATGTGGGAGAACCAGAGGAGGTTCCTGGCTTCTGCTTGGGATTGACTCAGCTCTGGCCATTGCGGTCACTTGGGAAGTGAACCATCAGATGGAAGATCTTCCTCTCTGTCTCTCCTCCTCTTTGTATGTCTGACTTTGTAATGAAAATAAAATCTTAAAAAAAAACAAAAAACTTGATGGAATGCCACCTTAATCCTGGAAATCTCCTAAATGCTTAAACAAGTACTTACTATAACTGCATATAAATCTTACAACTTAGGGAAATGGAGAAAGTAGTCTCGATTAGTGGTATAACTAAATTACATTATTAAAGAAACAATACCTTCATTATATTTAAAGCAGGAAAAAGTATTCCCCAGCATATTAATACAGTCGGAACATGGGTCGGAAATCTTGCAATTACCCGTGTAGCCACCAGATGGTGTCTCTGCCTCAACCATAGGAGAGGCAGTGAAGACCACAAAAGGCAATGTCAGAGAGGCAGAGGAGCCTGAGCCTCTGCACAGCACACAGAAGCAGCCAAGTGTTCAGGCAGCACTGTGATGTGTCAGGTTGAACCTCCTCTTGCAGTGGCAGCACCCCATATCTGAGTGCTGGTTCGAGCCCTGGATGCTTCGTTTCGGATTCATTTCCCTGCTAAGGCACCTGGGAAGGCGGCCAGTGGCGGTCCAGGTGCTTGGCTCCAACCATTCACAAAAGAGACCCAGACAGCCTTTCTGTCTTCAGCCTGGCCCGGCTGCAGCTGGCCTAGCCATCTGGGAAGTGAACCAACTGATGCAAGACACTCCTCTTACTCCTGCTCCCCCAACTCACTGGCCTCTTTCTAATGCTCTGGCCTTTCAAATAAACAAATCCTTTGTATATTAAAAAAAAAAAAGTTATTTATTTTACTTGAAGAGTTACAGAGGGAGAAAGAGGAAGAAACAGAGAGAATCTTCCACCCTCTGGATCACTCCCCCAATGATCATGACAGCCAGAGCTCCGCCGGTTCAAAGCTGGGAGCCAGGAGCTTCTTCCATGTTTCCCATGTGGGTGCAGGGGCCCAAGGACGTGAGCCATCCTCTGCTGCTTTCCCAGGCCACAAGCAGAAAGCTGCACTGGAACTGGAGTAGCTGGGACTCACACTGACACCTGTGCGGGATGTCAGTGCTGCAGGCAGATGATTGGCATGGTATTCCACTGTACTGGCCCCATCAAAAAAAAAAAAAAAAAAGGTTCAAAAAAATTGTCCCTTAATTGTCAAACATAACCCCTTCAATTGTTTTTTTTATCAGTTTCTGTCTTCACCAAGACTTACACCAAATCTCCCTGAAATAAATGGCGCTAGTGTCTACAGGTACTGCTAGGCTTGCCAGCTGTGGACACATCGACTTTCCCTCAGGACTGTAACGCACCTTAGGGACACTGCAGTCAGAAGAGAGCCGTCGGGCAGGGGCAGACCAGCCTTCCTCCTGTGGCGTCTCCGGCCCCACTGCACTCAGAGCTCGCCTCACTGAAGGACCTGGAAGAGCAAACATGCCCAGTGACTCAGGTGGGCTGGCCTCACCTGAAAAGGATTTCACACAGGGTCTGAAAGTTACCCCAGCAGGGGTCAGCTCAGAAACAACTCAATCGGCATGGTCATCACGACTCTGGTGTCTGACACCTCACTTCAAGTCTTAACTCTGGACATATTGGCTCTCTGGATCTAGGCCAGTTATTTACCCGCCACAGTCTCTGTTTCAAACCTGCAAAAGGGGAGTAATTCAGCTAACCTTGGTGGCTATTATAAACAGGAAGCCGGGCCCTTCACATGCGGAAGCACTGCACTTACGAATGACCAGCAGTTAATAAACAGAAACGGCCAGCCGGCAATGTCATTAGATAACAACAGAGATGTCCACAGCCCTCGCCAGGGCGGCATGGTTCTGGCTGCCTCTCTGCTCCCGAGCAGAGACGCTTCCCTGTCCAGCAGATTGCAAACAGGGAAACAACTTACACTTCATTTCCACTTGGAAACCCCCACTCAGTGGTCTTGTGTTTTTCTTTATATCTTTCTGTAACAATATCTGTTTCAGATTCAATAGCTACTGCTCATTTCTTTATTAAAGATTTAATTAAGATATTTCAGAAACTCTTCAAATGGACTTGCCAGAGGGACTCCTGTGACTTGGATGACTTCCCAGCTCACACTCAGCATCAGTGCTTGTGCCTGTGAGTTGGACATCAACCCCAATTAGATCAAGTGCAGAAATCAACCTTACCGGAGCTGGGCACCTCCTCTTGTGACTGCTTTAGTCGCCTCCTCTCTCTGGCTGACAATGGTCGGTCCTTGTTAAAGAAAGTTACGGGGTCATTTCCATTCCTGCCCACTATTTTTACAGCATCTACAATGATTGACGGATCATCTAGGACCAAGAAAAAGGCCTTAAACTGATCGTTAAGGAAGTGGCTGTTGGAAATTGGCCTACACCAGGGATACAGCAACTAGCAAGGACTGGCTACAGTCCTTCTTTTTAGGGGGTGCTTGTTTCTGGACTCACAAGTGGGGACTTTTACACTTCCCAAACTCAAGAATCTTCTTGGTCACCAGAAGTGACCACCGAGGAACCACAGAATCTGCATAACTCTACCAAAGTTTCTGCCGAGAAGCCCCTTGGGAAACACAATTTGCTGTTTTGAGGATTTCATAATTCAAAAGCTTTCTAAGAAGGTTTGTCAAAATCCAACAGATGGGCATGGCACAGTAGCATAGTGGCTGAAGTCCTTGCCTTGCATGTGTCAGGATGCCATATGAGTGCCAGTTCGTGTCTTGGCAGCTCTACTTCCCATCCAGCTCCCTGCCTGTGGCCTGCAAAAGCAGTATAGGGCAGCCCAAAGCCTTGGGACTCTGCACCCTTGTGGGAGACCCACAAGATCCTGGCTCCTGGCTTTGGATCACTTCAGTTCCGGCAATTGTACACAGTTCCAGTGGATGGAAGATCTTTCTCTCTGTCTCTCCTCTCTCTGTAGATCTGACTTTCCGATAAAAATAAATAAATCTTAAAAAAGAAATCCAACAGGGCCCGGCAGCGTGGCCTAGAGGCTAAAGTCGTCGCCTTGAATGCTCCGGTATTCCATTTGGGCGCCGGTTCTAACCCCAGCGGCTCCACTTCCCTGCTTATGTGGCCTGGGAAAGCAGTCGAGGACGGCCCAAAGTCTTGGGACCCTGCACCCAGTGGGAGACCTGGAGGAAGTTCTTGGCTTTGGATCGGCATAGCACCAGCCATTGTAGTCACTTGGGGAGTGAATCATCGGACAGAAGATCTTCCTCTCTGCCTCTCTCTCCTCCTCTCTGTATAGCTGACTTTGTAATAAAAATAAATAAATCATTAAAAAAAAAAAAAGAAATCCAACAGATAACTCTCACAAACCTTTGATGATGATGTCTCATTGCTCCTTGAGCTGTCCATAGACCTGCTAACTGCCCTACTCTGGCTTTTAGCATCTTTTTGTGTCGATCCAATGGCTTTGGTTCCAATAGAGGGTTGAGAAGGCAACAGTCCAGGAGCTGCCTCGTGGACCTTCAATAATTAAAATAAAGAAAGATTATACTTTCACTTACAGCAACCACCAATGATCACCACTGGTAGGCCCTCTCTGTCTCTAAAAATACTGTGTTGTTTAAAAAGACTTTGCTAAAAGTGAATGGCTTTCTAGAATGCCTGTGGGAAAAGTCCACCGACAAGGGGTCAGACCACCCTCACCACTCTGCCCTGTTAACTGTCGGCACAATCTGTCTGTTTTTGCTGGGGAAGAGAAAATCCACACTCATCACTGGAAGCCTGGTTAGCATCCTGCCGTGACCATCCTCGTGCTGCTGTTGCTGCCATTTCTCACATGAACCATTTTGGCAGCTGCTAGTTGCTAGTTGCTGTAAAGAGAAATTGAGCTTCCTAACATGCATTCCCCTACAGCAGCACCCAACTCACTGCAAAGAGCTCTCTGCTGACCTGCCCCTCTCCTGCAGGATGTCCGGCCTGCTCTCTCTTCTGCTGTCGTCTCTGTCGGGACAGAGAAGGCTCTGAGCCCGAGCTGCGTGGCTGGAGAGCTTGGTGGACGTCGCTCGGGTCCTCGGCCACACCTTCTCCAGCAGCCTGGTCCTTCCAAATAATAACATGAAATAAACACTCAGGAGACAACACGTGACAACAGAATACGCTTTAGAACTCAAAATGGATAAACTCTCCGTGTCTACTTCTAAAATCAAACATGACAAGAGGAAGGAGAAGTGGTCTTTCTCAAAATCAATGCTCATTTGCAGTGCTGACAAAGACAAAATGCTAATACAAGTTAACCAAACAGTCTAGCTTTTTTCCCTTTTCCTCCAAACAAAAATAGTAATTTCTTTTGAAGATGTATTCATTTGTTTGAAAAAGTTACTCAGGCACTGTGGTGTAGCAGGGAAGGCCTCCACCTGTGGCACTGGCACCCCACAGGACCTCTAGTTAGAGTCCTCACTGCCCCATTTCCAATTTGGCTCCCTATCAATGTGCTTGGGAAAGTAGTGGAAGAACGCCCAAGTGCTTGGGCCCCTGCACCCACGTGACAGACTAGGCAGGAACTCATGGCTCATGGCTTCAGTTTTGCCCAGATCACAGGAACACAGAATAACTAGCTCCAAAACAAACAAACAAATAAACAAAAAAAACTTTTCCTTGAAATTCTGTATATCTGCCTTTCCAATAAAAAAATAATAAAAATAAATCTTAAAAAAAAAAAAACTATACCTTTCAATTTCTTCTCTGAAATCAGGACCTTGTAGAAACCACTCACCATGTCCTCTGGCTTTGGGTCTCTCTGTAGGGGCTGCAGAGGCTTCGTTACTGGTTCAGGCCCTCCACCAGTGCCATCATCATGGGAAGAGGAAGAAACCAAGTTTTCAGACTGAGGAGGTGACGTAGCAGAATCCTTCGGCCTCTCCTCCATCACTTGAGAAAGACCACACTGGGCATCTAGGCGTACTTGTTGATTCTCCTGAACTAGGCCGCCACTCAGTGAGTCCCTCCTTTCAGCAGGTGAGATGTCAATATCTACCCCACTGACTGTGGCTAGTGCGTGTGCAGTGTCACTCATGCAAGGTTTGCTGCTGTGGCCTCTCACATCAGTAGGTGACTTCAAAGAACCCACGACCAATGGCTTCCCGTGGGACACACGTGCATCTTCGCCCTGAGTGAAAATGTGGTTTCAAGTTACTACAGTGTTCCTCATACCATATACGAAAATTAACTCAAACGGCAGTGTTGTGCATACTGTGTTAACCACAGCCTACAACACCACCGTCCCATATGAGTGCCAGCTCAACTCCCAGTTGTTCCACTTCCTATCCAACTCCTTGCTAATGCACCTAGGGAAGAATTGAGGACGACCTAAATCCTTGAGCCCCTGCCACCCACGGGGGAAGCCCACTGGAGTTCCGAATTCTTAATTTCCGCTTGACCCAGCCCTTCCTGTTTGGTTATTTGAGGAGAACCAGATGGAAGATCTCAATTCTCTCTCTCTCAGTAACTTTGCTTTTCAAATAAATATTTTTTTAAAGTTAACTCAAAATGAAACAACAGGTGCCTCAAAAGGCTAGCCATAGAACTACCATATGACCCAGAAATTCCACTCCTGGTTAAACAGGACAGAGCTCTGAGAGTAGGGATTCAAGTAGCTAACTGTGCACCCAGGATCAGAGCACATTAGTCAGAGCAGCCACAAAAGAAAAACAACCCAAAGTCCACCAGCAAGTGAGGCAATAAACAAACTATGGTATACACAACTTGTTATTATTAAGCCATAAATGGGAACACACTTCTACCTGGGCGAACACTGCCGAACCTTAAACAATGTAAGGTGAAAAAGCCAAACAGAAAAGGGGAAATGTGTGATTTTACTTACACCAAATAGAAGGAACAGATGAATTCAGAGACAGAGAGTAGGTGAGAGAGTGCCCAAGCCTGGGATTAGGACACACTGCCTAATGGACACAGTCTGTTTGACATGGTGACAGGGCTTTAGAAGGTAGAGGTGATCCTTGTGAAACATGGTGAATGTAACTTAGCAACACACAATTGTACACTTAAATGGTTAAAATGTGACCAAGTGGGATTTATTCTTGGAATGCAATGATGTCCCAATATAGAAATCAATATAATACTGTACACAAACAAAAGTGGGGCTGGGCCCGGTGCCATGGCCTAACGGCTAAAGCCCTTGCTTTGAACACACAGGGATCCAATATGGGCACCGGTTCTAATCCTGGCAGCTCTACTTCCCATCCAGCTCCCTGTTTGTGGCTTGGGAAAGCAATCAAGGATGGCCCAAAGCCTTGGGACCCTGCATTCGCACGGGAGACCTGGATGAAGCTCCAGGCTCAGGGATTCAGATCAGCACAGCACCAGATGTTGTGGTCACTTGGGGAGTAAATCAACAGATGAAAGATTTTCCTTTCTGTCTCTCCTCCTCTCCCTCTATATATCTGACTTTCCAATAAAAATAAATCTTTTTTTAAAAATGAAGGGGTAATCATCTCAATCAATGTAGAAAAAACATTTGACAAAATTGAGCAACCTCTTATGACAAAGAAATATTGGGAGTTGAGACTATATTGGGGCAGGTTAAACTGCCACTTGTGATGCCAGCATACCACATCAGAGCAGTGATTCAGGTCCACAGCTGCTCATCTCTCACCCAGCTCCTTGTCAATGAACCTGGGAAAGCAGCACAGGATGTCCTGAGTGCTGGGGTCCCTGAACCCACAAGGGAAACCAGGATGGAGCTGCTGGTTCCTGGCTTCAGCCTAACGCAGTCCCCGCTACTGAGGCCATTGGGAATGAAAAAACACATGGAGATCTCTGTCTCTGTCTCTTCCTTTCTGTCATTCTAGCTCCAAATAAAATAAATCTTTAAAAAAATCAACAAACCAGGCCCAGGGCAGTATCCTAGTAACTAAAGTCCTCGCCTTGCATGTGCTGTGATCCCATTTAGGCACTGGTTCTAATCCTGGCGGTCCCACTTCCTATCCAGCTCCCTGCTTGTGGCCTAGGAAAGCCATCGAGGACTGCACAAAATCTTGAGACCTGCACCCACGTGGGAGACCCAGAAGAGTTCCTGGCTTTGGATCGGCTAAGCTCCAACTGTTGTGACCGCTTGGGGGTGAATCAACGGATGGAAGATCTTCCTCTCTGTATATCTGACTTTTCAATAAAAATAAATAAATCTTAAAAAAAAAACAACAAATCAGGAAATGAAGGAAAATATCTCAACATAAGAAAAAATAGATATATAAATGATATAGATACCATAGTGAACATACTATTTTCAAAAAGTGAAACATAGAAAGCTTTCTCCCAAGGTCAGGAAGAAGGCAAAGATATCCATTCTCACCCATTTTATTCACTATGTTGTTAGGAGTTCAAGCCAAAGTAATTAAGCCAGAAAAAGAAATTGAAGGGATCAAAATCCACTAATAGACAATGCCAACTTGTGTGTATGAAATCCTAAAGATACCACAAAAGGATTAGGGAGCACACTGGTTTATGTGAAGCCAAAGTGTGTGCTGGGCAGAATCAGGCTGGACTGCAACACCCATTGGTTCCAGTGGAAGTCGGGGCTGGAAACAGAACAGACCCAGCAATTTCAACCACCAGCTGATTGGGGCGATGGACTGTACCGGTTCCCGTACTTGCAAGTACACACAAGAATCTGGTCTGTCCTTGCCTTGAATCCAGCAGGATCCCGTATGACCGCCGGTTCTAATCCTGGCAGCCCTGCTTCCCACCCAGCTCCCTGCTGTGGCCTGGGAAAGCAGTCAAGGACAGCCCAAAGCCTTGGAACCCTGCACTTGCATGGGGGACCCGGAAGAGCTCCTGGCTCCTGGGTTCGGATCAGTGCAACACTGGCCATTGTGGTCACTTGGGAAGTGAATCATTGTACAGAAGATATTTCTATCTCTCCTCCTCTCTATATTTTATATATTTTTTACAATAAAAATAAATTTTTTAAAAACTACATAAATAAATAGAAATGCACCCCATTATCCTGCATTGGCAGACTTAACACTGTGATGCCCAGATCCATTTTCAGATTCAGTGTATTCAAAATGTTTCTGATGAAACAGAAAATTCATCCTAGAATTCATATGAAATCTCAGTGGACCCCCTAATAATCAAAACAATCTTGAGAAGGAAAAATAAAGCTACAGGACTCACTTTCAAGCTTTACAAAAATTATTTTTTAAACAAAAGGGAGTAACTGTTCCACCTATGCTCCCCATACTATTTGGAGATCCACACAGATGTGTATTCTTGGCTCTCTCTCTTTACACACACACACACACACACACACACACACACACAAACATACACACACACACATACATATTTAGTATGTATGTATATATACATATTCAAAATTATTTTAAGGGTATTTAACTATCTTAAAAAAAAAAAATAAAGACCAGGACCCGGCGTGGTGACGCAGTGGTTAAGGTCCTCGCCTTGCACGCCCGGGATCCCATATGGGTGCCAGTTCTAGTCCCGGCAGCTCCACTTCCCATCCAGCTCCCCTGCCTGTGGCCCGGGAAAGCAGTCGAGGACGGCCCAAAGCCTTGGGACCCTGGACCCGCGTGGGAGACCTGGAAGAGGCTCCTGGCTTCTGACTGGCATAGTATCGGCCGCTGGGCTCACTTGGGGAGTGAATCATTGGACGGAAGATCTTCCTCTCTGTCTCTCCTCTCTGTATATCCGCCTTTCCAATAAAAATAAAATAAATCTTTAAAAAAAAATAAAGACTTATTCTTACTTGAAAGGCAAAGTTATAGAGGGAAGAGACAGAGAAAGAGATTCCATCCACTGGTTTACTTCTCCAATGGTCTCAACAGCCAAATCTGGGACAGGGTGAAGCCACGAGCCAGGAACTCTATCCTCATCTCCCATATGATATGGAAGGCAAGGACCCAAGTTCTTGGACCATCTTCTGCTGCTCTACAAAGCACATTAGCAGGAAGCTGGATCACAAGAATATACGGGACTTGAGCCAGCCCTCTGATATGGGATAGTGATGCTACCAGTGGTAGTTTAACCCACAGTGTCACAATACCAGCCCTCAAGTGATTTTTGACAAAGATGCCAAAAAACATTTATGTTTAATTCATTTTCTCTAGCTACTGAGTGCCACAAACTGGGTCATTTTTGTTGTTGTTGTTATTTTTTATTTGTTTGTGTTTTTCTTTTTTATTTTATTTTAAAAATTTTTCTGTAGGTCATTTATAAATTAAGGTGTATTCAGCTGGGAGGTCCCAGACCTAGGGGCTGCAGCTAATGAGGGAACTCTGCAGAGCCCCTATGTGGCGTCAGGTAACACATGGCCAAGTGGACACCTCCAGGAGACAGCTAAACTGGCTCTGATGACAGAACTGCCCTTGATAAGCTCCTGGAGCATTAGTCACCTCTTCAAGTTCTCATCTCTCACTGCCTCAGGATGAACAGGGCTTTTGGTGAGGACACTCAAATCACAACCCTGTTTATTGAGGAAAGGACAGTCTTTTCAACAAACTATGCTGAGAAAACTGGATATCCAGGGAAAGAAGGAAGTCAGATCCTTACCAACGAAGTACACAAGCATGAACTCAAAGTGGATCAAAGACCTCAATGTAAGATAAAACGATGAAGTCTTACAAGAAGATATAGGGAGGGCAAAAGCTCCACCACACTGCACTTACCAGGGATTTCTTGCCTATAATATCAAAGGCACAGAGCAATAAAAGCAAAAAAGACAAGTCAGACTTCACGACAACCTTAAATTTTACGTATAGGGGTAGCTGCAGTGACCCAGGAGGTTAAGCCAGCACTTGGGATGCTTACATCCTATTTCAGAGACACGTTCAAGTTCAGATATCTGGTTTCTTATCTGGTTCCCTTGGAGGCAATAGATGATGGCCCAAATACTTGGGCCCCTGACACCCATTCAGGACACCCAAATGGAGTTCTGGGCTTCTGGCTTCCACCTGGTCTTGTCCAGGCCACCACAGACATTTCGGAAATAAACCCACAGACAGGGGCCCTGCACAACGGCCTAGTGGCTAAATCCTTGCCTTGCATGCGCCAGGATCCCATATAGGTAGGGGTTCGTGTCCTGGTTGCTCCACTTCCATCCAGCTCCCTGCTTGTGGCCTGGGAAAGCAGTTGAGAATGGCTCAAAGACCTAAGACCCTGCACCCATGTGGCAGACCTGGAGGAAGCTCTTGGCTCCTGGCTTTGGATCAGCTCAGCTTTGGCTGTTGTGGCCACTTGGGGAATAAATCAGAGGATGGAAAATCTTTTTGTCTCTCTTCTCTGTAAATCTACCTTTCCAAAAAAAAAGATAGCAAACAATCTCTTCCCTTTTCTTCTCTTCTCTTTCTCTCTGTGTATATACATTATATAATACATAAGATGTATATATACGTGTTATATATATAACGTGTGTGTGTGTATATATATATATATATATATTTGGAATTATATGGAATATATATATATATGGAAAAAAACAAAACAAACAAGAGGCTGTTTGGGATGTCCCATTTCAGAGTCCCTGGTCAGAGTCACAGCTGCTCTGCTTCCAATCAAACTTCCTGCTAAAGCACTCTCTGTGGGTTGAGTAGACATGATGGCTCAGTGCTTGGGTCCTTATCCACTCATGTTAGAGACTTAGACTGCATTCCAGGATCCTGGCTTCAGCCGGGCCAGCCTTGGCTGTGGCAAGTATTTTGGAAATAAAACAGTAGATAGATTTGCCTCTCCATCTTTCAAATAAAAATGAATGCATTTTAAACATTTTGCCAGGCAGAGATACAGAGCTTGCGTGGGATAGGGGAGCCATGGCACAGACAGCAGACAGAGAGGTCTTCTACCTACTGGTTCACTTCCCAAATAGCCACAGTAGCCAGGCTGGGTCAGGCCTAAGCTAGAAGCCAGAAGCCATGGGCTTCTTCCGGTTTCCCACGTGGACACAGGGGCCCACGCACTTGGGTCATCCTCTGCTGCTGTCCCAGACCCATGATCAAGCAGCTGCAGCACCCATACAGGATGCCAGTGTTGCAAACAGCAATTTCATGCATATACATATATGTAACTTTTTTTTTAAAATAAAGAGTGCTTAATGGTTCAAGGACTTCCTGTCTATGTTCTAATGTATATAAACGTTCAATTTAAAACAGTTAATTTTGTGTTGGACCAATTTCGCCTAAAAAATCCTAAAAAGTTATTACAGCTCTGTGTTCATGAATAGTTTGACACTGGGGTTAAAGTGAACTCAATGAATCTCTTCACTACTACTCTTTCTTTATAACAGAATTAATCACACGACAGAATCCCTTACAACTGGAAAATCATTTCACACACGATGACTTGCTGAGGTAACAAAGAAGCCTACCATTGCGCCCGTCCTCGAGTCCTTAGGAGAGGGGGCCTGGAGGTGGGGCACTTCGTGGTCGGCCTCTGAGCTTCTCAACTCCATTGCAGCAACAGGCTTGGATTTACAGTCACTGTTCCTAATGTTATTCTTGCAGGTTTTTCTTAATGAAGAAAAAAGAAGTCAGCATCAACACAGTGAACATTAAAGGATTCCGTGTACATGTGGAAAACGGGCAGGTACACCTCCTTACTCAAGTGTGATGGGCAAGGCACTCAGGGTGGGTGTGCACAGGAGTAAGTTCTCCCAATGTTTCACATCACTGTTTCCAAACTAGATTCACCGGCAGGGAACTCAGGAGAGGAGGGATCGATGCAGCACAAGGATAAGCATCTGTTGGTGGGAAACAGCCAGCCTGACCAAAAGGTGGCCTCCTGCTCCTGTGCCCTCTCTACATAGTCTCCTTTCCTTGCAGAGGTGACAGGCTGCAGACCAGGAGGAGAGGGCAATTCTGGGTCCTAGGTCCGGAATACCCGTCTGGTATAAGGAGGACATGTGAGTCATAAAAAGAAATTTCCCATTAAGAAGTTATAGAATGGGCCCAGCACAACAGACTAATCCTCTCACAGCAGTGCTGGCATCCCATTTGGGCAGCAGTTCGAGTTCCAGCTACTCCGCTTTCAAATCCAGCTCCCTGCCCTTGGCCCGGGAAAGCAGCAGAGGGCGGCTCAAGTTCTTGGCCTCTCTACCCACGTGAGAGAGTTGAAAGAAGTTCCTGCTTCTCCACTCCTGGCTTTGGATCAGCTCAGCTCTGGCCATTGCTGTCATATGCGGAATGAACTCCCGAAAGAAAGATCTCTCTCCCTCAATAGCTCCTTATGTCTCTCTGTAAATCTGTCTAATAAAAATTTTAAAATATATATATATTTAAAGTTGTGGAATGAAGAGGGAACTTCATGAATTCTCTCTGAAACTTGAGCAATACATAATGCAGTAGTGGTTTTCTAAATGGTTCTCTAGATTCTTCATTTCAGCAACGAAGCAAAGTCCAACCAGCATATTCTGGTGTCTGAAAAGGACCAACATATGCTGCCTTGGCATAAGGGTTATTTTGAGCTAAAGTCACTTTTATAGAAAGCAGGCACAAAAAGGGCTCTGACTCTGTCTTCCTGGGAGCAGAAGACAAAACCCCAAAGTAGAAGCCTGCACCCTAAACCAGAAGGAAAGCCACATTCTTGTCAAAAACAGAAAGAGGAGACTGAGGAAATACTAAGTAACTTTTTAGAACTCTGCACTCACCCGCCCTGTGAGAATTCTTACTTTTCCTTCGCCTCTCTGCATGTTGGGCGGTGTTGTCACACTTGGGGTTAGGCTGTCCCCTGGGAAACCTGCAGTCCACATCAGAGCACGGTCTGAGTCCCAGCTCCCCTACTTCTGCTCTGCCTCCAGTTAAAGTACCCGGGAAGCAAAGGAGGACGGCCCAAGTCCTTGGGTCCTGGACACTCACATGGAAAATCCAGGCGAATGTCCTGGCCGCTGACACCTGGCTTCTGTCCAGCCTAGCCTAGGCTGCTGCAGGAATTCAGGGAGTGAACCTAGGTTTGGAAGGAGGATCTATCTATGTCATTCAATGATGCTAAAACAACTGTGTGGGGTTTTTTTTTTAAGATTTATTTATTTTTATTGGAAATTCATATTTTTAGAGAAGAGGAGACAGAAGAAAAGTTCTTTCATCCACTGGTTTACTCCCCAAGTCGCTACAACAGCCAAAGCTGAGCTGATTCGAAATCTGGAGCCAGGAGCTTCCTCTGGTCCCCCACATGGGTGCAAGGTCCCAAGGCTGCCCTCACTGGCCAAAGCAGGGAGCTGGATGGAAGTGGAACAGCTAGGACATGAGCCAGTGCCTGTATGGGATCCTGGAGCATGCAAAGAGAGGATTTAGCCACTAGGCTGCAACACCAGGTCCCAAAACAACTTTTTAAAGGCACTTTCATTTTGTTATGTTTTGGGTCTTCATTTCCTTATGAGGTCTCCTGTGTCACTTAAAACTCACATTAAATAAAGACATTTTTTCTAGTTAATTTGTCTTACGTTAGCTCCTTAGTACCAGTCAAAAAACCCTAAAAGTGTAGAATTTTTGATCTCTATGTTCTCTAATCACACAATTTTATCATAATTCGTGAATATGAAAATGGTAGAGGCTTTCCCCTTCTACCTTATCCAGTTAGCAGAGTTATTTGTAAGAAAAAAGTCTTACGCCTTTGTGGCCTCCAAAAACAAGGCGATTTGGCGCTTTATGTACGGCTGCCTCAGGATGCTCCTCACGGAGGGTCTCTCCTCAGGCCTCTTGCTCAACATTGTTCTGATCAGTTCTGCCAGCTCTGGGCTATAGTCTTTTGGCATTGGTGGTAGCTAAAAAGAAAATCAATATTGCAATTATGACTAATGATCTTACAAAACAAAGTAAAAGATGATAATCAGATGTCCATATAACCAGAAATTAACCAGCATGTTAGTCTACAGGAAGTATACTTATGTACTGATGGTCAAAAGAAAAAGCTGGAGCCCGGCGTGGTACCCTAGTGGTTAAGTCCTTGCCTTGCTTGTGCCTGGGATCCTATATGGGCACCGGTTCACATCCTGGCTGCTTAACTTCCCATCCAGTTTCCCACCTGTGGCCTGGGAAAGCAGCTGACCCTGCACCCACTTGGGAGACCTGATAGAAGCTTCTGGCTCCTGGCTTCAGATCGGCTCAGCTTCGGCCATTGTGGCCACTTGGGGAGTGAACCAGTAGTTGGAAGATCTTTCTTCCTGACTCTCCTTCTCTCTGTAAATCTGACTTTCAAAAAAAAAACAAACAAAAATTTTTAAAAAAAATAATAAAAAGAAGAAAAAGAATAAGATGGGGAAATTATAAAAACCTTTTATTTATTTGAGTTACAGACAGAAAGCAAGATAGATGACCATAATGGCCAGGGCTGGGCAGGACTAAAACCAGAAGTCTCATCTGGGTCGCCCATGTGGGTGCCAGAGCCCTTGGGTCATCCTCTGCTGCCTTCCCAGGTGTACTAGCACAGAGCAGGGGCAGAAGTGAAACAACCAGGACACGAACTTGGTATCCAACAGGATTGTCAGCATCGCAGGCAACAGGCTCTGCTCCCGAAGTATTTTCTTTTCTTTTTTTTTTTTTCTGTTTGTTTATTACTGGAAAGGCAGATTGACAGAGAGAACAAGAGACAGAGAGAAAGATTTTCCATCCACAAGTTCATTCCCAAAGTAGCTGCAAAAGTCAAGCTGAGCTAATCTGAAGCCAGGAGCCAGGAGCTTCCTCTGGGTCTTCCACGTGGGTTCAGGGTCCTGAGGCTTTGGGCCATCACCACTGCTTTCCCAGGCCACAGGTGGGAAACTGGATGGGAAGTGGAGCAGCCAGGACTCGAACTGGTGCCCATATGGGATCTGGTGCTGCCAGGTAAGGACTTAGCCACTGAACCATCACACCAGGTCCCAAAGTATTTATTTTTAGATTTATTTATTTATTTATCTATTTTAAATCTACTTATTTTCTTTGGAAAGTCAGATATATATAGAGGAGGAAAGACAAAGAGGAAGATTTTCCATCCGCTGATTCACTCCCCAAATGGTCGCAACTGCCAGAACTGTGCCAATCTGAAGCCAGGAGCCAAGAGCCTCCTCCAGGTCTCCCACATAGGTGTAGGGTCCCAAGGCTTTGGGCTGTCCTCAACTGCTTTCCCAGGTCACAGGCAGGAAGCTGGATGGGAAACAGGGCTGCCAGGATTAGCACCCATATGGGATCCCAGCATATGTGAGGAATTTAGCCTCTAGATTACCGCACTGGAACCCCCAAAGTATTTTAACTCACCATTTTTGAGGACTCTCCTTCAGAATTAAATCATCGGAGTGAGCATTTGGCACAGCAATTAAGACACTACTTGGGATGCCCATATCCTATACTAATGTACTTAGGTTCAATTTGCAGCTCAATTTCTGATTCTTGCTTCCTGCTAATACACCGTGGGTGATGGGGAGCAATAGCTCAAGCAGATGCTTCTGACACCCACCTGGGAAGCCTGCATTGAGTTCTGGGCCCTTGTTTTTGGCCTGGCCCAGCCATGGCTATTACAGGCATTTGGGGAACAAACCAATGGTTGGAAATTCTCTCTCTCTCTGCATTGCAAATAAAATGAACAAAATTTTTTTTTAAAAAAATCTATGTACCAGGATATCCAACATAGTATTGTTTTTACAGTAATAAAGAGCTGGAAATAATATAAATATAAATGTCCACAGGAGGATTGTGGAATAAATTATGGTACATTGTTCTTATAGAATACTAGGCAGCTACTTACAAAATAAAAGACTCATAAACCAGGAGAGTTGGTCCTCAGACATTAAGTTGCAAAGGTAAGCAGTGACCCAATGGGTACAGTTATAATAATAATTCCAGTTCAGTGTCTTTCTAAAGGTACCTGAATCTATGCATACACATGTACACCCACGGGTCTAACCGCATAAGGCACATGCGTCTGCATGCACATCACACACCCAGGGTTACATCTAAAGACAAGAAAGGCAAAAAGGCAACATATCAAAGTGCCAGCAATGGTTATCTCCAGGGGACGAAAACGCCACAAAGCAGAATTTCACTACCTTCTTGTCTGACTCTTTAAGCTATAAAATTATAGGCAGATTTTTCTTGTTTGCACTTATTAAATATTTCTGCAAACAATAAAATGGGAAACCTAGCCTCATGACAAAGCAAATTAAGCTTCCACCTGCAACAATGGCAACCCATATGGGCACTGGTTCGAGTCCAGTCTGCTCTACTTCCAACCCAATTCCCTGCTAGTGGCCTGGGAAAGCAGCAGCAGATGGCCCAAGTGCTTGGTCCCCTCTCACCCACACGGGAGACCCGGAAGAAGCTCCTGGCTCCTGGATTCAGATTGGCTCAGCTCCAGCTATTCAGCCAATTGGGAAGCAAACCAGCAGATGAAAGATCTCTATTTCTCCTTTTCTCTGTAAAATAAAAAACAAATAACTCTTTAAAGCTGGTTCCCTTCCCAAATCCACGAAGGCCTGAGTTAGGCCAGTCCAGAGCCAGGAAGCCTTGAGTTGCATCTGACTCTCCCAAATGGATGTGGGAGCCCAAGGACTTGGGTTCTACTCTACTGTTGTCCCCGGCATTGGCAGGAAGCTGAATCAGAAGTGGAGAAGCCAGGACCAGAACCAGTACCCATATGGGATGTGGCACTGTAGATACAGGATTAACTTGCTCTGGCAGCACCCCAGTAGGCAATTTAAATCCTTCAGACTGAACAGCGTGATGCCTTATGCTGCAAAGAACAATGCTCTTGGAGCTAACGTAAAGTTGGCCACTCTGGCATCCACTTCTTACACAATACTCCCTGTAGTCCTTCACTAGCTAGCAAACACTGTGATGTTTATCCAAGGAACAAGTTCAGAACAGACTCATCATCATCCCTGGGCTGCTCAGAAGAGACAACAGCCTCTGCCTGTCATGTGGCTCCACGCACAATCACCTTTACCTACGGTGAAGAAATGCTCAACCCCTTCTCTAGTTCCACATTCCTCACAACCCACCATTCTTATCTACTCACCTGGTAGTTACAGCTACCCAGGACTGCTTGACAACTAATCAGAATCAACACTGATTTGGCCACTAGCTATTCACAAAGCTGCACTGTGATCAGCACAAGACTACATCTTACCTTCCCTTCAATAATCCGATAAACTAAAGAATTCATGTCCCTCGCGTTGAAAGCATGCTTGAGAGTGGCCATCTCATAGACACAGCAGCCCAACGCCCAAACATCAGACTGAAAAGAAAAGCAGAAGAGGACCAAGTAGCAGAACACCTTATTTAGGTTTTTTCCCTCTCATAAGACATTTTCCTCAAATAGATTCAGACAATTCTGATATAATGATTGTAACAGCCTCTGAAATCGAGATGAACCAGTGTACAAAGCCCAATCCTACCTTGTAGTTGTACGGCTTGTTGGAAAACAGCTCGGGGCTCATGTAGTAGGGCGTGCCAATGAGGGTGCTTGCCATGTCACAGTGGTTCTCGAGCACGCGGGCGATGCCCAGGTCACCCACTTTGATGATGTTTGTTCGGGTTAGGAAGACGTTCTGAGTTTTCAAATCTCGATGGAGTATGTGCTTCTCATGTAAATACTGAGCAGAAAAATAAACCTTCATCACACATAAATACAAGTTCAGGTTCTGCTCCCTGGGATTTCCTGGAAACCCCAGCTAATTGCTAAAGTACTTTGGTCTCTGCTACCTACATGAAGACCAGGGGCCTGTTCTAGGCTCCAGGCCCCAACCTGGCCCAACCCCAGCCATTGCACATAGTAGGGGATTAAAGCAGCAGATGGATGCTCTCTATCCTGTATATTCAAGTAGATTAAAAATTTTTAAACATGGGCCAAGTGTGATAGCCTAGTGGCTAAAGTCCTCGCCTTGCATGTGTCAGGATCCCATATGGGTGCCAGATTGTGTCCTGGATACCCCACTTCCCATCCAGCTCTCTGCTTGTGGCCTGGGAAAGCACTAGAAGATAGCCCAAAGCCTTGGGACCCTGTGCCTGTATGGGAAACCTGAAAGAAGCACCTGGCTCCTGGCTTTGGATCAGCGTAGCTCTGGCTGTTACGGCCACTTGGGGAGTGAACAAGTTGACGGCAGATCTTTCTCTCTGTCTCTTGTTCTCTCTGTAAATTTGCCTTCCCAATAAAAATAAACAAAATCTTAAAATATATATATATATACACGCACACATTTTGAAAGTGTGTGGCAAATTCCCACTAAAGAGAGGACCACTTACACATTCAGGTCACATCACAAAGGCCAGGGCTGGGGCCAAGCCCAAGCCAGGAATCAGGACCTCTCCCTGGGTCTCCTGTTTGGGTAGCAAGGGCCCAAGAACTAGAAGCATCTTCCAGAGCTTTCTCAGGCACATTAGCAGAGAAATGGATCTAAAATGGAGCAGCGGAACTCAAAGAGGCGTTCATATGGGCAGCTGGTATCACAGCAGGTTTGTCTGTGGTGTCAAAATGCTGGCTCCAACATTTTAAAAGATAAAAAGATCATTTTTACTTAGAGACACTATCTTAAAATTTAAACAACAAGGTCAGGGCTGGTGTTATAACATACTGGGACTGGGCTCTGCCTGTGGTGTCGGCATCCTTTATAGGCACAGGTTCGAGTCCCAGCTGCCCCACTTTCAACCCAGTTCCCTGCTTATGGTCTGAAAAAGCTATGGAGAATCGTCCATGTTCTTGGGCTCCTGCACCCACGTGGGAGACTTCAAAAGAAGCTCCTGGCTCCTGGCTTTAGATTAGTTCAGCTCTGGCTATTGCAGCCATTTGAAGAATAAACCAGAAGATGGAAAATCTTTTCTGTTTCTCCTTCTATAACTCTGCCTCTCAAAGTAAAATTTTTTTAAAAAAAAATCAATAAATACCCACAGGATCAACTGACTGTGGAAGAGCCTTCCAGGTTTCAGAGCGGGATTTAATGAACCCTGTCGTTTTAGAGTGTGTGGATATTAAAACACAAGCCTATTCTACGGTTTCACCCCCTCTGCTCCAGCCAGGTCAAAGGCCAAATCCCTAGGAGCTCGGGCATCACCCCAGTCCTGCCACCTTTGAGTGTGACACAGCTGACTCGTTGATGACAACACAGCCACCCTTCACTCCTGGGCAATTCAATAAGCTCAACAACTGACTTTACTATAATAACAAAAGAAGAAATAAAGGGCTTCCTCTGCAATCCATATCTACTTCTTTTGGTTCGTTTATTATTTGAAAGGCAGTTTTACAGGGAGAAAGAGTAACAGAGATCTTCCATCTGCTGGTTCATTCCCCAAATGGCCACAACAGCTCAAGCTGAGCCAGGAATCTCATCTGGGTTTCCCATGCGGGTGCCTCCTTCTTCTACTTTCTCAGGCCTCAAGCAGGGAGCTGGATGGCAACGTGGAGCAGCTGGGACTCAGAGCAGCACCCATTTGGGATGCTGCCACCAGAGGTGGAAGATTAGCCTACTATACCACAGCACTGGTCCCCTGATCCATGTCTAGCTTGATGTCAGTATCACCCAAGAGCAGCATTTCAATGCCACAGCCAGAAGAAATGAGCCACTTTATAACTGGATTTTCAAAAACACGTTTTCATGCATGCCATTAGGGGAAATTTTTTCCAGGACATGCCTGCCATCTTCCCGCCACAGGCAGGATGACATGGGTCTAGACAGTACCTGCAATGCCATCGCAATCTGCACGAACCACTCCACCACCTGGCTCTCAGGCAACAGCTGCCCCTTCCGCTCCTTGAGCTTCCGGTACAGGTCGCCTCCTTCACAGAAGCCCATGACGATGTACAGCAGACCGTCTCCTCCCTCCCACGACTCCTTATAGGTGACGATGTTGGGGTGCTTCAGCTGGGACAGGAGCTGGGCTTCCTGCTCGGCAGCCCGCCGCTCCCGGCTGGAGGCATTTCGGAGGTTCAGCTTTTTGATGACATACTACAAAGAAAACAAGCGCTGTTGAAGTTGTAGCCTTATCTAAGGGCTGTCTTTTTTTTTTTTTTTTTGCCAAGAGTTTTCATAAATGCTCTCAAAAGCACCTCTAGAATCTGTCAGATGACCTGTTTACTTTTCAGGAAGCACAACATTGGGAAAATACTTGTTATTACCAATGATCCTTTTCACAGGTTAGACTTAGAGCAGGATGGGCCTACCTGCATTTTGCAATTTCATTAACGGCTAAACAATGAGCATGAGAGAACACTCCACTGCAATCACAAAATCTGTGCCGGAGATTCCTTAGAAAGCCCTAAAAAAATACTCAGCACGTGCCCTGAATACACACGTGCCAACAAAAACAGCTCCGGAGATTCCATTAGCTATTGGGATCCATGACCCAACAAAGATAGAAACCATTAACTCTCAACAAACAAAATCACTCCCTCTTAAAATAAAGTAATTCACTCAAATACCTAACACATAGCCACTAATCAATTCAAAGACCAGCCAATCTTTTCAACAAATCTGCACATAAATATGCTTTGTGAAATAAAACATAAGTGGCTATTATTACAGTAAGCCCTCTATGCTCACAGCAAAAACGCAATGATCCTCCAAAGCCTACTGAACAAGAAATTCCTTTTAAACCTGTGCCCGTCTTGTGGGTGGGGCAGCAGCACCTTAGACAAGCAAAGACCGGTGACAGGACCCTGTCCCTGGGGGCGAGGGGCAGTTCAGCTGCTCTAACACAAAGGTGAAGCATGCCTCTCAGTCTCACCACTGTCCCAGTCGGCCCCCCTACGTTCCATGTCCCCTCAGAATAAATCACACTGCAGAACCGAGGGTGACAGGATCAACTGCTACAAGTGAGGGAAGTGAGAGGACACAGGCTTAGCACGGCAAGGACTGGAGAAGACCAAGCCCGGTGTTAGGGACCAGTCGGGCAGCTCAGTCCTTAGTTTAGCTACAAAGAAGTGCGGTGGGGATCAGAGGGAGGGTCCTGGCGGAGGTGGGGAGGTGGGCGGGCTGGCCTAGTGACGGTTGGACACACTAACATACTAAAGACGACTCCCTGGTGTCCAGCCTGGGAAAGTGGATGATGAGCGGTGCTGCTCGCTGGACCGGGAGCCATGAGAGGTCTGGCGGCGACCAAGGGGACGAACCCAGTTCGCACAGCAGCGGTGCCCCTGGGAAGGTGCCGTCCCTGCTCTCCTGGAATTGTCAGGAGAGAGAGAGCGCGCGCTGTGCAGACCAGGCACACCTAGTACTCCAAGAGGCCTTCAAGTAGCTCACAGAAAAGAACTAAGACATATTGACGTGTTGCAAAATAATAATTGAAATTCGGCATAGCTTTCTCATTCTATGTATTGCTCCCTGAACTTTTTTGAAGACACTGCCTACACACAAGTTTCAGTTTTTGTTTTGTACCCATATAAACTTCTCCTTCCATGTCCATGAACTTTTTGAATAAGAAGAGGAAATCTGGCGCACACCTCATACGGGCCTGGTCTTGTCTGGGACTTCCCTCCGGGAGCGTCCTCGGGGCCCACCCCTTGACACCGTCCCGGGGCCTGTCCTTCGGAAGACGCCGCCCTCGGGGCTCCCCGGGCCGCCCTCCGACCCCCTCCGGGTTGCATCCCCGCCGACCTGCCTGCCGTCCCGCCGGTGCTTCACGAGCGTCACTTCCCCATAGCTGCCTTTGCCCACCACGCGCAGGTAGCAGTAGGCGCCCAGGGGCATGTTCCCGGCACGGGGCTCTCACTCGGGGCGCGGCGGCAGCGACGCGGGGCGCAGCGATGGGAGCCCCCTCATACCCCAGAGGAGGATACGGCGGGGGCGGCTGCTCCGGCGGCCCGGCACGCACAGGAGCGCCGAGGCCCGGCCCACCGCGACGCCGCTGCCATAGCGATCCGGGCCGGGGCGGTCCCGCGCATGCTCAGCGTCCCGAAGGCCCTGCCTTGCCATAGAGCCGAGGCCACCGGCGGCCAGAGAGGTTCCGTCGCCCCGGGAGGACCAGGCATAGAGTCGAAGCGCCAGCTGGCCAGAGCGGCTTTACCGCTCTGTGGGAGCGCCCACGTGCCTGGGGCGGCGCTTGTATTGTGTGATAAGCGCTAAAACAAGGGTCATGTGTTCGTTCTACCATCATTTATGGACCCTCTGACGAAGTGCTTGCTCTCCTGAGGGTCACGTTGTGATGAGAGGGGGGCAGATCCAAAACTGCCTCAGTGATATTTGTCGGTTTTGCCACAGACCCATACAGCTAGGAATCCAGCTATCATCTTGTTTTGTTCTTGTTATTTCAAAGTATCCAATGACACACCTTGGCCTTTTAGAGGTCACAAACTCTTTAGGGGTGTTTGGCTGCCTCTAACCCGCTCTGCCTCAAAGCCATCATTCAGGGTCCCCAGCAGGTGCTTAGGCCCGAGAGGTGTCCCAGAGAGGAAGGCAGGGAGCTAAGAGCTGAAGGCACGCATCTCCAGGCAGGGAATCCACAGGTGCCAAGACCCAATGGGCTGGTTCCGTGAAGCCCCTGAAGATGGGCCCAGCCCGTCTGCTTCCCATCCTAAACCCAGCCAAGGCAAAGGATGGAATAGGGGAAAAGGGCCCAGTGAGTGAAAAGGTCCCTGCCTAAATGGATGTGGAAGAAATTTTTTAAAATAAAATATCTATTTATTTATGGGACTGCTGCTATGGCTCAACAAGCTAACCCTTCACCATTTGGTTCCAACATCCCATACAGGGATGCCAGCTGGTGTCCCAGCTGCTCCATTTCCTACCTAGCTCTCTGCTTATGCCCTGGAAAGCAGTGGAGGATGGCTCAAGTATCCAGCCCCCAGGTCCATCCTCTGATGTCAGGGACATACACCTTCCCCAAGCATACTGGGCACCCACCACCTGCCTCTCCCCCTTCTCTTTCCCATCGTTGTGCCAGGGACCTCCTCTAGGAACCTTCCGATCTCTGTGGAAAGTGACTCCCCTCCTCCAGATGTCTGCAGCTTTCCCTGAGTGCACTCTTGCAGCTTCCAGCCGCTCCTTGGATTAGCTGAGCCTCCTTTGGCCAGGCTGTTTTCTCCCAAGGCGTGGCTTCTGGGACGTGGTAGGGCCACAGGTTTCATTACGGTGGCATTCTGGGAGCTGGCACAGTGTGCAACACAGCATGGGCTAAGAGGGCAGTACCTGTGCAGGAAACCCACAGAACCTCTAATGGCCATTTCCCCGTGGCTCCCATTCCCCTTTCCCGAAACCCCAGTGAGCGAGCCAGAAGGTCACCCGGGCAGGAGGACAGAAGCTGTTTTGTGACAGAGTCCAGGCAAACAGAGAAAGGTAAAGCCTCAGGGCCCCTGGTCTGACCTGACTCCTGTGTGCTGGGGCCCAGCAGGGACCCACAGGGTTTGGGCTTCAACAGTGAGGACAGCAGCTACCACCAGAGTCTCCAGCTCTGCTCCTCCATTACAGTGAACATTTCTGTCTTGGCAGGGGATGACATGTCACCATGTGTCTGTCCCAGGCTTGGGCATCTAAGCCACCATCCACCTGGCTTTCAAGCCCTCTCTTGTCACCTGCTGTGGACCCAGTGTCCTCCCCAGGGACAGTGAGAGTACAAAGTTAAAGGGAAAGGAGCTCAGGACATGCATGGCACATGATGCAAATGTGGCTTTTGGCTGCATCTCTGCCTCATCTGCCAGGATCCCCGACCCAGGATGTGTGAAGGATGAAGCTACTAGCTGTCCTCCTGCCTACATCTGGGAAAGAGGGACTAGAGAGAAGAAGCAGGTGGTCTACAAGGTGAGCCATCCATCACATATCTCCGTTTGTCCCCACAGACTCCGAGGGAACCATCGTCAGTGTTGGCACTGCCAGGACCTTGGGTGGCTTTGACCTCCCAGCACTTTCCAAGCCGCTGTCTCTGCCTGCCTTGCCAAGGCATGCCTGAAAACTCCACGGGTGCTACATTGAGACTAAAACTTAACACAGCTCAGAAATCTGCGTGGTATCCTGGCTTCCAGTGCCAGACCCAGTGCTGGGGGTCTCTCCCCCGTGCCCAGTGGCTGAGAGTGGATGTGGGCTCAGGAAAGCAATCCACGGTCCCGTCAGCAGTCTGCATGGCCCAGGGCCAGGGATGCCCAAAAGAGAGTGCTTTCATCTCTAGCTTTTAAGTTCCTGGGCTGTAATATTTGCCCTCACCTGTCTAATGTTTAATCCATGTTTATCCAGTACTATACTGACACGGTCTGAGTGAAGTGACAGGGCAGTGGGAGACCGGAGACCACGCGTGGTGCCATGGGCCTTTGGGGACTGCGCTACATGTTCCTGGTAGCCCTCGTCACCCTGCAGGCCATGCCTGCTTCATGGTCAGCCACCGGCAGGTCCAGGGGCAACGAGGTAGGTGGCTAAGCCCTTGGGACAGAAACAAGGCCACTGAGCCGGTAGCAGGGAGGGATCCCAGGACCAGGGCCATCCCCACCTACATTGAATAACTCAGACTGGACTTAGAGAGGTGACCTCCCCGCAGCACCGGGGAGACATGGCTGAGGGTGGAGGACAGCAGCTTACCCCTCAGCCCCCCAATTAGCACTCCCATTCATGCTGGACTCTGCCTTTGTTTTGCAGAAGCGACAGGCCATGGACAGAGTGAGTGCAAGTCTGTGATGGGGTCCCTACCTCCAGCTTATCTTCCCCCTACCTTCAGCGCTGCCTCTGTGTTCATGCAGAGGGGACCCACATTTCCTGCAAATGGGAATTTGTATCTGCCTCACCCCATGCACCCATTTCACAGCCTCAGGCAGAGAGAAAGGTGCTTCCTGGGAGTCTGGTCCATCTCCCCCCAAGACTAAAGCTGCTGGGCAACTTGCATCACGGCCCCAGTATAACCAGGAATCTCCTAGTAGCTCAGAGACCCCACACCCCACCCCTCCTGTCTCACCTCAGGAAGCGAATGGCGTGCTCATCCGGAGTTTGAAAGTCAACTGCAAAGTCACCTCTCGCTTCGCCCACTATGTCATCACCAGCCAGGTGGTCAACACTGCTAGTGAGGCCAGGGAGGTGGCCTTTGATGTGGAAATCCCCAAGACAGCCTTCATCAGCGACTTTGCCATGTGCGTGAACTCTGCATGACTCCCTTGGCAGAGCCTCAGGGATGAAGGAGGGTCCCTTTACCCATCCCAGCCAAACAGCAAGGTGGCCACATGGCCCAGGCCAGCACCTCCCTGCTGCTGGAATGGCCACGAGCTAGCCAAAGCACCAGGGTGGGGGAGCAAGTCTTCAGGGGGTATTCTTGAATCTTGTCTGGAAGAGCAACCTGGGGGCCTGGCCAAGGCCTGAGGAGCAGAGCCCAGAGTCTAAGGCTGTTGAGCAGGTCTCTCTGCCCGGGGCTGCCTACCTCTTGCTTGTGGATCCCCCAGCATCATTGTGGCAACAGCAGATGGCTCCTGTTTGGGCTGCAGGCTGGGCTTCCCTCTGCTAGGAAGGGCTTATGCAGCCAGGTGGGTACCTCCCATAAGGATCTTGGTCTCTCCCTGCAGCACAGCCAACAACAATGCCTATGTAGGTGACATAAAGGACAAACTCATTGCCTGGAAGCAGTACCGGAAGGCAGCCATCGCCGGGGAGAATGCTGGCCTGGTCAGGTAGGATGTGGGCCCTGCTGGCCTGGCTGCCAGAGCTTCCCTCCCCCAGCAGATCAGGCTTCAGGGCCATGAGGTGAAAGAGGGCAGTGCAAGTACATTGGCACGCCCAGACATCCTGAGTACAGGAGTGCTGGACAGGCCCAAGAGGTGGCTGCCTTACCCTCAGACCTTCCATGGGACAAGTGGGACCCCCATTCTTGGATCTTGATCCTGAGCAGTCAGCTGAGACCAGATTGAAGTTCCAGGGGAGCTGGGTGGGAGTGCCACCTACATCAGAAGAACTGGTTCAGAGAGCCCTGCCTAAGTGACACGGATTCACTTGTCACTTACCATGTGTCTGCCTGGTGGCACGCCCAGGGCCTCGGGGAGGACAATGGAACAGTTCACCATTCACATCAATGCCAGCCCCAAGAGCAAGGTCACCTTCAAGCTGACCTACGAGGAGGTGCTGAAGCGAAGACTGAACCAATATAACATCATCATCAAAGTCAAGCCCAAGCAGCTGGTGCAGGATTTTGAGGTAGCTTGGGAGTCCCAGGCCAGGCCCTGCCTCTCTCTCATATACATACAGTGATCCTCAGCACTGGCTTGGCACCCACACTGTGTATCACCCCATGTGCCTAGAGACCCATGGCAAGGGACTGGCTCCTCAGGGTAGGCTCCCACGGGTCCTTCTCAGGGAGGAATCTCCCTGAACCTTCCCATACCCACCTCATCTCCAAGCCTCGTTTTGCTCATCTGTTTAGATGGGCAATCCTTGTGCATCCCAGGACTGGTATGGGGTAATGGAATGTCCAGGTAATTTGTAAACCAGGTTAGGGTTGGGGAAGCATGGCAGCTGGCCCCTAAGTGGTGACTGAGCTAAGACAAGCTGGCGGGTACACTTTCCACTGGTAAATGTTTGGGGGCATGCCTGTACTGTTTCAGGAGCTTTGATGAGGGCTGGTAGGGTGCTACACACAATGGGGACAGTCCAATAAGGGGTTTAGTGCAGAACCTGTTTCAATGGCACAGATCGATGTGGACATATTTGAACCACAAGGGATCAGCAAGCTGAACGCCCAGGCCCCCTTCCTCCCCAAGGAACTGGCTGCTCAAACCATCAAGAAGTCCTTCTCAGGGAAAAAGGTACGTGGCATGGCAGGGGCCTGTGGGGGCTGATCCAGGGACTTCTCAGTCCAGCTCATTTTGTACGGAATGTCCAGGCACAACCCAAGAGTCAGGCAGGCCCCAAGGGGCTGAAATCCCAGGGCAACACCCTTAAACCTCAGAGCCACTTAGCAGGACTCCATAGACCCAAGTGGGACAGATGCCAGCTCTACCTCCACCACCCCTGGCTGCACAGACCAGGGTAACTGGCTGGTTTACACATCCCAGATGGATGGCAGCTGTGAATGTGGTGGCTTCCATTGTCTTGGAAGCACAGTTGAGTTTGGAAAGGCCTTTCGCCCACCAGCAGTGTGTCCCTTGCCATCCATTTGCTGGGATCCCAGAAAACCCAGGTTTGGGCCCAGTGGTGTGGCCTAGTGGCTAAAGTCCTCACCTTGAACACACCAGGATCCCATATGGACGCTGGTTCTAAACCTGGCGGCCCCACTTACCATCCAGCTCCCTGCTTGGGACCTGGGAAAGCAGTCAAAGATGGCCCAAAGCCTTGGGACCTTGTACCTGCGTGGGAGACCCAAAAGAAGCTCCGGGCACCTGGCTTCAGATTGGCTCAGCTATAGCTGTTGCAGCCGCTTAGGGAGTGAATCAACAGACAGAAGATCTTCCTCTCTGTTTCTTCTCCTCTCTGTATATTTGACTTTGCAATAAAAAAAAAAATCATAAAAAAACCCAGGCTTGCTGCCACCCACGAAAGACTGACCTCTGGCTGGGTGACCCAGCTCCCAATCACTTGGTGCAGTGACTTCATAGCAGTTCATTTGGTAGAATCTTTTCCTACAGTGGAGGGATTTATTTTCAAAAAGTTCTTAGGAAACAGCACTGAAAAATAATTTTATTTGACTGTAAATCCTTCTAAAACTCATGCAACGTTTTTTTCTAAACACACATTTTTTTCCATGAATTTTTGGAAGACCTTGCATTTAAGAAGAGCAATGGGTCTTTTCTCCCACCAACCACTGGGTGTGTCTCCCTGTGACACAGTAAGGGGGTCCCCTGAGCTCAGTTCTGTGTCCATGTAAACATACACCACGCAGATACACACACACACACCACCCACTCTGCCAACATCCTGTGGGCACATGCACATGCCATTAATGCCGTGCCCCCTTGGTGGTTCCAGGGTCGCGTGCATTTCCACCCCACCATGGTCCAGCAGCAGTCCTGTCCTGCATGCTCCACGACCTTGCTGAATGGGGACTTCAAGGTGACTTACGATGTTAATCGAGACAAGCTCTGCGACCTGCTGGTGAGCCTGCAGCTTCTGGTCCAAGACCCAGAGAGAGAGAGAGGGAGAGGGAAGGCTGGCCAGAAGCCCAGTGACAGAGGCCTCACTCCCTCTCCTCTTCTCACAGGTGGCCAATAACCACTTTGCCCACTTCTTTGCCCCCCAAAACCTGACGAACATGAGCAAAAACCTGGTCTTTGTGATTGACACCAGTGGTTCTATGGCCGGCGAGAAAGAGAAGCAGGTAAACCTGCAGGCCACCTGCTAGCAGCTTCTTTGGCGATGCCACTCACCCCAAGCTGCTTTTGCTGCCGGAGTCTGGCCTGGGGTTGATGCTCCTGGCTGGGTTTTAGGGGGCTCTGGAATCGGACACTACTTTGTGTGTGTGCATGTGTGTGTGTGTGTGTGTGTGTGTGAGAGAGCCAGTGCATGACATCTCTCCTCGATGACAACAAAGGCCACCGTGGTGCCACTGCTGGGTCATGGGCTTACCCAATGGGGAAGTGCATGGAAAGGGAAACCTGTGCCCTGCAAAGTGCTGGCATGATTACAGGATTCCCTAGGGAGGTGTCCTATAGCATGCCAGCCCTGACCCACTAACCACAGTGCTCAGGTGCCCTGTCCGTGCACAGGCCATGGCTGGACAGGCAGCAATGTGGAAGCACAGGCTCTGAGAGCCTTCTTCTTCACCCTGTGCCACCTCCACTCCCATGCATGCCCTGTCCTTACACCATCCCCATCCCCCTCAACAAGTTGTCAGGGGCTAGTGAGATGCCCTTCAGGGCTATCTGGCCATCCCAGCCAGCCCCTCCTGCTAGGGTGCCTCTGTCCCATGCATCACCAAATGGGGTTTTCACCTAGAGTTGGCAGAAAGCACCATCCTGGAAGCTGTATTCCGCTCTGCTAACTACTGTGTCTTTGCAGACCAAAGAGGCACTCCTTAAAATCCTGGCTGACATCCGGCCAGCAGACTACTTTGACCTGGTCCTCTTTGCGTCTCGAGTACATGCTTGGAGGAATTCGCTGGTGCCAGCCAACAAGGCCAACCTCCAAGCAGCCCAAGACTTTGTGCAGCGCTTCTCTGTAGGCACGGGTAAGGGCTGGGGTCACATGCCAGCTTGGTGTCACCTCTGTCCCTGCTGCATACACACTGACCTATTCCCTCTCCTACACAGCCACAAACCTGAACGGTGGTCTACTGCGGGGTATTGAGATCTTGAACAGCGCCCAGGCACACCTGCCGGAGGTCAGCAAGCATGCCGCCATTCTCATCATGCTGACTGATGGCGAGCCCACAGAGGGTAAGCAGAGGGCTGTCCTGGAAGGGAGTGAGCTCCTGGCTCTCAGAGGCATTCAAGTGAATGCTAGCAACCCACGTGTTGGAGATGCTGTTGGTGGGGTTGTGGGGGCAGGGCAGGTGGAAAAGAAGGTTCAGGGCAAAACCAAACATGGGCCTGGAACGACAGTTCAGACCACAGACCCCGGGAGGGTCAAGGCTGCCTCTGTGTGCTGGGCAACTGAGGACATTTCTGGCAGACACAGGATTGTGCAGCATCCTGGAAAATAGGGAGTGTTCCCAGGTTGGGTTTAATGAACTATTTATTTTTTCAGGAACTAGAGTGTGCCAGACACAGGACTAGGGTGAAACAGCAGGAAAACAAGACCCTGTAGGAGATGTGTCCAGGAGCAGGTGCTCTGCTCGGGCACCTGAAAGATAGCAAGCCAAGGGGCTCTTGGATCCCAGACAAGGAGCCCCTATTCCAGGAAAAAGCTGGGAAGGCTTCTCAGAGGAGGTGACTTCTGAGCTCAGATTGACAGGGAGGAGGCAGGTAGGGAATAGCTGGCAGAAGGGATCTCAGGTTGAGCAGCAGAAGAAAAAGGTGGATGAGGTGGCAGGGTCTGCCTGGAATGGTATATAATGATATGGGTGGGCAGAAAGATGGCAGGGCCTCGCAGACCACCTCAGGGAGCTGTGGGAAGGGCTAGTCCCACCCAGACCCTCCTGTGGTGGCTCCACAGAGGTGAGTGTGAGCAGTAAGGAGCTCTGTTAGCAGCTGTGGCCCAAGTGGACATGGTCATCTCAAAATGCCCTTGAGGGAGGCTTGGGCTCCCCGGGGAACATCTCCCCGAGAGGCTGCCAGCACCCCGCATGCCGGAGCCCTTCCCCTCCCCGCCTGGCTGTGTGCCTTCAGGGGTGACAGATCGTCCTGAGATCCTCCAGAACATCCAGCGTGCCATCAGGGGCAGGTTCCCCCTCTACAGCCTGGGTTTTGGCCAAGACTTGGACTTCAATTTCCTGAAGAGCTTGTCCATGGAGAACAACGGATGGGCCCAGAGAATCTACGAGGGCCACGATGCTGCCCAGCAGCTGCAGGTCTCTGTTTTGCCCAGCCCCTGCCCTGGACCACCCACAGAAGGGCGCCGGGAGCCCCTCGTTGGGGTGGCTGCTTACCTGGCAGCCTAGAGGAGCAGAGAAAGCCATGATTCATTCAGTGGTGTAACCCCGGGTTCTGTCACTTCTGCCTTCTCCTCCACTGTATGAGCAGGCCTCCCACTGGCTGGCTGTCCAGGGTGCCCCGTGCTGAGGCTGCATCCTACCCCTGCAGGGCTTCTACAACCAGGTGGCCAACCCCCTGCTCGTGGACGTGGAGCTGCTCTACCCCCAGGATGCCGTCGTGGCCCTGACCCAGCACCGCCACAAACAGTACTATGATGGCTCTGAGATAGTGGTGGCCGGGCGCATTGCAGACCACAAACTGGGCAGCTTCAAAGCTGACGTGCGGGCCCGTGGGGTAATCTATGGGCAGTGGTTGGTGGGCAGAGAGGAAGGGAATGGAGCAGCCAGGTTCTCCACTTTGCTCCCCTCCCAGCCTATCCCCAGGGCCCTTTCTTTCCCTTGAAGAGCACCACTGCTGCTCACTGCCTGAATGCCATTGTGTGTGTGTACTGCTCTGGGTGTGGAGCCTAGACAGGCTGGGAGAAGGCCGGCCTGACCTGCCTGAGTCACAGTTTCCTTGGTCCCCAATGGGCCACCTGCTCCTCATCACGTCCTTCCCTCCAAAGCAAGAGAGCGCGAGACACCTACAGTCTCTCCCTTTTCGCCTGACGACCATTGCTGAAGCCCTGCTCTGCACCAGGCCTCAGGCCATGGTGCAGTGCATGCGGTCATGTGCACATGCACAGTGGGAACAGTTGGTGGGCATGTGAGTCGAGGATTCCACCACATAGCTGAGAGTTCAGAGCCCAGGCTTTGAGCGAGACCTGCCTGTGGCCCGATCACCTGTGTGACCTGGATGAGTGGGTTCCAACCCACCAGGCCTCAGTTTCCTGGTCTCTCTTGAGGGGGTTCATGCTGTGCTAGAGTGATGTGTGGTATAAATGGGGGCAGGAGGGTGAACTGCATGATGTCCTGTGCTGTGCCTGGTACACAGGGCGCTCTTGGCCAAGTGCAGCTGCCATTCTGGTAGCAGGGGAGAGAAGGCACATATGTGTACTATGGCAGGTGGAATGGCATGGACTGGCCAGAACTCAGTGGGCATTTGAAGCTGCCAACCATAGAGGACACAGCCGCGTGCTTGTTGGCCTCCCCCGTGCAGGCAGGGCCTGCTCCTTCAAGCCCATTGACAAGGCCCAGCAGGCATCTGTGGGATGAAGGAATACATGAGGAGGAGAATGGGTTCTGGAAGGGGATGAGGCTGAGCAGGAAGCTGCAGGGAACTCAAGGCAAGACCCCTCTCCACCCCCTAGCTTGGAGGTCCTGCCAGGGCTGTGCCATCACAGTGAGTGGCCTGACCCTAATTCTGTTCTCAGGAGGGACGAGAATTCCAGACCACCTGCCTGGTGGATGAAGAGGAGATGAAGAAGTTGCTCCAAGAGCGTGGCCACATGCTAGAGAACCACGTGGAGCGCCTCTGGGCCTACCTCACCATCCAGGAGCTGCTGGCCAAGCAGTAAGACCCCAGCATGGCCTCCCCCAGGGTGCCCTGCCACCTGGAGGTGACCCAAGAAGGGGTGGTTCCGGGCCCACAAGGTTGCTGTGGGTCACATCGACTTTCTCCGTCTGCTTTGCACACTGAGTTAATATCAACCAGTGGGTCAACAGTGTGGGCGAGGGCCTCCAGGGCACAGGGCATCTTACCGCTTGCCCCACTCAGCTGCTTGGAAGCCGGAGACTACCTTTCCTGGGGGCTCATCCTTGTAACCCCTTGGCGGAAGCCCTTGCTATTTCCCTTTAACAGACAGGCAAACTCAGGCTGGATTGTTTGCCCCAGGTGTCACAGCTGTTAAATTCCCTGGGTGAGGCATGCCCCTTGACCCAGCCAGAGCTCCAGGTCTTCTTGCTGGGAGGTTGTGCAACCCCACAGTTCCTGAACAGGACCTTACACGTGCTCTGAGACATGTTTGGTGAATGAGTGGATATGTGACTCCATGGGTGAGAGGATGAGCTAGCCTTGGCCTGCACTGGGGACTTAAAGGCAGCACTCTTCTCCCACACAGCACAAAGGCCAAGGGCAAGGAAAAGGAAGACCTGTCATCCGAGGCCCTGAAGATGTCGCTGGCCTACCAGTTTGTGACCCCACTGACCTCCATGACCATCAGAGGCATGACTGATGAGGACGGCCTGATGCCCACCCTTGACAAGCCCCCAGAGAGTATGAATGGCACAGCTCACAGTGGGCAGCCTGGGGACCTAGGGGACCCAAACTCTCCAGAAATTTAACTGGCTTCTCTTTCCCTCCCTCCCAGGCTCCCATCTCATGGGTGAGTTTTAAAACTCATTAGTCTTCAGTGTGGGGTCAGGGGTGGAGGGTTAGTGGCTGGCAGGTGCTCCAGCCCCAGGCACGTGTCTCTCTATCCCACGTCTTCCCTGGCCTCATAGACTCCCTACTGTAGACTCTGGGTCCCTACCAGGCCCCAGCCAGGGAGCCTGTGAGAAGGCACGTGCTGCTGGTGGTGGTGGGGATACCCCAGGAGGAAGGCTGAGCACACCCCCAACCCCATCCCATCCCACCCAAGCCGGGTCACCTCTGAGCTCCCTTGGCATACAGTGAATGACGTTGTGCTGTGTCCTTGTCTTCTGCAGAGATGGTGGGACCCAGGAGGAGTGAGTGATCATGTCCTGGTGACTGTCTTTCCTTCTCAGTTCTCCCCCTGCCTCTTGCTGCAATCCTTTAGGGACAGGTCCCTCTGATGATGGAGACAGAGAGAGGGTCAGCTCACTGCGTGGGGCCCCTCTCTGTCTCCACACCCCAGGGAGGCAACTAGGCACATGGTGGGGCTGAGTATGCTTTCTGTTCCATGGGGCTTGAGACCACCACTCTTTCCCCTGCCCTGGTGATGGGGAGGAGGTGAATGGGGAGACCAGGAAAGGGCCTGGCAGATCCAGAAAGGCCCAGCCACCCCCCTCCCATCCTCTCACCCCTCAGCATTTGTGCTCTCTGCTGGGCAGCCCCCTCCTACCAGTTCCAACACAAGTAACTTCAACACCAAGCTGCCTAACCAAGTGACAGGCGGTGAGTAACCGGTGGGAGGGCTGTGCCCCCTCTGCCTTGCCCTAGCCAACCCCATCTGCCAGCTGCCCCAAGTTAATGGACTCCATGCTGCACCTCCAGTGGACACAGATCCCCACTTCATCATACACGTGCCCTACAAAGAGGACGCCCTATGCTTCAACATCAATGAGCAGCCCGGTGTAATACTGAACTTGGTACAGGACCCCAACACAGGTCTGTACTGGCCTTCCCCTGTCTTCTCAACCAGTGGGTGGGTGGCCCCTGCAGGCACACCTGCCCATGCCTGGGAGGGCCTCACGTTCAGTCTAAGGTTTTGCTGTCGCTGCCTTGAAATCCTCTGCTCGGCAGTGGCCCTGGCCCTGGCCCTCAACCAGCATGATGGAGCAGAGCCCCAAGTGCATCACCAGCTTCTGGCCCTGTTGATTCCAGTGCAGGCATCTGCTGGGCACCTGCCGGGGCGGATGCCTCTGCGGGGCCAGGACAGTCTCTGTTTCCATCACGTTTCAGGGAGGGAGAGAACTACAGGCAGATACGGGCTTCTTTGGCCACTTCTGGCCTGGAGGTTGGCCATGCTGGGGTAGTGGGCCTGGGAAGGTACTGCAAAGAGGCCCCCTAAGTGTGCTTCCAGCATCCCTCATGAGTCTGCTCCTGGGCAGAGCCAGGCCTGACCAGTGATTTAGTGAGGCAGGGTGGGGCGAGGCGGAAAGAGAGGAAAAAGAAAAGTAGTGGATATGCAGGGCCAGTACTGGAGGGGCTCGGAGGGGTTGATAGGGTGGCAGGAAGGGGGTACACAGGCACATCCGACCCCCAGGACTCCTTACTCTCCTGCAGGCTTCTCGGTCAGGGGACAGCTGGTGGGCAGCGAGGCCGGGAGTCCCAGGCAGCACCAGGGCACATACTTCGGCCGGCTTGGGATCGCCAACCCTGCCACAGGCTTTCAACTGGAAGTGACTCCTCAGAATATCACACTGAGCCCTGGGCCCGTGTTCTCCTGGAGGGACCAGGCTATGCTGCATCAGGATGGGTAACCCAGCCATCCCCTTGGGGGGAAGGGGAAAAGTGCGGCAGAGGAAGGTGCAGCCCAGGCCAAGGCCCAGGGCACCCAGCACCAGCCAGCTCCCAGCCTGAGCCAGCAGGACACTCACCTGCAGGCTGTGCTGAGGCAGGGTGGGGGAGGCTGGGGGGTGCTCGCGGTGCATGCCGATGGATAAAACTCTGAGAACAACCCCTCCCTCTCTTTTCTTGTGCATGCATTTGGGGCCCGGCTGCCGGCCCTGGATCCTGTCCCATCTTCACCAAGCAACATTAATTCATCCTCCTAAGCCAAGCACAGAAGCCCTGAAGCCACCTCCTCCCTGAAGCCCTCCTACTCTACCTCTGCTCAATCCCAGACTTTCCTGGGTTTCTCTTTGGGCACTTGTCTCATGCTTGTTCCTGATTTCACACATTCATTCATTCACCAACTTGGCTGGGCACCAGAGCTGGAGGAAGAGGTGGGCAGGGCTGGTGTGGAAGACGCAGGTAATGGGTGGGAGTCAGAGAAAACAGACTCTGCTATCAGGCTGCAGCCTTAAGCCTTGACTCCAATGCTGTGCAACCTTAGGCAAGTTACATAACCTTTCTGAGCTTTAGTCCTTACAGGGTCAGGAATAGCATCGAGGATTTTGGTGCACTGGAATGGCCCCCTATTGCAAGCCATGGCGCAGCCCTCTGAGAGTGAAGGCCATAGCTAGTGGCAAGGTGAGGTGGTCACAGAGCTGAATCCTGGATGCTCCTGCACTCATGCCCTTTCTGACCCCTGCAGGATAGTGGTGACCATCAACAAGAAGAAGAACTTGCTGGTGTCCGTGGAGGACAGGGCCACCTTCGAGGTGGTCCTGCACCGAGTGTGGAAGGGGAGCTCAGCACCCCGGGACTTCCTGGGTTTCTACGTGCTGGATAGCCATGGCATGCCAGCCAGGACGCATGGGCTGCTGGGTATGGCCAGCTTGGCAGGAGGAGCTGGGGGTGGGATGCTGAGACCTACAGGCTTATGGGGCCAGGGGCACCCACACAGGCCCACAGGCAACCAGTGGCATGGCCGCCAAGACTCAGAGCTCTGAAGACATCCTTGTCCCAGAGGGTCCCAGGGCCCTCAGAAAGGCCAGGATGGGACCACAATGACATTCAGGGCCAGGGAGCCCACGAGGAAGGAGGGCAGAGGCCTGGTGAGCAAGCACAGGGCCACAGGGCCCTAGGGTGACCAACAGTGGTCACTCTGCTGTCCCGCCAGCAGGCACCTGCCCCACCCACCTTTCCCAGGGGCCACATCCCTGTAGAGTTTATTTAAAAAGGCAAGAGGAAGAACTAGCTGGGAATCTGCATATCTGCTTCTCCATGCAAGTGACCTGAACCAAAGCTGATTTTGGATGCTGAGGCATCCAAGCCTGGGAGCATCCCCCAGGAGCACCTGCTCTGTGTGAAGCAGGTGTAAGCCTCTCCTCCAATGATCACTCACACATGCTTTTCCAGGACAATTCTTCCACCCCTTTGACTTTGAAGTGTCCGACCTCCGTCCAGGCTCAGATCCCACCAAGACGGATGCCACAATGACGGTGAAGAACCGCCAGTTGACAGTCACCAGGTGCGGGCAGCTACTGGTGACCCAGTCTTTCTCCAACTGTCATGTGGCTGGAGTGAGGTCCTGGAAGGGGCAGCCTGAACTGCCAGGTCCCAAGTGACCCCAGTTGATGTGTCTCTGCCCAGGGGTTTACAAAAAGATTATAGCAAGGACCCGCGGCGCGGGGTGGAGGTGTCCTGCTGGTTCGTCCATGACAACGGAGCTGGCCTGATCGACGGTGTCCACACTGACTACATAGTCCCCGACATCTTCTGAGCCTGCCCGCTGACACACCTGCTCCCCCACCCAGAACCATGGCAGAGGAGGAGGATGGCACTTTGACCTGGCCACACCCCCACTGTCAAAGCATCCAAAGACTTCTATTAAAAACCTACTATGTCCTGCTCAGAGCCGGTGGTTTTTGGGGAGGGAGGCTGCTGAAGGGTGCAGTGGCTTGAGATCTGCCCCTTGCATGAGCTCAGGGATGACAGCAAACTCAGGGATAGGAGAGCAGGGTGGGAGTTGAGAGGGGAACCCAGGCCAACTCTGCCCCCAGCCACCAAATCCCGTTCTGGGAAGCGAGTCCCTGGCAGACCCAGAGCATGGAGCTGGCTGTGCCAGCAGGGACCATCGCAATGGCCAATGCTTGCTGCTGTCAGGAACTAGCGTGGATCTTAACTGAACTCATTCAGCTGGGCTCCCTGGGGAGGGTTCACACACCACCTGGGACACCCGCATCCCATGTCGCAGTGCTGGGTGAGTTCGGGGCTCCTGGTTTTCATCCAGCTCAGTTCCAGTTGTTGTGGCCATTTGGGAAGTGAACCCACAGTTGGAAGATTCTCTCTCTCTCTCTCTCTCTCTCTCTCCCCCTTTCAAATGAATAAACATAGATCAGTAACTCATGCTCCAATTGCTCTAAGGAAGACTTTTATCCATCCATGGGCCCCTGAGGGAGCTGAGGCCAGGGAGCTGAGGCCAGGGAGCTGCCCCAGCCTGTGGGCACTGAGCTGGCATTTGAACCCAGGCCATGACTTTGGCATCCACATGCTTACCTGCCCCCATGTGAACACTGTACAACACAAGGAGGTTGGCAACTAAGATATAGAAGCAGGTTACAGACATGCAGTTTGGAAGGATCGTGTGAAGGTGCCGTCTACACAGACCCACAGTCTCTAAGTCCCTCCAGGAACAGGGGCTGCCCAGGCCAGTCCTCTCCACAGGTGAGGTGGTCTCCACCCAGAATCTGAAATTGCAGACCCCAGGAACAGTGCCCCACTGTCTCCTCACACAGTCACCTTCCCTCGAGACCCAGGGAAGCATGGTGTTGGAGGGTTGTGGGACAAGGCATACGTCGCAAACCCCTGGGCTAAAGGTGATAGGGTGGCTGGGCCTCCAGCGGGGCCTTCCCTAATACATTTCTGCTTTTCTCCTCTGCTAGTTCCTGCCCAACTCCCCCCTACATGAGGCCAGTGAGGGCCCAGGGAGGACAAGGACTGGCTTTGAAGGCCCAGATCGATAACACAAACGCTGGGCTCAAAGGTGCCCTGGGGCCCAGCCAACTGCTTTCCAAAAGCTTCCTCAAAGACAGCCCCTGCCAGGGTCACCTCTGCCCAATGGGGGGTTCCTCTCTCCTCATACAGAGGGGACCCGAGCATCTTTGAGGCTCCAGTTGTGCCACTGTGGGCGGTCTCCCATCCTTTGGGGGCTTGAGAAGCTTTAAAATCCCCTATTTCACATTGTCCCTCCCTGCATACACCAGGCATTTTGGGGAGGAGATGTTGGCCTAGGAGACCCAGGCCAGGTGGAACACCACACACAACTGTAGGGAGGAGGGGGACACACAGCCGTGCTGCTCAGCAGCTGCAGATGCCGAAATGGACCCGTGGACAATATGTCCCGGGGGAGGCCAGGTGGCAGTTCTGAGGTCTTCTATCCACACCCCTGCATCAACACCTATTTGGGTTGGCCCCATCAGGCCTGTGCTAGGACGCCTGCTGCTGGTGGGGTTACAGTAAGACCAGAGGAGAGCGGACACAGCCAGCCCTGCGTCAGCTGTCACCTGACCATTGATCCCGAACTGGGCAGCTGGCTACCTGGCTGGCTGGCATTGCTGGGCTTCTGCTGCCTTCCATCACTGGTCCATGCCCTCCCTGGGGCCTCTGCTGCCTCATGACTTTAGCTTTTGCCCATCTCTACTTCCTGGTCTACACTTCTAGCTTCTGACTCTATGCCATAGGCCGAGTACCTTTGGTCCAGACCACAGCAGCAATCACAGGTTCACCGTCCCAAGCCCAGCTGTCCTTCTCTATCCCTTCAGTAGGGGCAACAACTTTGCTCAGAGTGGCCAGGAGCACTGTGGGCATACAGCAGCTGCCCTTGAAGCAATGGAACCTGGCAGGGCGCTGGTGTAGCTAAGGAGGTCCAAGCTCCCACTGGGGGAAGAACTAAGTCTTGCCTCAGAAACTTCTATTGTCCCAGAGGTCGGAGCCCAGTCATTCCGCATGCTTTTAGGGGAGCAGCCAGTTCCCTCCTTGTGCCCTGAGAGTACACAGTGGGAGGTAACAGGGCTTGGTACCCAAGAATTCAAGGCTCTGAACGGGGCCATCCCAAGGCTCCTGGAGCAAGAAGCACTGAGGCTGATGACAGAAGAGAGAGGTGCAGAGATGGGGGTGACATGCTCCTGGTGGGGGGCAAGAGAGGAGTTGGTTAGGAGACTGTCAGAAAGGCCAGTAGGAGGAGCCCCATCACAGGGCGGAAGGACCTGGGTGCTGGGAGCCAGAGCAGATCAATGAGTGAGGGGGTCTCCTGTAGGTCTGCTTTTGAGTGCTGGCTGTCTTGAGGAGAACAAATGGGCTACTGTCTGGGGGCCAGGGTAGAGGCCATGCGGGTGGGCAGTAGCAGCCCCACACCTGGCTCCTGTGCCCCCACTAGGGAAGCCCAGGGCCCACCCGCTGGCCTCTGATCTGTGCCTGGGCAGAGTGCACCCCAGCACTACTGACGACACCCACTGGGCCCCCTGTATCCCTGCAACCCATGCCCCTGTGGTTTACTCCCCCACCCCTGTCCAGCTGCCAGGAAGAGCCTCCACCTCCATTTGCCAGCTCGGGGTTGGTCACTGACCCTTCCTGCAAACATTGAGGTTGGCTCATATAAGGAGCGTGAACTGGCCCTGCACGATCAGCCATGGCATCTGCTCACTGGGCCAGCCTCCTCTGCATTCTGCTCTCAGGCTTGGCTGCCTTGGGCTTCCCGAGGAACCCAGTCCGACTGCTGGAGGTGAATCTGTCCCTTCTGAGCCCTTGGGAGCTTCTGGGGGTGGCAGAGACAGCAGGCAGCACCCTGGAACCCCATATTTAAGCACAGGGAAGGGGAGGCAGAGGCCTGGGCACTGAGCCACTGCCATCCGTGCCTGACATAGGGTGAAACGGGGGCTCTTGCCAAGGCGTGTCCTGGCAGGGATCTCAGGTCTTCCACCCGCCACACAGGAGGTGCCTTATGCACTGCTGGCCTCAGGAGCTGAGCTGTGCATCCTAGCGGGATTACTAGGGGTTGAGGAGTTGTTGGAGAAGGCCCAGGAGCCAGGGTAAGGCTGATTGAGAGAGAAAGAGATGGCAGGGGTATAGAGGGTGCAGGGAGGGCCCCAGGCCCCACTGTCTCTGCTTTCCCTCCTGAAGCTCAGTTTCCCCATCTGAGTCTATCTCTCTGACTTGAGGCACTGGGAGGGTCTTTGGCCTGCGGGCCCCTCAAGAGGTAGGTGGGGGATGGGGTGTGTGTATGTGTATGTCCCTGGGTGTTTATAAGTGCTGAAACCTGGCCCCAGCACAGGAAACTGCTTCAGGCCACAGTGGCCTTGCTCTTGGCTTAACCTTCTGTTTGCCCTTGTTTTTGCAGAAACGGAGCCTCCCAGCAGTGGTGAGAACTTTCACCGGCCAGGTGGGGCAGGGTGGGAGGGAGCTGCTTGTTCAGCACTGGAGGTAGGGAGCCTGCGTGGCAAGCCATTAGCTCAAGGGTGGGGACCCCTGCCTGGCACATAGACCCTACAACCTGTGGGGACACAGCCCAGGCAGGGGGTCCCACCCATCATCCCTGCTTCCTTGCAACCTTTGATGAGGGCTTGTTGGCCCTTGGATCTGAGTGCAGTCACACACACACAGTGAAGCGGCCCTAGGGGACCTCTGCACCGTGACTTCTGGTCACACTCCATGCTGCAGCCTCCTCCAGCCTCTTGCTCCTGGTAGCACTGGATGGGGCAAGTTCAAAAGACCCTGGAGGCAGCTGTGTGTGTGTGGTCTGAAAAGGGGGTGCAGGGGAGCCTGGTGCCATTTTGAATGTAGTTGGAGCTCAGGGCTAGCGTGAGGAAGAAGAGGAGAAGGATACTTTCCTGCAGAATTTCAAGGCCAAGGGGCTGACCATCCTGAGGGGGTGGGGAGGGATGGGGCAGAGGCATATTTAGATTTTTGCAAGATCTCACTGGCTGCCACTGCACGCCTACAGATTTCAGTGTTAACGGACTGGGGAGGAAGCACCAGAACTCAGGTGGCCAATTGACTGGGGACAGGCGGGAGGACGGCTTGTCACTAAGCAAGGCCTGCTGCAGCTGCAAGGGAGCAGGTGGAAGGGGAATGGCCAGACCAAAGGCCTGAGCGTCTCCAGATGCCCTGGTCTGGCTAATGACCACCTGCTTGTGCCCCATGTCCCTGTCTCTCTAGGTGAATGGTATCGAGATCTACAGCACCAAAATCAACTGCAAGGTGACCTCCCGCTTCGCCCACAATGTCGTTACCACCAGAGCCGTCAACCGTGCAGACACAGCCAAGGAGGTGTCTTTTGATGTGGAGCTGCCCAAGACAGCCTTTATCACAAACTTCACCTTGTAGGTGTAGCCCCGACTGCCAGCTCTAGACTCTGGGGTGCTGGGCCTGTGTGATGCTCCCAAGCTCCCTTTTCCCGGCAGGACCATCGACGGTGTGACTTACCCTGGCCAAATCAAGGAGAAGGAGGTTGCTAAGAAGCAATATGAGAAGGCTGTGTCCCAGGGCAAGACCGCCGGCTTGGTCAAGTAAGAGTGCACAACATCTGGGCTGCCTGGGCCTGTGCAGAGATATAAACAACAAGTTACTATTACTGGTAGGGCAACTCTGCTCCCATGGTCTTTATAGAATCCTGTTTTGAGACTAGCAGCAAATGTTTAAGGGACTGTCTTATCACAAGGCTCCTTGGAATTGAATCCAGGGCTGCGCAAGAGGGGACTCAGGCCGTTGACTGGGGGGCGGGAGAGCATGAATAGTCATTGTCTTGCACCCGGTTCAGGGCCTCTGGGAGGAAGTTGGAGAAGTTCACCGTCTCAGTCAACGTGGCTGCGGGTAGCAAGGTCACCTTTGAGCTCACCTATGAAGAGCTGCTGAAGCGGCACAAGGGCAAGTACGAGATGTACATCAAGGTGAAGCCCAAGCAACTGGTCAAGCACTTTGAGGTAGTACTGCTCCTGAGCAGCCCCTTCCCTGTTGGACTGGGGGAGAGGATACAGGGGTGGGGTAAGCACCCTTGGAACAGGGCTCCAAGTAGGGGTCCAGAATGCAAAAATTCTGGTCTGGCTCAGAGGGACGACCATGGTTCTGGATACAGTGTCTGGAAGCCAAAGGGAGGCCAGGCTAGACCTGGCAGATCCAGACTTGGTTTGGGCCCTGGGGGTGGGTACAGCACCCCTAAGTGCACAGCCAGACCGAAAGCCTGGGTGCTGGGTGTACTCTGATCCTGGGGTGGCGTGAATGGGGACAGCTCGTCGGGTCCGAGTATCCTGCAGCGCCCCCTTGTGGTTGGTCCTCTTCCTGCTGGGGAAAGCTCAGCACTGTCCACAGACCCATCACCAGTCCTTGGCCTCCACCAGGCCACAGAGAGCCCGGTCTTCTCTGGTGTTTCAGATCGATGCACACATCTTTGAGCCCCAGGGCATCAGCGTGCTGGATGCTGAGGCCTCGTTCATCACCAATGACCTCCTGGGCAGCGCCCTCACCAAATCCTTCTCCGGAAAAAAGGTGCTACAGACACCTCTAAGATCCAGTGGGGTGCGGTGGAGGGGCAAGGATGCCGACCCCAGCAGGACCAGCCAAGGCTTGGTGGAGGCGAACCAGGGTGTGCCAGGGTTACAGGGCACACATCTCAACTGTCACCTTTCTCTCTGGTCACTGGAGTCGGCAGGGGAATGCTGTCATTGGCCTTCCAGAGGAGGGTGGGGCCTCCAGTGCAGGGGTGGGCAGGGAGGAAAACCAGTGTATAAGCTGACCCTGCCCTCTGCCTGGGGGACGCAGGGGCAGCAGTTGCTGTCCCTGTTTGAGAGATGAAAAGCCCACTGGGGATTATGAAGCTCTCCTGACTGCGCACTGGGGAGTTCCAATGCAAACGGCAGTGGGGTTGGCTCTAGGCTCTCTCCCTGGGGCCGGCTCTAGGCTCTCTCCCTGGGGCCGTTGGTAGGCAGTGGATGACCCATGCAACCAGGGCTAGCCCAAGGGGCACTCAGGGTTACTGGCTTCTACAGGACACTCACCTCCCACTTTCCTCCTGCCCTCTCTCCCTCCTCTTGGCCCCAGTACCCTAATGTGCAAAACTGCCCAGCATGAGATCCTGCTTTCTTTGGGGCACAGCTCCCTTCCCTAAGGGGCTTCTGGATGCTAAGCTCCTGGTCAGCCCTGCACATCTCGTCCCTCAGGGCCACGTGTCCTTCAAGCCCAGCTTAGACCAGCAGCGTACGTGCCCCACCTGTAACGACTCCCTCCTCGATGGGGACTTTACCATCACCTACGACGTGAACAGAGAGTCTCCAGCCAACATACAGGTATGTGCCAGTGGTTCTGTTGGGCTGGCCAAGCTGTCCCCACCCTGGCAGCAGCGGGGGACCATAGCCGCTGCCTGGGGAACCATCACCCTCCACATGCAACCCAAGGTGCAGTGCACCCCCAGAGGGAGAGGAGATGCCTTTTTCTGGGGCTGGAGAAGGGGCTGTCCAGTGAGGCTAATGTGACAGCACCTCTGCCCATCTCTGCCCCTTGCAGATAGTCAATGGCTACTTTGTACACTTCTTTGCACCGCAAGGCCTCCCAGTGGTGCCCAAGAACATAGTCTTTGTGATCGATGTCAGCGGCTCCATGGCTGGGCGGAAACTAGAGCAGGTACTGTCCTCGGGGTCAAGGGCAGGAGCTGGAAGAGGAGAGGTTTCTCTTCAAGTGCTAAATGCTAGCACTGCTGGGGGTACCACAGGAGTGGGACTCTTAGAAGGCTGGACAACATGGGCCCCTGGGCTGGAAAGATGCCTCACCCGCTGCCTGCCCTCATGCACCTGCTTCTCTCCCCAGACAAAGGATGCCCTCCTCAAAATCCTGGATGACATGAGAGAGGAGGACTACCTGAACTTCATCCTGTTCAGCAGTGGTGTGACTATTTGGAAAGACCACTTGGTCCAAGCCACACCCGAGAACCTCCAGGAGGCCAGGAAGTTTGTGAAGAGCATCCGGGATCAAGGCAGTAAGCAGACCTAGGGCAGGTGGGAAGGTGTCCTGTGTCGTCTGCCCTGTGCAGCCTGTCTCAGAACAGAGGTTCTGGGGCCCCCAGCTGGGGAGTGGCACTGGGGTGGCCCTCGGCTCAAAGACACGATAGTGGGGCTATCTTCTATGTGGTCTATGAAAACCCACTCCTATTTTCCCACCCAAGCAGGCCCAGCTCTACTTAACTTCCAGGACTCATCAAGACAGGGGCATGTTCAGGGTGGTTGGGCTGTCGACCTGTCCTTCCTGCTTCTCACCTGCCATCCCCATGTCCTTGCAAGTCCTGGCCAGGCAAGGCCCCAGGGTACCCCCTTTTCTTGGCCCTGTATCATCTGGTAAAACATAAGTGGATTTCATGACACTCCTCTCTCCTCCCTGCAGTGTGCCTCATTGCAGGCATGTGCTCCTGCCCCCGTCTCTGCTGCCCAGCCACCCCCAGCTGGAAGTGTTAAGTCTTTAGTTCATTCGCCCTTTGCGTGCAGTCAGCACTTGTTGGGCAACACCCACATGAGTGCAAACAGGGTCCCTGGGTGCACCAAGGAGTCTGCTGTCCCTGCCCCCTAAGGACAACCCACCACAGAGCTGGCTGTTTGTGCCCAGTGACCAACATCAATGATGGGCTGCTGCGAGGTATCAGCATGCTGAACACGGCATGGGAGGAGCACCAGGTTCCCGAACGAAGCACCTCCATCGTCATCATGCTCACCGATGGGGATGCCAACACCGGTGAGGGGCGGTGGCTGCTCCTGGCTCCCGGACTGGCTCAGGGCGAGGCTTCCCCCCTATTTCTCCCCTGCCCCTGCATCGTAGGGTCATGCTTACCTCTCCCCACCCTCCTCCCAGGCAGGAGGCCCCAGCTGCTCGGCAGGTGCAGGGTCCAGAACTCTGCAGCCGGTTCCCAGGGCTGTGGCCAACATGTAATCTCCCTCTCTCCCCCTGCCACCCCTGCAGGTGAGAGCAGACCTGAAAAAATCCAAGAGAATGTGAGGAATGCCATCGGAGGCAGGTTTCCCCTGTACAATCTGGGCTTTGGCCACAATCTGAATTACAACTTCCTGGAGAAAATGGCCTTGGAGAACAACGGGCTGGCCCGGCGCATTTATGAGGACTCGGATGCCAATCTGCAGCTGCAGGTGCACCACGTGGCACATCCTCCGGGGGAACTTTCTCAGTAATGGTGCTGCAGCTCCAGCCAGAGGTCCACCTCCGGCTCCTTCTCATACCTGGTGCTGCCCAGGCACGCCTGCGCCCTCTGTCGGACTGCCTGAGCAGGCATACCCCACCCATTGACAGTGCACTACTGATAAGCAATGGATACTTTTTCAGTGCATGTCTGCCCCAGCACAGCATGCGGTATCCATAGTCTCAGGCAGCCATGGCCAAGCACAGGAGCCTAGAACAGAGGCTTTCAACACCAGAAACGTGGGTTCTCACGGGGCTGCAGGCTGGGTGGCTATGACAAAGAGATCCACCCTGGGTCTCTCTCCTTGGCCAGAACACACCTGCATCCCAGATCCCCCTTCTACAAGGACTCCAGTCACACTGCACAGGGCCAGCTCTCCCGCCTTCATTTTCCCCAGATTCTCTCTTTGCAAAACTCCAAATAAGGTCATGTTCAGAGGGACCGGGATTTGGACAGCAGCACACACACTTGGGAGCAGACATGCAGCTCTCCAAAACATTCCTCACTCCTGGCCATTTGAGGGAACTCTGCACCCTCTCTTCTGCCTGGCCATCCTCTTCCTCCCTTGGGTGGATGGCAGCATCTCCACCTAAGCAGGTGGAGCTCGTACCAATCACTGGGCCCTGTCACCTTGCCTCCTTCAGGCAGTTTCTCTTTCTTTCCCATGCCAGGGGGACTGAAGGACACAGGGCCACGGAGAAGTGGATTCCAGGAGGCAGGGCCAGAGGTCCTACCATAGCATGTGTGGGAGCCTGTCAGTCCTGCCCCCTGCCCCCTCCCTAACCCTCCTCCCAAATGCCTGAGCTGAGCATCCCTGGTTTGGGCTACAGGGCTTCTACGAGGAAGTGGCTAATCCGCTGCTGACAAGTGTGGAGGTGGCATACCCCAACAATGCCATCCTGGACCTCACCCAGAACAGCTACAAGCACTTCTACGATGGCTCCGAGATCGTGGTGGCCGGGCGCCTGGCCGATGAGGACATGAACAGCTTTAAGGCGGATGTGAAAGGGCATGGGGTGAGTGGGATGGAGGGTGTCTCAGCACGGTGGGGGCTATGCCAAACTCCTGCAGTGGATGGTGGAGGAGTGGTAGCCCTCAATACCTCCACCTCCCCCAACCCTGCCCCAGGCCTTGAACGACCTGACCTTCACGGAGGAGGTGGACTTGAAGGAGACAGAGGCGGCGCTGAAGGAGCAAGAGTACATTTTCGGGAACTTCATCGAGCGGCTCTGGGCCTACCTCACCATAGAGCAGCTACTGGAAAAACGGTGACCCCACCTGCCCTGGGCCCCGGCCCAGCCCCTTGCCCACTCTGTAGGCCTGGACTCCAGGGAGGGGCACCCCCCATGCCTGGCCCAGCTAAGGAAGTACTTATCAGGAGGACCCCAGGCCCTTCTCCTCAAACCTACTCAGCCCCACCCTGGCTCAGGTTCTGTAATGCGCACCCAGCACTGCTGGGGGACAGAGAGGTTGGTCAGAATCCCCCACAGGCTCTGCTGGCTGCTCTCAAGGGTCCTGCCGGCCTTCAGTTGGTTGTGGTAGTGCTGTGAGGGCCAGCGTGGGGTCCAGCAGGGGAAGGCCTTGGTTCACAGAGCAGCCGTCAGGAATGTTGTAGTGGCCATATGAAGGACTCGAGAGGAAGCAAGGCTTGGCCAAGGAAGCTGGAGAATGGGTCTCCTCTGAGTCCCAGTGGGCTCCAGCCTGGGGGGCTTAGGGGGTGGAAGGTGGGGAGGGGGTCCCCGCTGCCTCTGGAGTTGGAGGAGCAGGCTGGGAGCTCCTCTCTCTGGGCTCACCCGCCCGCCCGGCTCCCTCCTCCTTGCAGCAAGAACGCCCGTGGTGAGGAGAAGGACAATCTCACTGCGCAGGCCCTGAACATGTCCCTCAAGTACCACTTTGTGACTCCGCTGACCTCCATGGTGGTGACCAAGCCCGAGGACAACGAGGAGCAGACGGCCATCGCTGACAAGCCTGGGGAAGGTGGACCTGAGGGGGATTCCACACACAGAGGCCTCCCGGACTGGGGAGCCCCAGGCCTGCTGAAGAGGGGGCGGGCCCAGGAGGAAGCCTGGTCAGGGGCTGGACAAGCCATGTGTCAAGAGACAGACAGGTGTGCGGCATGGGGTGGGGAAGGGGTCCACAGGCACCTCTGAATCTGTGAAGGGCTATGGGATAAGGGCACAACAACCCGGGGCAAGTTCTAGAGCAAGAGCTTAGTCAGACAGGAAGGATTTTCTACCTGAAAAGCAGGCCTGGAGCAGGCTGCTGGACACCTGAAGACTGTGAGAGATGGACAGAAGTCCACTGGAGGCTGGCAGTACCTCTGCCAAACTTCACTCTGTGTGCCCACGTGCCTGGGTGCAGCTGATGTGTGGAGGACAGAGTTAGTATTGTCGGGCATGAGAAGCAAAGATCTTGTCCCTGCCAGGCCAGGCCTCTGGTTTCCAGGAGCCCCTCGTTCCAGGGGACTTCCTGTGGGGACTCAGCTGGCTGCCCCCATCAGTCACACGGTCCCTGACAGCAGCATCCAGTGTCTCCTACTGATGCCTCTTGTTTCTCCCTTGCTGCACCAGGGCAAGCCGAAGGTGAGCTGCAAACCACGGCCACTTGGGTGACAGAAGCCAACGGCCCATCCCGGGCGGGTGGGCACACCTGGCTAGGAGGGTGACTGTTCTACCACCAAGGACAGCTGTAAGCCCCCCCAGTGCCACCTGCAACATCTTTGTGAGCTGAGCTCAAGAGCAGCCTTGGCCTTCAACCACAGCATGACACGGCGGCACTAGACCAACCTCCTACACACACCTCCACCCCCCACACCCCTCACACCAGAGTTCCCTGGGCACATCCCCACTTTTAAAGCCTAAACCTTAAGGTCACAGCTCCATCTTCCACCTGCCAGGGTCAGGGAGGCCCCTCCGCTAGTGGCCCCAAGGGAGAGAGGTGGAGGAGAGGGAGCCCCGAGGTCCTGTTCCTGATGGCCCCTGGGTTTCCTTTCAGCCACTGCTGTGAATCCCACCTTGGCCTTCTTGAGTGAGTACCCACTGCCCGTTGTGGTCCTCCTGCTCACGACCCCGAGCTTGCCCTTGGCCTGGTCTCGGCTGCAGTCTCTCCTGACTTGGTGTGCTGGGAGATAGGGGAGGACCAAGAAGACCAGATAGCTATGAGGCCAAGGGCCCAGGCTGCACCCTGCGTGGGGGGACTGGAATGTCCCCAGGGCACCTGCCAGGCTCAGCCGTGCCTCTCTTCCATCTGCAGACAGCTACCAGCCGCCTCAAAAACCCCCCTACTACGGTGAGTACTGTGGGCTCCCTGCCACCTGATGGTCCAGCCCACAGGGGCCAGGAGATCGAGGTAGCCCCAGATCCCACAAGCCAGTCCCTTCTCTGGTATGTCCACAGTGGACGGAGACCCCCACTTCATCATCCAAGTCCCTGAGAAAGATGATGCCATCTGCTTCAACATTGATGAGGAGCCAGGCACAGTGCTGCGTCTCATCCAGGACCCTGTCACAGGTGAGGGCTCCATGTTCCTCCAGCAGGGCTCAGGAACCAGGCCTTCTTCACTCTGCTCAGCAACATGAGCTTGGCACAGTCAGGGCAGGCCAGGGGAGGACACTGGGAGGCACAGGGTCACCATGTCCCAAGGTATGAGGTGTTGCTAGGAGAGGTAGCTCACATTAGCAGGTGGCCTGGGTCTGGAGTCCCCCATCCTGCATCTGGGGGACAGTTTTTCTCAACAACACTCCCTGGCCCAGACCCAGAGCAAATCTGTAGCATCTCCATGTGACCCCAAGTCCCAGGGCACAGTCAGGGCCAGCTTCAGGACCCCTGCTCCTCTGCTGCTTTGGCAGGTGTCAAGGCCAGCCTGGACTCAGAGGGTCTCGCATGATGTCTCTCTCCCTGGCAGGCCTCACGGTTAATGGGCAGATCATTGGTGACAAGCAAACCAGCCAGGACTCCAGCCCTGGAAAGACTTACTTCGGAAAGCTAGGCATTGCCAGCACTCACCTGGACCTCCGCATTGAGGTGACCACGGAGAAGATCAGCCTGTGGAACGAGGTTGGGCGTAGCACGTTCAGCTGGCACGACACGGTCACGGTCACACAAGCTGGGTAAGGTCCTCCCAGTGCATCTCCCAGGGCTACTGCAGCCTGATAGATCCCAGGAGAGAAGATCCCCAGGGCTCATGGGAGAGATGGCTAGCCTCAAGGCAGGGTCCTCTGCCCCCAGGGAGGGGACCCTTGGTGACCTCCAGCCACCCCCAGGGCAGATCTCTGAGCTAGAAGCAACTGAGCATGGTCCTCAGGTAGGATGCTCTTTCTCTGGCTGAGCTCCTCAGCCTCCCCACAGCCTGGTGGGCAGACCAGGGCTGTGGCTCCCATGGAGGCTCAGTGAGGGCAAAGACCTGGCCCTGGCTCATGCAAGCAGGCAGTAGCCGAGCCAATGCCTGCTTTGACACTTACAGAGCAGTGAGCGGAGTGCAGGGCACACATGCCAAGCATCACAAGATGGGTTCCACAGTCTGTGTGCTGAGGTGCCAGGCCCCAGAAGGCCCCACTGAACTGCTTCTGACTACCTCTTCTGTCCTAGGCTGTCCATGACCATCAACAAGAAGAAGAACATGGTGGTTTCCTTTGGAGACGGGGTGACCTTTGTGGTTGTCCTGCACCCAGTATGGAAGAAGCACCCCCTCCACCAGGATTTCCTGGGCTTCTATGTAGTGGACAGTCACCGCATGTCAGCATGGACGCACGGGCTACTGGGTATGGGGGTCACTCCATTCCCTAGCTCAGGGCACCCCAGGCAGACTTGACAGCCACCCTGAAAAGCCACATTCCTGTGGTAATGATCGTTTCATTCCCAGGACAATTCTTCCACCCGTTTGACTTCGAGGTGTCCGACATTCACCCCGGCTCTGACCCCACAAAACCAGATGCCACAATGGTGGTGAAGAACCACCGGCTGAGAGTCACCAGGTAACCCACTCCCAGGTGCCGCCCAGCTGCAGTGACACGGGCCACAAGATCCCTCCCTATCCAGACGTGTTTGCCCAGGAGGCTCCTGTCTGCCGTCAGGGGTGGGGGATTCCCTGGTTCCCTTTTTAGGTCTTAGCCTGCTTCTAGGTTCCTTAAAGTCAAGGACAAGTCCAGACTTTGCTCCCAGAAATCCCGTGGCCTCACTCATACCCAAAGAATTCTGCACTCTCAGAATTGCCAACTTCATGCTCTTTTTCCAACTATGGGGCTGCAACCTTAGCAACCATCTCCCCATTTTATCTACCCTGCCCCCCAGCTGCGGGTATTGTAGCATGTCTCTCCTTCCTTTCAGGGGTTTCCAGAAAGACTACATGAAGGATGTCAGCAATGGCACACAAGTCGCCTGCTGGTTTGTCCACAACAATGGGCAAGGGCTAATTGATGGCACTCACACAGACTACGTCATCTCCAGCCTGTTCTAAGCGGACATCCAGACCCCCAGGGAGATGCCTGGTCCAGGGGCTCCACAGGAAGGAGTGGAACAATAAAGCCTAACACAGAAACCTGACTGCTTCCAGCCTCTCTGTGCTGCCATGAGCTCCTGCTCCGGGGAATGGGCAGCTGGGACCCATGGCAGCTTGAGATGTGGGAGTAGCTGGGAGCAAGGCAGCTTTAGGGGCCTCTTAACTGAGAAAGCTAAGAGAAAGTTGGTTGACTTTGTACTTCAGGGAACTAACCATTTCATGGCTTGGGAAGGACAGAGTTAAGGGGCCCCAGAAGGTCTGAGGGTATGTCAGTGCTTAGGAAGGGCTATCAAGACCTTCAGGAGCAGAATGTGCTCCATGCAGACACGGCCCATCTCAGAGGGCCCTCCCTTTGTCAACACACCAGCCCATCAGCAATCCATCCATCTACCCGCCCATCATTCCATGCACCTGCTTACTGCTCAGCCACCTGTTACCCACTTGTCCATCTACCCATTCCACTGACCATCCATCCATCTGTGCACCCCTCACTCATTTCGCCACTCACTCATCTGTCTTCTCAACAGTTCTACCACTCATCCACTTAACTCTGCATTTTCCCACCTACCCTTCCTTTGACTCAGTGGAGAAACTGGAGTAGCAGCTGCAGCACACATTTCCTGTTCTCATGGGGTTCTACGCTTGCCTTCAGCTGGTCCAGACATCTCTGGGCTCCTCCAATCACACCTGATCCTGACTGGCCACTTGTTCCACTTTCCCAATGAGCCTGGGGTGGGACTGGACATCACAGAGAGGCTCCTGGATGAGGGGTTTGGAGCAAACCCCATTATGGACAATGTTCTCCCACCTGTACCACTGTAATTGACCCTTTCTGGGGCCCCATCTCCCCCATGCTGTCTCCCAGAGATGGCTCTTCACAAAACAGAACAGATCAGTCCCTGCTGAAGTCCCTACCAATGCCAGCTCCTACCCCTTGCTCTGTTAGGTTACCTGCAGCTTCCCCTCACATGTCAGGAAGAGAGGTGTGCCCTCTCACTCTCTGGGTCCCAGACACTGCCAGATGTGTCCACACAGGCCTCCTGCTCTGTTGTCCCTCGGCTAAGGGTACACTGGGCAGTAGGGGAACTCTGCTTGAGGCACTGCAGGAGACATAATGGCTGGAAGAAGGCGGAATCTGACCGAGATGGCCATGGATGCAGGCAGAGTGGCACGTGGCCATGGGTCACTGCGAAGTTGTCCTCCCTTCATCTCCAGTGGCTTACAGGCCCTCCCTGTTGTGTTTCCTTAGCAACCATCTCCCCATTCCTGTCCAGAAGGAAATATTTATGACTATAAAGACCCCTGTGTGGATATGGGAGCCACCTGGTGGACTGGGTTGTTATTGCTCCTGGGAGGGTACCCCACAAGACACACTCCTACCCCAAAGACCTCCCCACAGCCCTGTGGCAAATATGACAGGGCCTGGGCTAAGCTGGTTGAAAGCACCCAGCCCTGTGAAGGGACCCCCTCTCCCCAAGCAGCCGGCCTTGCCATCATGTTTGGTCTGGTTTGGCTAGGGCAGACATGGGACTCCAGCTGGTTGCGTTGAGGCCAGTGTGCCCATCTGTGCCATGGGGAGCAAGATCCTGCCAGACGGAGGGTGAGCCCATGGTGCTCCTAGCTCTGGGGTGGGGGTGGGGCAGAGACAGCAGGGCAGTGAGGGGTTGTTGTGTTGGAACAGACCTGCTATTGCACCTTTCCTGCCCCTGGTCAATCCTACAACCCTTGTAGAAAGACTCAGTGGTCTCCACAGCTTGGGAGCTGGAAAAGGGGGACCGGTCTGCTTTTCTCGTGTGCTTGGCCTGAGCCTGACCTTGGGGCATGGCCAGAGGGGAGACCCTCAACAGCAGAGTCGGAGGTACAGTTCCTGACAGGGACAATGCCAGATGAAGTTGAACATCTGTCACAGGTGAGGTCCTGCTGGATTAGGGTCCCTGCTCCTGCAGACCCTGGCAGGCAGCAGTGAAGGCTCAAACCATTGGGTTCCTAACCCCTTACAGGGGAGTCCTAGGTCAGCCTGGCTCCCAGCTGCAACCTGGCCTGCCCTAGCCTCGGCAGATGTGCAAACTCCAGGTCCCTAACTCTTGGTCGCTGAGGTTGACATGAGACAGAAACAAGGCAGGAGCTGGCACCGGGGAACCCCATGACCCCCAGGCTGCCTCCCTGCGGCATGGGTCTCCAGCTCCTTTGGGCCCCAGGAGGAGTATCTTTGCTGAAGTCAGCCATGACACCAAGCACAGGACTGAAAATCAAATCATGCCAGGTCAAGCCCTTGGGAAGGCCTAGCAGTGGTGGAGGACCAACCCACCCCCTTCTCACCCAGCTTCCCTAGTCTGGCTGCCCAGAAGCAGATGGGACTCCCGCCTTAGCCTGGGGGCCAGCCGAGCCTGCAGCAGCCACTTCCACAGGCACCAGGCTCTTAGTTCCTTATTTGTGTGACACAGGGCCTGGACCAGGGCCATCCATAGGCTTCATTGACCACAAGACCGGGAGGGCTGAGGGTGACAGATTCTAATGCTCTGTGACGCGGCTGGAACCACACACTCCTGGACCCACTGCTTCCTTTATTTGTGACTCATGGGAACTTCCTGCCCTGCAGGTGGCACACATCTGCAGGCAGTGGACGTGGTGGACAGAGAGCCAGGGGCCGGGCTTCTTGTAGTGCAGCTACAGCCGCACATTCCAGCAGGCTGTCTCCTTTCCTGGAGGCCCCTCTTGGTAATCCAGCCTGTGCTCCCTGGGACACATGCATGGACAGACAGACAGACAAGTGGTCAGTCCCAGGATCCCTCCAGAATTCTCACCAGTACAGGACAACAAGGCCCGGTCACCCAGAGGGTTACCCAAGGAGATCCAGAGCAGTTTCTGCTACCCCTTGGCCAACCCTGTGGCTTGAGCTGACTGTCCTTCACGGGGTTACCAGGAGTTGGATGAGGCCTGGGGCTGCTTCTGGTCCTGGGGTAAGGTCAGGCACGGGGTCCCATAGAGCCTAGCTCCCAGCCTTGCACTGGGTCAAGCTCCATGGCCTGGGTGTGCTGTCACCTGGTGACAACATAGTCGTCAGCCTGCGCCTTCAGGATCCACTGGTTTTCTTTTGTAGAGGAAGGACTCAGGAGCACAGTGGGGTAAAACTGGCCTGCAACACAAGGGGCAGCTTAGCCAGGGGCTGAAGGCAGGGAGAGTGTGGGAGACATGCGGCAGTGCGATGGGGCAGCGGGGAGGGGGGGTGTGAGTTCCCATGCAGGAGGGTTCTCTGGGGATGCCTGGGCTGCAAGGGGAGGGGCAGAGTACCGATGGTTCCACGGACGTTGCGGGAGAAGCGGTCCGTGTGGCGGAGCAGCAGCAGGAGGCCCGTCTTGTGGTCACCCCAGGGCAGCAGGCCAACGGTCACTCGGTGGGGGCCACTGATCAGCAGGAGCCCCGTACTGTCCATGGTTATCTTGAGGCTATGGAGAAACCCAGCAGGTGGGGTGGGGTGGGGTGTGGGTTTGGGGTTCTCCCCAGGCCCAGGAATTCACAATGGGCCTTGGTTGGTGGGGAGGGGGTCTCCAGGGAAAGACCCTGAAAGCTCTGACTTCAGCTTCCTCTTGGGTAGAAAGCAACCAAAGTGAATGCAATGGCATCCAGTCTGTCCCCTTTCCTGTCAGGACCAAGCTCTCTGCAACTCAGGGAGCTCCTGGATACATGTGCTCTGGGCTACTTCCATTTGATATTCAATCACATTCTAAGGGTGAGAGGGTAAGCCTCTCCCCACTCCTTCCTTACATGGATCATGAACATTCTTGCCCTTCTGGCTTTCTTAGGATGTTAGGCTCCTTTTATGCACACTGCCATTCTGAAGCCACTTGAAATGCAACTGCCCTAACCCTGCACTATCCTGCTGATTGGACTTGACTTGGAAGATCCAGGCTGAAGCAGGGATGAGGTGCCAAGGTTTCAATGCTGCCTAAGAGTCCAGGGGAGACTTCTGTGTTTCTGGGCCCTCCATGACCTCCAGTTTCAAGTGGAAGTGGGCTCCTGCTGCCGGGTTAGGGGAGGGACCAAGGTGAGCTGCAGCTGAGGCTAGGGCTCCGGGGGTGTTCTCCAGAGGGCCAGGGTCCGAGATGACCTGTGGCTTTCAGATCTGGGCGGGGTGCTAGTTACCAGCATTGGGGCTAGTCAGCCTTGTCCATCCCCACTGGAGCTTCATGAGGCCTAACTGTGCACGGTACTCAGGATCTTTCCTGTCACCCTGTGCTCCCCAGGCAGGTGCTCCCAGTGCTTGCCTACCCCGCGCAACAGTGGACCTGTGAGGATTATCCTTCATCATTGGTGAGAATACCGAGGCCCCTAGGGACTGAGTGAGCTGCCCAGGGTCTCATAGAGCAAGCAGCAGCAGCAGCAGCGGGTCCCAGCTGCCATGGTCTCAGTCCCTGGACAGACCCTTGGCCCTGTGGAGGACTCAGGACCAGCCACGAAGTCCCCTGGCCTTTCCCAGCCCAGCATAGCCCCATGGGCTACCCATGGGGTGAACGAGGGTTGGGGTGGGGGAGCTAGGGAGCAGGGGGTGGGTCCCTGGCCCAGAGCTCACTTTGGCAACGTAGAAAACATTGTCTTCATCCACTTGTACTCTGAGCTCCTTCGGTTCCGAGTTACCACCACATGCTCTGGGGTCGCGTGAACCTGCAGCTCAGGATTCTTGACCATCACCTTGACCCACGAGAAGCCAGTCTTCACCTCATACTGGCCTGTGACCTTGATCCCTGTGAAGGCCACGAGGTCACATAGCCTGGCCCCCTGGTGGGTCTTCCCCTCCCCCATCTCATCTCCTGATGGCCATTCCCCTGACATGGGGTCTGCTTCTTATAACTGCACCCTTCCTCCCTCCTGGCCTTTGGGTGGCTTTGTAGGGGGCCCCTGAGCTCAGCCCTGGCTGAGACCTCCAAGAAAGGAAGCTCACAAACCTTCAGTGAGTGTCTTTGATCAGCCTGGCCCTCTGCTGCCTGGGTCAGGGTGTAATGGAAGGGGAACTTAGTCCACCAGTCCCCCTCAGGACACAAGGACCTAGGAGAAGCCCCACGGGCTGGCAGGCATGTGTGCCAACATCTGCCCTGCCCACTGCCTCAGCTCCAGCCAGTACTTCACTTCTCCACCATTCCCCTCCTCCATCCCCTCCAGGACCCCTGTGATGAGCAGGCAACTATTTCTTCACCTAGAATGTTTTTAGCCCTTCCTTTGTTCATCTGACGTGGATCAGTCACTCCTGGTGACCCTGGGCGGCTGCCCTGGCTCTCAGGTCACTCTGACCTCTGCCTGCTGGCCACCATGGGGTGCTAAGAGGTGGCAGGTGGGTGTGGGTATAAACAGGCATCTCTAGGCACACACCTGGATGGGCACCTCTCACCTTGGTCAGGGTCTGAGATGAGGTTTATGGGTCCCTGGGAGCTTCTGATGTCCACACAGAGCTGGTCCACACCAGGTCCATGCACCGGCAGGAAGATGGAAGGTGCCTGGGACGGGGCTGGGACAGCCAAGGCACAGTTCCTGGGGCAGGCAGGGCAGGCTGAGGGCAAGGATGGGGAGGGGGCAGGCTGGGATCCTTACCTGAAGTTGGATTTGGCATGGTGATTCCTAAGGAAAAAAACCATGGTTTTTCCTAAAGAAAAAGGATGGGAGTAGACAGACCCTTATTGGGGACAGGGATGGTATACAGGATGGGCGTGACAGGGTTCCTTCTCCAAGTGAACCTGGATGGCAGGCTCTCAGCACTAGAAGAAGAAGCCATTCTAGGGGCTCTGGTACCTTGGTCTTCCGTGTCCATTTCAACCACTTTGGTTAACCTGGTAGCTGAAGGGATGAAAGGCACTGAAGCAGCCACAGGTGTAGGCGTGTCTGGGAGCAGAACAGGAGGGTGGAGAGGACTCAGCAGGGAGCATGCCCTACAGCTGGCCCCTCCTCCCATCCTAGAAGAGCCAGCATATTGGTTCAACTGACAAATCCTCCACCTTCAAGGGCCAACATCCCATACAGTCACCAGTTCATGTCCTAGCTGTTAGATTTTGAATTCAGCTCCCTGCTTGTGACCTGGGAAAGCAGTGGAGGGTGGTCCAAAGCCTTGGGACACTGCACCTTGGGACCTAGAAGAGGCTCCATGCTCCTGGCTTTAGATCAGCTCAGCTCCGGTCGCTGTGGCCATTTGGGGAGTGAAAGAGTGGATGGAAGATCTTTTTCTCTGTCTCTCCTTCTCTCTGTAAATCTGCTTTTCCAATAAAAATAAAAAATAAATCTTTTTTTTTAAGAGCCTGTCTTCTTGTCACACAGTAGGAGATCTTCCAGTAGTGGAAGGGAAATGAGGTGCCAGCCTGGTTCTGCAGCTAAGTCTGAGTTCACAATTACGGGGTAGAGATAGCTTGAGAGAACACTGCTGGGCTTTGGGGGTAGAGGAAACCTTCCCTTTCTAGAAAGTTCCATCATAAGCCTTTCTAAAGGTTTCTATCACAACTCCGTCTCCAGAGTGCATTGCAGCCTATTCAGTGAAACAGGAGGCCTGCTTGGAGCAAGGCTGCCTGCAACCTGTAAACCATCAGGGGAGAGGTTTCTAATGGCCATTCTCAACCAGTCCCCCACCTTTTCCACGTCCCCCCTGCACAGCAGCATAGGCAGGCTGCTTGTCAAGGCTTCTGACCTGATCCTTTCCTCCCAAAGTTGAGATCCGGCACCAAGGACAAGGCGAGGGGTTGGCTGGCAGTAAGCTAGGTAGGTGAGGACTGCCCCCTGGGAAGTGCTGCGCTCCTATCCCTGCTCCCATTCCCTAACCGTTCACCAAGAGGGGTCCTGGAGCTAAGCTGTCACCTGCACTGGCCAGACTGAAGTGCCAATTTGAGTCCCTGACTGTTCTCTTTCTGCTGATGCTCCTAAGAAAGCAGTGGAGGATGGCCCACTGCCATGCATGTGGGAGACGTGGAGGAAGTTCCTGGCCCAGTCCATTGCGGCCATCAGGGGAATGAATGGATGGGATCTGTCTCCCCTCTCTGTACCACCCTATTTTTTTTTAAAGATTTATTTTATTTATATTGGAAAGGCAGATTTACAGACAGGAGAAACAGAAAGTTCTTCCCGTCCGCTGGTTCACTCCCCAAGTGGAAGCAATGGCCAGAGCTAAGCTCTGATCCGAAGCCAGGAGCTTTTTCTGGGTCTCCCACATAGGTGCAGGGTCCCAAGGGTTTGTGCTGTCCTCCGCTGCGTTCTCGCCACAAGCAGGGAGCTGGATGGGAAGCAGGGCAGCCAGGATACAAACAGCACCCATATGGGATCCCAGCAGGTGCAAGGTAAGGACTTTATAGCCACTAGTCCACTGCGCTGGAGCCTAGTTCCTAGCTCCGATTCAGCTCAGCTCCAGCTGTTGCAGCCATTTTGGGAGTGAATCATTGGACAGAAGATCCTCCTCTCTATATATCTAACTTTCCAATAAAAATAAATAAATATTTTTTTTAAAAGAGATGACCATGCACCGAGATGATTCTGCTCTGACCAGGACAGCTCTCCTGGTGTCCATCCCTGAGCCTGGTGCTCACCCTCACCTACCCTTGTGGCAGAACCCAGGCCCTCAGAGGGTAGGAAGTGGCTTACAGAGCCTCCATTTTGGCAGCCTTGGCAGGTTCTTAGTGTCGAAGAGGTCAAGCACAGAATCAGGAAGAAAAGATTCATAAGTAGGATGAGGACCGCCGTAAGCAGGATGAGGACCACCGTAAGCAGGATGAGGACCACCGTAAGTAGGATGAGGACCACCGTAAGTAGGATGAGGACCGCCGTAAGTAGGATGAGGACCACCGTAAGAAAACTGACGAGGACCTTGAGGATGAGGGCGTCTGAATCTGGCTGGAGAACCATACACTCCGAACTGGGAACTCATTTTGACCCTAGAACCTGTGGTTTTAGAAAACCAAGTATTCTTCTCAATGGCAGAGTCAAGGACCCTATACCAGGAATGGGGCACTCCTCTTCCCCCACCTCTCCCACCAGCCAGGAGTCAATCAGTACTGGTCCAACAGTGGTTCCAACCCCACAACTCCACCCTGCAGATGTCACCCTTCCTCTCTGCGACTACCACAGCCATCTTGTTTCTTCTGTGGAAAGGATGGTATTGTGCAGAACTGCTGGCCAATCAGACGTACCTGAACTTGAGCACCAGCCTGCCAGCAGCCAGGTAAGCTAGGCAAAGCACTCCCTGTCTACACACAAGGGCACTGCCCCTCTCCACCCCTGTACCCTCCTTCACACCTGTTGGGTTGTAGTGTTTGCGGCCTTTGCGGTGAACTTTGGATAAAGCAAAACCTGGAAGTCAAGTGAAATCTGAATTGGCTTCTTGGGCCCACCTTTCCAGGGCCTCAGGTGGGTGGGGATGGAGCCTGAGCCACAGCCGGTGATGAGCAGGTCCCATGGGAATGTGGACTGGGTTCTGCTCAGGGGACCCCACCCAGCCAGTCTCTGAGGACGCGGAGTCCGTACTTCCTGGATGAGCAGCACTGTGCTTCTTCTCTGTGGGAAACAATGTGGGGTGGACGATGAATGAATGAATGAACAAATGAACAACAAGGGGGGGGGGTCTGAGTCTTCCCTCCCCAAACTATGCAGGCCCAGTAACCTGGGGAGCTAAGACCTGGGGTTGCCTCTGTGAAGTGAGTTTCCTGGGGTGGGTGGGTGGGTGGGGTCCTGGGAGTCCATGACGGGCTGGGTTGGGCTGTCTTAGTCAGGCTATAGAGGGGAACACAAGTCTACATGCTAGCACCCCATGCTCCCACCCACCCTCCTCCGTGGGCTTCTCAACAACTTGAGACTGCTCCTGGCCTTCAGGTTTGGTGACCACCATGGCCGTGAAAGGAGTGACAAAGTTGTAGTTGAGTGACAGGTTTCGAGCTCGGGACTCGAGGGCCTGCTGCTCGGCCTTGGGCGCAGAGACACTGTAAGTTGAGGATGGTAGTACACAGGAAGTTACTGGGTACTGGACACACTGTCCCTCCCATGCCACCTTTCCTGGGGCAGGGCGTCCCTCAGATAGGACCCTGAGTCCTGTGCCTGCCCCATGGCAAGGAGACTTCCTGCTAGCAGGAGGCTTGGGAAGTGAAGGGGCTGCCTTCTGCAAGGTTGGGTTGTTACTCACATCTGTTCCAGCAGCTGCTCGATGGTCAGGTAGGCCCAGAGTCTCTCCATGAAGCTGCCAAAGACATACTGGCGGCCCCGCAACGCCTCCTCCTGCTCGGCCGTGCCGGACTCCACGTAGAAGGTGATGTTCTCTGATTGCTGCAGACAGGGCCCCACCAGGGTGGGAATTGTGAGCACCTGTTGCCTGCCTCAGGCCGGGCCCCTCCCAGTATTGCCGGAGAAACTTGATTGGCTACAATGGTGGAGGCTGCCGCAGGTGCCTGCCTCCTTGCTTACCCCTTGCCCACTGACTTTGGCCGACAGCACGGCAGGGCTCTGGGGCCGCAGCTTCCCGGCCACCACCATCTCAGAGCCCATGAAGTGGAACTGGAAGTTATCCTGTGTCACCTCCTCCACAGCGTTGCTTAAGTACTCAAAGCTCACAGACATCAGCAGCGGTTGGGCCACCTCCTGGTAGAAGTCCTGCAGGGAGAAGGGGAGGGGTGGTCACCAAGGCCCAGCTGGGGTGCAGGTGAGGGCAGCCTGCCCAGGACACAGGGGCACCTGCAGCTGCAGGGCAGCATCAGAGTCCTCATAGATGCGCCTGGCCAGGCCACCATTATCCAGTGCCAGCTTTTCCAGGAATGAGTAGTGGACATCAAAGCCAAAGCCCAGGCAGAAGAGGCTGTAGTGGCCGCCAATGGCTTCCCGGACGTTCCTCTGGATCATTTCAAGATTGGTCACTCCTGGATATGCAGGGGTGGAGAGGAGGAGGAGGAACATGGATTGGCTCAAGGGCCACTTCTCATCTGGCCCTGTCCCCTGTCCTAGCTGCTGCCCTCACCCTCCGTGGGATCCCCATCGGTGAGCAGGATCATGAGGGAGACGCTCCTTGGGTGCAGCTCAGCCCGCTCGCTGTCCAGCAGTTGCACAGCCTTCAGCATGGCCTCATTGATGTTGGTCCCTGATTGTGGTGGTGGGGGAGGGGAGGACACGCACATTCAGGGTTGGGGGGATCCTGGTAGGGGTCCTGGGAGCCCCCTCTTGCAAAGCAGCAGTGGAGGCACCCACCTCCCTGGGCCACAATGCTGGCTGTATAGCTCTTGGCTTTCCTCACGTTCTCAACTGAGGCCTGCAGCAGCCTCGGCTTCCACAGCCAGGCTACCCGGTTGAAGACGATGAGGTTGAACCGGTCTTTGGTGCTGAGGTCATCTAGGATCTTGATTAGGGCTTCTTGGGTCTGCCCAAGGGATGAGGGGTTGGGGGAAGGCAGGAAAATAGGGTGGGTGGCTTGGGTTGGCTTCTCCAGCTAGGGTGGGAACATGGTACACACTCAAGGGGCAGATGCAGTCCCTATGGCTGTGAGCATCCTGGGCCCACCCCATTCCTCCCTGCCACCCCCAACACATGGCCCAAGGGATTCACCTGCTCAATTTTCCTGCCTAACATAGAGCCACTGCTGTCGATGACAAAGATCACGTTCTTGGACAACGCAGGAAGGCCATCAGGTGCAAAGTGGTGCACAAAATAGCCGTTCTCGATCTGTAGTCAGAGAGAAGCTCAGCAATCAGAGTCATGGTCCTGCCCTGCCGGCCCCTCCTCCCAGCCACTCATCCCAAACCCTTGGTCTCCTGGTCTCCTTGTTTCACTGCCTCTTCCCCACCCACCCCCAAGTCCCCTAAATCCTGGAGATCTTGTAGCCTCATCCCAACCCCTCTCTTGTAACGTCACCTCCTAGGTGTCTGAGTGGTTGAGGCAGCTGATCCTAAAATGTTCAGACATAATAAACTGGAGATGCACTAAAAGGAGGAAGAGGCTTCAAAAGGGAAGAGTGAAGGTTGTTACAATGTCGAAAATGCTTGTCACAAAAGCTACTGCATTTGAGGACCAAGCTGAGCAGGGAGCCTCCTGGTGGCCAAGGTGAAGAAGGCAACTTGCCTTCTCTGTCCAAAAGACATCTGACCTGCCTGAGGTTCATCTAGGCTAAGCAGGTGCGTTCTTTTTCCTCCCACTCTAGAACACTTTAAGCTCAGGTCCTTGAGAGTGAACAGATTTCCAGCTCATCCTGTCCCTCGCCTGCCTGGAGTCCACACACCTGAATGGAGCCGCCAGAGGGGGTGTGGATCACGTCGTAGCGGATGATGAAGTTGCCGTTCAGGAGCCCTCCAGACTGTTGCTGCTGGGACAGGGTGGGTCTGAACTGGATGTGAGCCTGAAGGGACAAGAAGGACCAAGGCTGGGAGCAGCGACAAGGCCAGACCAGCAGCATGCGTGATCCCTGCTGCACGCTAGATGGGCGAATTCCAGGCCATGGTTAGCATTCCAGGGAATGTTCAGGCTATGGCTGCTGCTTGCGGCTTCCTGAAAGGGCGTGGGAGGGAGGGAAGCTTCATGCTGGCAGAGATGGGGTGCAGGATGGGTATGATCCAGGGGGCTCCTCCTCTCTACCTCCCCTAAGAACCTGCTCTCACTCAGTCAGGGTCCCCCCTTTGCCCAGGCAGAGCACGGCTGACCTCGGGGCCTCCGGCTCAGGGAGTCTGCCCACTGACCAGCTCCCTGTATATGCAGTAAGGGTGCCATCTCTGCTGGCCATGGTTGGCCCACCTTGGTCTCGTTCTGCGAGGTGATCAGGGCTTCCTCCAACTCCTTGGTCATAAAGGAGCTCTCGGTCTCCAGGAAGCTGATACCCTGTGGCTCAAAGATGTGAACGTCCACCTGTTGGGAGAAGGTGGGACAGGGGTCACCAGGCCAGGTGCATGCTGCCAGGGTTAGAGCCTCTGGAGATGCTGAGGGGTGTAGGTCATCCTGCAGCCAGCCTGGAAGAAGGGGCATGTGGGTACCTGCAAGTGCTGGACCAGCTGCTGTGGCTGCACCTTGAACAGCAGTTCATACGCGCCCAGGCGCCGCCTGAGCAGTTCCTCATACACTAGCTTGAAGGTGACCTTGGAGGCAGCGGCTACACTCACTGATACCTCAAACCGCTCCATCTTCCTCTCGGTGGTCCTGGGAGAGGATGCCATCAGGCCGGCCCCCACCCTTCAGGCCAGGACCAGGAGCAGCTGCTGGGTGGGAGATCAAGGCTGGGGCCCCCACCCTCAACCCTGGCTCACTTGACAAGGCTGGCGCTCTCCCCCCTGGCCTTGGCTGCGCTGTACTGCTCCTGGGCCGCAGCCTTCTCCCTCACGATTCCCGGGTAGGTCACGCCATCGATGGTCCTGTGGGAGGGAGACAACGGATTGTCAGGAGCCTTAAGGGAGGGAAGGGCCCCTGGTGCTCCACCTTCTCCAGGAAGTCTGCCTGGAAATTGTGTGGTTCTTAAACACTGACTTGAACCCTTTTTGTGATCCAGGTCCACTGCCATCTATTATGTACCTACTGTATACAATACCCTTTTAGGGTGCCTAAGCAGTGTATGCACGGTATTAGTAAACATGTATTGTGTCAGAGGGACCAGGCAAGGCATCTCTAAGCAGAGATGTGGACGGATGGATGCCTGCAGTGTGAACAGGCTCCTGGTGCATCTTGAGGGGCTACGGAAGAACTGCCCCCTCCCCAACACAAGGCTGTTTCTCTGAACGGAGAGTGACTATTCTAGAACCTTCTAGAAGAGTGAGGAGGGTTGTGGGGGGGGGGGCATGTCAGGTGCCTACACAGCTGCTCCATTGGGGTAGATGGAAAGGCTGAGGGAGCAGCCAGGGATGCAGGACCCAACTGCTGCCTCTAAGTCGGGGTGTAGCGGGGCTGAGGCTGGGGCAGGGCAGCTGGGCTCTTCCTCCCCATGGAGAGTCCTCAGCCTCTGCCACCACCCAGCTGGGACACGCGGCCAGGCCAGTGAGCAGGGCCAGGGAGAGCTGAGGCCAGTCCCAGGTCCTCCTGCCAGGAGGTCTCCTACTCTTGGCACAGGGTCAGAAGCTGGCATAGCCATGAGGCCCACGTTGCAGGTTGGATGGCACAGGCCTAGGGCTTAGGAAAGTGAGAGCTACCTTGGGGTGGGGGTGGGGTAGGCAGGGAGAGAGGGAAGAACCAGCCCCAGATCCTGTGCTCCATTTCCTGGCTGCTCCAGGGGAATTTAGGGGTCCCATTCATAGCCCTCCCTGGTTCTGAGAGCAGCCCCTCCTGGGAGCCAGGGGCAGAGGCCCTGGGGGCAGAGGCATCCTACTGTGCCTGGCAAACATTGCAAAACTGAGACTGGACAGGTAGGTGGGGACAGCAGAGAGCAAGGTTCAGCCTGGTTCACAGACTCCACAGCCACCCAGGGGCACTTGAGGGGACCGGAGCAGTACACAGCCTGCACCGCGTTATCCCAGTTCAGGGTCACGACAAGGCAGAGATGCCCCTCCCGCAAGGTAACCATTTCCGGTACTCCAAGCTGGGATCAGCTCTGGGGTGATTCCATCCTGTCTGGCTCTGATCTCAGGACAGCGCCCCCAAACCCATTTGTGCTCCTCAAAGGCAAGGACATAGAGGCGCCATGGTTCTCTGTTTGACACCTGGATGGCACCCAAAGGTGACAGTGGGAGGAATGGGTGAGGACGCAGTCAGCAGTGAAGATGACAAGGCCCGTGGGAAAACCCTCACTCCTGTGGGGCCCAGGTGACCGCAGAAGAGTGTCTCAGCAGCCGTCCCCTCTGGAAGAGGGTCAGGTGGGGTGGGCAGGTGCAGAATGCGAGGTGCAGGCAGGAGACACGTACATGGAGAAGTTGGTGATGAAGGCCTTCCTGGGCAGCTCTATCTGGAAGGCGGCCTCCTGCACCGTTTCGGCCCTGTTGACCACACGGCTGGTGATCACGGTGCGGGCAAAGCGTGCTGAGACCTCCGAGTGCACGGTGAGGCTGTAGATGTCGATGCCGCCGCTCTGATCAACGCACAACACAGGAGTGGGAGGAGGGGGTTGGGAATGGGGTGGACAGCTTCAGCCACTCTCGGCTGGAACAAGACTTCCAGCCAGCTTCAACCCTGGGCCCCACCCTGCCCCAGCCGACCGAATCACTGACTGAGACCTCAAGCTGAAGTTGATAGAGATGCCTACGTGGACGTGGATCTGCCGTGGCCTGGGCCGTTGTGTCAGACCCTGACTCGGGATATGCCCACCAAGGGCCTGGGCAGGCCCCACCCCTGCCTCACCACTGCACCACGCGTGGTTGGCCTCACACAGCCTGGGTGCAGCAAGAGGATACCTTAGCCGCCCTGCCCCTGCTGGCTTCAAGGACCAATTACTAGGCTGCATTTCTGCCTCTCTGAGACAGGCTCACACAGCCTGGGAGGAGGGGACACCTGTAGAAGGCCTGGCGATAGGGCCCAGTGGTGTGGCAGTGCCAGGGGCAGGTGGCAGCCCCATCTCTGCACACTCTGTCCTGCCTGCACACTAGTGTTCCCCCAACTCCTCAGACACACTATCCCCTCAACCCTGCTCCACCCAACCCCTCCCAGCTCCCCAGCTCACACACAGGAACCCCGGGGGGAGGGTGGCTGCTACCTCATGGGGGACGGTGGCCGTCTGGAGGCCTGCATGCAGCAAGAGCAGGCTCAGCACAAGGACCCAAGTACATACACGCGCTGGGGTCTCCATGTCGACTCCGGAGTCTGCCGGGTTGCTCCTGCCCTCAAGAGCAAGTGGGGAGTGAATCAGTAACTTGTTCCCAGGCCCGCCCCTGCAGACGCAAGTTATGGGAAAGCCAGAACCCCAAGCCAAGGACCTACAGTGGCCGCAGGTCAGCAGGTGCATGCCGAGTGTCCCCTTGACCCTGGCTGGGGGCAGAGGCATGGATGAATGGGAAAGGGAGACCTGGGCTGAAGGCAGGTGTTGGTGTCCCCTCTCAAAGGTCCCAAACATTCCCAGAGGTGCCATGGTTCTCTGCTTGACACCTGCACGGCACCCAAGGGTGACAGTGATTCACTGGAACCTCCTGGCGAACCAGGGAGGCAGGATGGTGCCAAAACCATACCTCCTCTCCTAAATTCCAGCTGAGGAGGGAAAGAAGGAATGGCAAGAAAGACTTGGTCTGGCAGGGGGCATCCTGTTGGCTTCCAGCAGGAGGGGTGCCCTGGTGGCCAGGTGCTGAGGGGAGGGGTCTGTGCAGGTACTGGGTGGACAAGGTCTACCAGGCCCCAGGATGTGAAGGATATGCCCTTTCCCTGGAGTGAGGGTACTGGGCCCAGGAGACCCCTCTCTCCCAACACAATTCAGTCAGGGTTCCAGGTTCAACCACAGCCAGGACCCACTTGAAAACACAAACCAGGAGTCTCAAAGATGCCACATCCTGGGGCCCTGGGGTATTCAGACAGAAGAGCCCAGGAGAGTGTGAACAGTGTGAAGTATGAGGTATCCCAGGGGGCTGGCCACGGTGGTGTGTGCACACAGGTGGCCTGTGTGGAGGTCATACCAGCCAATGACCATGTCAATCAGTCTGTGACACTGCCTGCAACCCAGACCCCTGGGAGTGGTGCCCAAGAGCTGGGGCTGGGCTTCCTGGGGACACCCCCAGAGTGGCCTTCAGCACAGTTGCAATGCAGCTTTCACAAGTGGCTCGAAGATAAATAAACGCCAGGTGCTCTGGATGCCAGGCTCAGGAAGTCAGTTTCTGAGCCAGCAGTCAAGGGCCAAGACCAAGGTCAGGAAGGACAGCTCAGGGCCAGCAGACCCAAGAGAGCCAGGGGTGGTTCTCCAGGCCCGCAAAGCCGGGTGCTGGGTGCCTGGGCTGCAGGGAAATCCTTCCTTTCCTTAGATCCCCTAGGCACACCTCCATTTGTGCACCCAGAGACTGGGAGAGCACAGCCTTTTAGCACCTAGGCGAAGTGCCATCTCCCTCCAGGGCCCTAGTCCCATTGAATGTCTGCTCTCCGGGAGCAGAGCATTGGGCCAGGCCTGGAGCCAGAGCTATATAAGGAGTTCAGGCTGTTTGGGACTGTGGGAAAGGCTCTGAGCACCCAGCTCTACCTGCCTGGGGGACAGAAGGAGACTACTGGCAGGAGACAGCCCTGGGTTGGGCTCTGCAAGCAAAGCCCCGAAAGGAGCCACTCTCAGTCCACCTGTGACCTTGCTGACACAGCTAAGCAGACCCCCTCGGGGCTCCCGGATGAGCCAGCTCTAGGCCACACAGGGGACCTAGGTTTGAGAAGGGAAAAGTCTCAAAGGATCAGGGCTTAGTGCTGTCCCGCCTGCTCCAAGCAGCGTGGGTGGCAGCAGACAGGGGCTCTGGGGACTTTCCACTGCTGGTCAGCAGCCAGACTAGAGGTGCAGGGGTGAGGTCGGGATGACTCCGAGGTCCCTGGACTCTCTAGAGTCCTGGGGCTCTGGGGAGCCTCTCCATGGTAGGCACGGGGAGAGGTGGGCCCTGTTCTACGACCCAGGCTCCCGCTCAACACCGCCTCCCCACACTGGAAAGGAAAACTGAGCTCAGAAATGGAAGACACTGGCCTGAAGACAGACCAGAAGTCAGCAACAGGTCTTCAAGTTTAAGGTTCTTCCTGGTCTGTGGCAGTGGCCATACCAGTTCCTGGGTTGCCCTCTTGGGACAGAAAGGGCAAAGAGAACACTGCCAGGCTCCACCCCAGCCCCTGATGAACAGTGGCCCTGGCCAACAACCAAACAACACTCTGGCGGTGCCAGGGCCTCTCGGGGCACCCTCTTTATTGGTGTTTGCAGGGTGCGGAGGGCCAGGGTGATGGAGGCAGGGAGCCCGCAGGTGGGCAGAGCACGCTGGCATGCTGCAGAGTCCTTAGGCAAGACTCTTGCGTCGAGACGTTCGCGGTGGCAGAGTTGGGAGTGGGGGCTGGGGGGGGCACCTCTCAGCCGAAGACACTCTTGGCAGGTGCATCCTTGGGCTTCTCGAAGACCGTCTCGGTCCCAGTGCGGGCACGGCTGAACACGGACGGGGCGGCTGAGCCGGCTTGCTCTGTGGGGAGGAAGCAGAGTCAGGAGCCTTACCCGAGCCTGGCCCTTGACCATGGACATACACCTACACATCCCCCACTGGCCTTCATTCCCTCGCCCCTGACACTTACCACACTCTCGCATGACTTGGTAGGTCTTGGATTTGATCTCTTGGTTCTTGGCCAGGTTACCTCGGGCCCCCTTTAGGTCTTCCTCCTTCACAGGGGGCCGCTTTTTCTTGATGGGGGTCTCCTGAGCGTCAGCCTGGGGGAGTCCAGAACCTCATCTTAGAACTCACAGCTTGAGGGCATAGATCTCGTTCTTGCCTTCAACTGAAGTCTCATTGTTCTTCTTCCAGGAAGCCCTTAGGACTCTACCTCCCTGCCCCTTGCCTTCTGGCTCTCTCAGTCTGACTTGTGCGTCCACCTCTACCCTATGTCCACCTCTACCCTACCACGGTGGGGTGAGGGGGGTGGGGGCGGCTTGTGGGGGCAGTGGGGGCTGTAGCTGAGCCCTGCTCTGTGTGCTTGGCCAAGCTCAGAACTAACACAGGGACCAAGGGGAAAGGGCCTAGGCCTTCCAGGCGGAGCAGGCCTGAACAGCCTGGGAAGTACCAAGACTTACTCACTGGTGGCAGGTAGGTGGGGTACACGGGGGGGGGGGGGAAGGAGCTTAGGACATACCCAGCCCCACCCCTATAAATTACCAAGGGCTACTTTATGTGTTTAGTTACAGGAAGGGAGTGTCGCCCACCTGTGATAGGGGTAGGCAACAGGGCCAGCCCTGTCCCTTGGCAGGCTGGCCTGTCAGTCACCCTGCTGCTGGGAACACCCAGGCTCATGGTTTATCCACCCTCTCAGCCCCAGGCGCCTGGGAGTCTTAGACTATTCTTTCCTAAGCCTGGGGCAGGTGCAAGGATTCCCTCTTTCAGCCTGGGCTCCCAGCACGCGCGCGCGCGCGCGCACACACACACACACACACACACACACACACACACTCTGTGCGGCCACAGGAACTATATCAGAAATGTACGCCACCCAATACTGTGAGTGGTACACACACACGGGCACAACATCATGGATCCCTGCCATGGCCAGGTTGAACAGGGTTTTCCCTGGGTCAAGTGAAACCTGGAGTGGTCCCCCTGAGCCCTGGCTCCCCACTGGCACAGTAAAGCACCCCACTTTGCTGCAGCTGCCAGAGATGATGATGGTGGCAGCCTCTGGCATCAATAGCACCCCCCCCCCGGTGCCAGCTCCCTGTCCCCCGCCTTGCCCCACATGCTGTGCCAGCCCTTCTTACCTGGGACATGGTGGGTGCTGCGGGAGGGTAGCTCTTCTGAAGGCACCTCTTGGACGGGCAGGAGCCGGGGCAGTGCTCTGTGCTGAGCCCTGCACCCCTCAGCTTATATAGGCTGTGTGGCAGTCCCGTCAGTCCCCTTCTCTGGAAGGCTCCCTGGTGATTCAGGTCCACACGGCCACTGGCTTCAGCATTTATTCTTGGAGATGATGGGGGCTCGCCGGGCACAGCCCCCCGGGGGACAGCTGAGAGTTGCGGTGTTTATGAAAGCCGGTGTTCTGGAATGTGCGTCGAAGGCTGGACCAGCTGCTGGCGTCTCCCGAGGGAGGGAGAGCCCAGAGCCGAGCTGGAGCACACCCGGCTTGTTTTCCTTTTACTTCCAGCCCTGCCCCTGGATTCCAGCAGGGCGAGGCTTCCCGTTCCTGGTTCCTGTGTGTCACTCAGAGGCGTCCGCTCCCAGCAGACCCCCGCTGCACACTCAGAGGGGCTGTTGCTTGCTCCTGGGAGGATGAGCTGAGGCTGGGGGGGCCTGTAGGGCCACCCCGTCAGGACTCAGCTGCTGTCGTCGTCTTCTGCCCAATTCTGGTGCAGGCTTTGCAGGGGAAAGAAGCAAGGCAGGGCTCAGCAGTCTGGGGTAGGGAGTGGGGACATCGTGCTGAGCAGGGAGGGAGGGCCCTGGTCAGCCAGGACATTGTCCCAGACTGAGCTGAGGTCACTGACAGGCCAAGTGAGTGTGGGACCTGGTGGTGATCTAGAGATGGACGGGCCTGAGGGCTCCCCCAGAGGGCCACTGAGCCAGGCTTTGCCAGAAACTCCCGATACCTCTGTCCCTGCAAGGCGGGGTGGGGGTGGGGAGGAGTTGAAGGCCCTGCCCTATGAGGGCAGATACACTACGCCTGTCCAGTAGGGACGGGCAGTATTTTTATCCTTGAGAGCAGACAGACAGAAGGCCTCCAGGCACCGACACAGGGTCATTGCACATGCCAATCTGTTGCTGCAATGCAGCCCAGCCCAACCCAGCCCCACCCTGCCCTCCTCTGGTCCCAGTCCTCAACAGGCCAACATGACAACAGCCAGGCTCAGGATGAGTTGAGTGCTGACTGGAGGAATGTCTGGGACTCCGAACAGAGGCCAAGAGGCAGCTGAAGGCAGGCTAGCTCCAAGGTGTTATGATGGATGGCACCGTGGCACACACAAAGCTTCCAGCCCCATGGCCTCCAGGACAAGGAGGTGGACAGGCACTCCCTTACAGCTTGTTCTTCCTGGCAGGCACATCTCACTCCAAGAGCCGGACGACCTCTGACCCCTGTTGGGCAAGGACATGGGAAGGCACAGGCATGGCTGCTGTCAGCCCTTGGAGATTTTGAAAAATTAATTAATTTGAAAGGCAGAACAACTGAAGAGGGACGGAATGGAAGGAGAGAAAGAGATAGAGGTGAGAGGAGAGAGGGGAAGGGAGAGACAGAGAAGAAGAGAGACACAGTTCTATCTTGCATCTTTTGGTTCATTCACCAAATGGCCACAATAGCCTTGTCTGAGCCAGGAACTCCACCCAGGTCCCCCATGTGGACAGCAAGAACCCAAGTATGTGGGCCACCTTTGTTGCCTCCCCAGGTGCACTGGCAGGCAGCTGGATTGGAAGCAGAGCAAAAAGGACTTGAACCGGCTCTCAGATGGGATACTGGTGTTAGAAGAGATGGGTTATCCCACTGTGCCACTCAACACCTGGCTCCCACTTCCACCATGAGGCTAGGTAAGGTTCACCCTCACTCTCTTTCCTTGGGGGAACCTCCTAACTCAGGGAGTGGGGCAGCAGGGGGAGAGAGACATTTTTTGACCTCACTGAGAATACATAACCAACAGCCACACAAGTGATGGTTTCTTTTTTTTTTTTTTACAAACTGTAATAAGATGTCAAACTTTATTGTAAACCATTTTACAATGTAAGTACATCATCTTCCCTTTCATCTCAAAAATGTGTTCTGCAAATCATCACACCATGGATTTAACACCCTCCCTGGCTGCAGGGCCCAGGCTCTGCTCAGCCGGCTTTGACTTTTAACAGACCTCATTAAAAGAGAAAACAAATTTCAAACAACCCAACCAACCGAGTGACCGAGCGACCCAGCAGCTTCTGGGGTCCACCGCTGCGGGCTGGCCAGGAGCAGAACTTCTAGCCGTCAGCCCCATAGCAGCCTGGTCTGGTTTGGCTGCACAGAGGCCTGTGGACGCGGGCTCTAGCCTGTGGGCTACTGGCCTACACAGCCAGAGGGGTGCTGCCACTCACATCTGAGGCTTTTCATCTTTTCCCTGAAGACAGAGGCCAAGACAACACGGTTAACCTATGCCTCCCTATTGCCTGGGAAGGCACAGGTGTAAGCCGTCCTACCCAGGGCCACCCAAGAAGCGACAGACCCTCCCCCTGCATGTCTTCAGGCTGAGCAGAGCAAAAAGCCTGGCCACTCAGGTTCTCAGCAACACCCCCCATGTGGCCCGCACGATAGTGACCATCAGCTCTTTCACGCAGACACGACAGCGCCACCTCACAAGGCTCAACTCCATGGTTACAAGAAACTCGGGCATGACTCGGGTTTGCAAGTTTCCATCATGGGTGGCTTGGCCAACCAACATCTGGGTTTGGACGAATTGGACTGACAAAGCACACAACATCCAAGCAGTGTCCCCTTGTTTCTCAAGCCCAAAACCGCCTGCCACCTTGTAAGGCACCTTGGAGCAGGTGGGGAGGGGGAATGGCGTGGCAGGAAGCCTTCCCAGGGGGCACCAACTTGTGTGTGCCTGTGCACGTGTGTGCATATGCACACCACACAGGAGGAGGGTAAGGCCAAACATATGACACCTTGCTGCCTGAGCCTGTGCGCTCGCAGGGCCCTGTGGTCAGACACTGGCTAGACCCCCAGGCCCTGGTCAGTCAGCTACACAGACTAAAGCCCTCACTGACCGTCAGCATCAGGGAAATCCTACTGCTCATTGGCTACCTCCGAACCTGGAACCCACTGTCTGCCAGAGACCACCTGAGGCTGATGGAGTACAGCCCCCACAGGTTATGGCTCCCTGAAACTAGGAGCTTGGGACTCGAGTGGAAGAGGAGGCTCCAACTCTGAGCTCCAGGAAGGGTGGGAGGCAGCAGGTTGTTCAGGCCAAAACGAAACAGGAGGGAGAAGTCAGGGCTGAGTCACTGGTGGGAGAGGCCTGCAGTAGCAAAGCCCCTCTTCCTGCACAGCCTGGACTCTCCTCAGTGGCACCTGCACTTCACCTTGCTGCTACCCTGGTGGGCAAAGTCACAGGCCTGGCCCATCTTGCCACCACTCACTCAGCAGTCGGTGGCCATGCTAAGCAAAGGACATAGCTTAGGAGCACCTCATGCTGCCTGTGCACTGGATAGCGGGCATCCTCACCTGCCTCCGCTCCCCTGTAACTATCTCGTGGCTCTGGATGGCATGAGACAAGTCCCCTCGGGCACACAGACATTCTCAAAGCAGAGCGCAGCAGGGGCCTGGGCAGTGGGCATCCCTGGGAGACCAATAACCACTGGGTGCCCTTCTTGGTCAAGTTCAACTAGGACCTCTACCTCTAAAAGGAAGAACGCCAAGCAACATGCAGGTACTGGCATGGCCCTTCTTAGGTTTGTGCTGCCCACCCCAGGGGCCGAGAACAGGTGCACCTTGCACCCTCTGCCATATCATACTGCACAAGCCAAAACCTGCCACGTCCTTCTGCCAGCTCAGGCCTCACCAAGAGCAAACAAATCCATCTTGGGGTTGGGGGAGAGGTGATTAAAAAGAGTTTTTAAATACAATAGTATGAAAATATAACTTAAAAAATATAAAAGTCAAACAGCACACGGAAGACTTAGAAATCTACTGCTTTGCCCGTCAGTCCCATAGATGCTTTGTAGGAAACAAACGAGTCCTTGGGAAAAACGAAACGAAATGGTGCCACTGCCAACAGTTCACAGAAGCGGCTTCGGAGACAGAGCGGCGGGAGCCTCCCGGGGTAGTTGGGCTTTCTGCCTCTGCCCTGGGCAGGGTGGACTCCAGGCCCCCAGCACACTCAGCATTCACAGTGCCGTGGCCTGGGTGACAGGACCTGCCCACCGGCCACGTGAGCCTGGTGTTCCTCCACCGGTCACCAGTCACACAGGCAATGCTGTTCGGGACAACGACAGACAGACAAAACTCGCTTGCATATTTGGTCAGTGTTTGTAGTGCAACTGAGTAGGGGGACCTCCAGCTGCCCAGGGCGCCTGGGGTGCTGGTCCCACGTCCCTTGTGGTTAAGTCACAGTAGTGTGGGGCAGGCGGAGTGGGCATGAGACAGTGAGAGGGACAGAGGTAGAAGGAGGGCAGGGTGGGACGAGGGGAGGCGAGATGCTGTGGGCTGACTGGCTGCACCCCAGCCTGGTGCCCCCAGCTTAGGAATGTGTCATACGGGCAGCCCGAAGCGGTGCTTCTTCTTCTTCCCGGGCTTGAGTGGGGTCAGCCTGCAGAGGTCCTCCTCCACGTCTGACTCTTCCAGCTCATCGTCAGCCGAGATCAGGATCTGGGGCATGGACAGGCGGGGCCTTAGGCGGCCTTCTGCGTCAGACCTCCCGTCCCCCAGGTCTAGTGTCCCCTCAGTAGAAAGGGAACGGGCAGACCCAAGGAGATGCCATGCACCACCAACCATGCCTGCCGCAAGGTCCTTCAGGGGGCTCAGTGCTGAGCCGACAGGAACCCCTTTCTCTGCCAACGCTCTCACCCTTTCCTCTGGCCACCAGCTCAAGCCAAACCCCGGACAGAACAAGCCCAGTGGGGATTTGTAGTCAGAGGGCTTCCCCACAAAAAAAACAGACAAAAGCTCAGGTTACTGCACACATCAAGTCTTGCTGGTCCTTAAATCCAGGAGGGGTGGCACCCAGATGAGGGGCTTAGGATAGCTGCTTTGTTGACGCCTTCCATGGCCCTGTCACACAGCTGGGGCTTCCAGGGCCAACTTGCTCATTCCCTACCCACTGGCCTCAATACCTGCCTGGCTCTGTCACCCCCTGAGCAGGCACGGGGAGACCAGGGACTGCAGGGCCCACAGCTGGCGTGCAGGGTGAATAGCTGCCCCACCCCGCCCCACCCCAACCCAGCAGGGCTGTGGTCCCCAATCACACAGGCCATCCTGGTGGTCTGCCCAGAGTGTAGAGCATCCTGCTTGCCCAGCTCAGCCTGCTTCCTGACCTCCTTCCTGGTTATTTTGTCCCCTGCTATGTGACATGTGCATTTCCCAGGATGACTGTGAGCTCGTCATGCACTGCTTGTAGAGTGTGACAGACCCTATCCTGGGGTCCGGGAACATGCACCTGGAGAAAAAAATAGGACCACCACCCCTTCCACCCCGTGCTTCTCAGCTGTGTCTTCCTAAACTTCCTGCAACCATCTTGGGGTCCCATTTGAGCAGCCACCTGTCCTTGTCCAGGAGCCTGCAGGCCTCTGGTGGGGGGGACACACTAGCCTCAGCCATGTCCACGGCCCCCCACAGGACGGTCCCAAGGCCCCATGTCACAGCATAGGTGAGCACTGGGGGAAGGAAAGGGCTGGAACATGTGTCCTTGCCCCTCCACTGCTTCAGGGGACCAGCCATCGAGGGGACAGGAGTGTACTCCTGTGACGTCTGACCCCCTTCAGCTTCCATGTCCCCAGTTGGCTCAGTCAATGCATCCCTTCTTGCCCATGGGGGCAGGTAGGAGCTCACATGACTTTGTGCCTGCAGGTCAAACAGGAGGCTGTGCAGGTCCCTTCCAGCCATCCTGGAAGGTGGCAGCTCCTCCCCTGCCTGCCTTTCTCTCTTAGCCGCAGTGGGGGTGGGGGAGGCCCGCCATGTTCAGCCCCTGCTGCCTCTGCCTGCCCTGGGAAGGTGAGAGCCCCCAGCAGCCTAGCAGTGCCCAGACAGGGAGGCCTACCTCAGCCTCGGGCTCCTCGTGGGATGCGGCCCTCCGGTAGCGGACCTTGCTCCCGTTCCTCGAGTCCTGGCTGGACCCTCTTTCTTCCAGCTTCGCTTTCGTCTTCCCCTTCCTCATGAGAAAATTGTCCACTACCCAGAACATCAGAGCCTGTGGGAGGGACAAGGGTGGCTTGCTCTGGGACAAGCCACTTCCCCAGTGTGGGGGAGGAAGCAGTCCTTATGTCCCATGCTAGGGAGAGACCTCACCCCCAACTGTCTTCCAGGCCACACAGAGATTCTTGGTTTCTGTTTCTCTGCTGCTGTTATTTCTCTTTTTTAAAAAAATTTTAAATCTATTTATTTCCATTTTTTAAATAGACAGATGGAAATAGAGTAACAGAGCCAAAGATCTTCCATCCAGTCTGATTCACTCTCCAAATGCTCAAAGCCAGGAGCCCAGAACTCAAATGGGGTCTCCCACATGGGTGACAGGGAACTGAGCACAGGAACCAAAGTCATTACCTGCTGTGTCCTGGGATACACATCAGTAGGAAGCTGGACTGGGGAGCAGAGTTGGGGCACCCACCCTGGCACTTGGCTACTGCCCTGAAAGCCCGCTTCACTGCTTCAGCTTTCTGATGAGCCTACAGGAATGGGAAACTCCAGCCCTGTCCGCCCCTGTGTGTTTGGTGGGCCACCTGCTCTGGCCCCTCTCCTAGCAGCTGGTGGTCCACCAACAGCAGCTGCTCTACCCTTCATGTCACTCCTCCCTGACTTCTAGCCTATGCATTTCTCTTTGAGATCTGTGGTCAGGAATAAATGACAGGGGCTCATCTGAAATGGTGATCAGGAAGGCAAGGGTGTCCCCAGGTAGGGAAGATAAGAACAAGTTCTTAGGGGCCTTTGTCTTGCATGGGGGCCTGGAGGCCAAGGACCTGCCTTTCCAGGAAGCAGTTCCACTATGCCCGGGTCCATGGGTGGGCGTGGAGGTGGAGAGGTGGCAAGTGGTCACACAGAAAGGCACTGGACTCAGGACTCTTGGGAAGGGAGCAGGGGATGGGTGGGCAAAAGGGAAAAAGCTGCGGCAAGGCACTGACGTTGACAAAGAAGGGGACGATCAGCATGACGATGGCCAGCTTCAGGTCGGGATTTTCAATGGGGTTCAGCAGGGCCACCTGCAAGAACACACTGGGTGAGGAGGAGGAGACTGCACACAGGGCTGCCCAGCCGACGGGGTCCCCTGGACACCATGTGGAACAGCTAGTGCTGTGGGAGCTTCCCCTTGGGGAGGGCTTGCAAGGTGCCAAAACTGCCCCGCAACTTGCAGCGTGACAATAGCCAGTGCTGCAGGTTCTGACCGCAAGGCTCCTGGATGCTTTCTAAGGGGAACCCTGTACTCTCAGCACAGCCCAGGCCCCCGAGCCTACGGGCAAGCCTGCCAGGTGGGCACATTCACAGGATCCCACCCCAAAGGCCAATGTGGGCAGTGAGTGTGTGTGTGTGTGTGTGTGAGAGAGAGAGAGAGAGAGAGAGAGAAAAGGGAGTGGGTGCTGAGTAAAAGGATGACACGTTACGCTGCTCCTGAGTAACCCATGTCAGATCAAACCCGGAGGACCCTTGCAGAGGGAACACCAGGACAGGGCTGGGCTCAAGTGGACAGGAAGTGCTGCTGGCTTGGCTCGGCTCGGCTCAGCACAGCTTGGAGCTGTTGATGCAGGCGTGGCAAGCAAACCTTCTTCCACTGCAGGAACAGGAGGACGATAAAGACGACAGACTTCTCAAAAATCATGATCACGATGTACAACGCGCACTGCCCGAACCAGGCTCCACACTGCAGGGGGTCTCCTGCGGGGATGTGAGGAGCTTGGTCACATGGCCACTGCCCCCCTTCCCCCTTCCACACCCAGAAGCCCTGTCTGGAAGATGCTTAGAGAGGTAGGCCCTTCCCGTCTCCCCCTCCCAGAGCCCTGACCGTCCCGTACCCCTAACAGGCAAACAAAGTAATTTGAGTAAAATCAGAGAAATCCTAATTTGGAGAGACCAGTGTGGCCCTTTCCCCTCTCACCCTCATGAGACTCTAAAAACAAAAAAAGCACTGAAGTTAGAAAATACCACTGTGCCCACTGCTGGGACACGCAAAGCTGGCCAAGAGAGGCCACGTGAGACTTGTAGCTATTATTATCTGTGTTTACTTTGGCCAGGCCTGATGCTCCGACTGACTGGCTCATACAGCTGGATTCTGAAGGCAGCCATTAACCTGCCCATGAGCCTCCCATCTTCCTGTGTCTGGCCACGTCTGGCCTAGGGCCTGAGAGCAGGAACTTGAGTCCAGAGGAACCCACATCACATCTCCTAGGGGCCACAACGAACTGCCCTGGGCAGGATACAGAAGAGACGAGACAAGCCCTGGACTGAGGCCTGGGAGAGGCTGTGACCAAGGCCTGGGCCTCATCTGTCCAGTTCTCATGCCTGAGATACTCTGCAGTCAGGCTGTCCACGCCAGGGACACCCAGGGCCTGGAGGATGTCTGGAGTGCTCCCAAGGGGGAAGTGGAAGAATAGGGGTAGGGGATGGTCCTGTGACGTGCAGACCCCAGGGCGGGGGCCTGTGAACAACACTCAAAGTGGAAGACCTGGAGGGAGATTAGTCACCCATAGCTGGTCCTGGACACTCTGTCAGAGCTGCCTGATCAGGAGGAGTGAAGGTGACATTTCAGGGGAGGGGAAAGACCCAGTGGAGGCTTTGGGAAGTGAAAGTGAGTGCCCACTGTAGTGGAGGCGCCACCCAAAGCCTGTGTGCAGCCCTAAGGCACACAGTGCAGGGCCATTCCCTTTTCTGGAATGGCCCAGAGGAAGGGGGTGGGGGTGCAGAGAGCCTCTGGGAAGTCCTCCAACTCCTTTCACTTTGTCTGGCCGGAAGTCACCAGCCCTTGAAGCACTGAGATTCCTGGATTGCATTCTCAGAATCAACAGGTAAAAAATTCTGGTAAAGCCATCAGGAAAAACAGTGGACGGGCAGCCAGGACATGCTACTGGCAAGCACCTCTGTTGCAGGGCTTGCCAGGGCACCAGGTTGACGAGCACGGGCTACTGCTGTTTATCAGCCAAGGAACATCCTCTTGCTCCTCACTTTCAGGCCAAGACCATCCCCAACCCCCAATACTCGTCTTCCTTGCAGGCCCAGGGACCCCAAGTTTCTGCTGCACTCAGGGCTGGGCTGTAGCTGCCTCCCTCAGCTACTTGGATGCTGAAGTAAGAAAGCTCCCAGACAGGGCAAAAAGTGGAAATCTCCACCCCAACACATCAGCTCCCCATGTGCACCTGTGGCCAGTCTCTGCAGACTTTCGCCTCATGGGGCAGCCTGTTGAGTGGGCTCCAGGCTTCATTTCTAAAGCACAGACGTCATCCATAACCCCAAGCGGCTGGGCGTTCTGTGCTTGCTGAATGATTCCTGCAGGACAAGCTGCAGGAGGGAATGTGGCAGGGGTGGGGTGTGGGGATGAGGAAGGGAGAGGCGTGTTGGGGTAGGGGCGAGGAGTGTGAGGATTGAAAGTGGGACAGGCAGTGAAGCCCCACTGAGCCTGTAGGACACAGGCCTGACCCTCTGACTAGCTCCAATCCACTTGCCCTTCAGGGCCATGTGACCATGTTCCCCTGTCCTGTGGCTTGTGACCTGTGTTTCCCTAACAACTGGGGCCTGTGGAGAACCTCTGATGGTACGCTAGGTACACTAGGTGCACTAGGCAGAACCCCAGCAAAGGTGGCCGCATACTGGTCCTGGGAGCTGAGAGCAAGGCTGCTAGGCAGCAGAGGCAGGGCAAGGGCACCAAGGGGTTAAGGCATGTGGGCCGTGGCAGCCATGGGGGCACTTCTATGTGAGAAGTCAAGGCAGCACCTTGCAAGGGGAGCCCAGGATGCTGCTGCTGGCCCTGGAGGCAGAGCTGGGCCCAGGCCAGTGCATGCAAGTGGGCTCTGGCAGCGGGCAAGGGGCAAGAGAAAGATCTATCGCCAGGGAGCCTGCAGCAGGCACTGTCCAACGGCCAGGCCTCCTCCACTCTCCTACAAGGAGAGCTGCCGCTGGCCCTCAGCAGGCTGTGGGGGCTTAAGCCAGTGAGCTTGCCATGCTTTGTCATAGCAGTGACAGAGGACAGTAAGAGAGATTAGAAGCTTGCCACAAGTGACTAGGCAATCCTTCCTCAGCCTAGGTGGGGGACACTACGCCGGGCCACACTGCACTGCTCTCATGGAATTGGTGAGGCCCTAAGGCCAGGTGGGTGAGCCGCCGTTCCATCAGGCAGCCATGGCAGAGTCAATGTTCATGGGCTGAGGGTGGTGATGGGAGGGCCTGGGTGTCCTGGGTGCAGAGGGCAAGATGCACCCTTCCCATCACACACTGGCTGGGTGAGCTCTGTGTGTCACCTGACTTTCCCAGGGATGCGTTCCGGGGATGGACAAAGATGCCCTGTGGTCTGTTTTTGCCCGGCCAGTAAGGAAACAACTCCTCCTCAGATGTCTCCCCAGGAGCAGCAGCTGTGTGCAAGACGCTATCTTAAGTTGGTGACTCACCAGCATCAAGTGGCTGGGCTAAGAAAAGCCCTTCCCTGAGCTCATCTCCGCACAGCGACACAAGACACAAACCGTTACTTCAGATCTCTAGAAATACACAAGACAGGGCTGCTGCCACCTCCCCCTGGAAACTGGCAGCTCCTGTATACCTTCAGCCATCTAGAAGAGAGTAGCCCTTGGGTCCTAAGGCCTGGACTTGTTGGGCAGTGGCCAGGAAGGGAGAGGAGGGGGTCCAAGATGCCACCCACCCCTGCACTGCCTGCTGCTGGTACCTCCCTCTCACCAGGGAAGGGGAGCTCCTGCCTGCGGACAGCTCGGGAAGTGGTCCCCGCTACCCCCTGCAGCTTGACCATGACCCGGGAGGGCACAGGAAGGACCTAGAGATGGCATCTCTTACCAGCAGCCCACACAGAGGCCACAGCAAGGGCCGGTAGATGGCAGTGTCCTCCCCAAGCTGTATCTTAAAACAGCAGTGGGTCCCTGCCGGGCCAGCACCTGGAGGTGGCCTGTTCTAGGATGTGTCACTGAGTAAGGATGGCCCTTGTGTCCTTGGTAACCAGTAGGTGCCAGAGACTGGGTGAAGTGTGAGCTGGCAGGTGAGAGGTGGTCAGGTGACCTGGTCAAGGACAGATGCAGCCTGCAGCCGTGAGAGCCACCTGTCTCTGACAAGGTGAGCTTCACGGAGAGGCAGACAGGCACCACAAAGTGGCCTCTCAACCATGCCAGCAGTGGGAGCACAGGTGCTACAGGTTGGAAGAGTACCCATCAGACCACCTCCCTGACTCCAGGGTGTCTCCCAACTCTGGCCACCATCCCTGCCACTGAGCCGGTGCCATATGCACAGGAGGATGGTGCTTGGGCCCAGAAGCAACCCTCTACTATGCAGGGGGCCAGCCAACAGCTGCTGAACTCCGTAGGGATCATGGAGCTAGCAGCCCCACCACACCCCACCCTGGTATCTAGGGTATGTTACCGTATTCGCCAAAGCGCAGGGACTCCCACTGCTGCCACTCTACCAAGACGCTGACGGCACGCACACCGGCATAGATGAGCAGCATGCCCACAGTGGCATCCAGAAGGAAGTTGATGAGGTACCTTCGAAAAAGAGGACACACCAGTGTGGTCAGAGTGAGAGCCCGTGGACCAGTCCCTGGGGTCAGAGGTCAAGGCTAATGCAACTGTGGCACGTTGTCCTGTAGGAACAGACGGGGCTCTGGGAATGGAGACGGGTGGCTCGTGGCCTTGAATGTGCCCTTGTACATTCCGGGGTACCATGAAGGTGTGCTAGTGTCAACTGGAGGTGAACCACTGTTAGCAGGGAGGGCACCGAGAAACTTGGCAATCTCATGTTCCTGCCAGCAGAAGGTCAGCAGGAACTGCTCTGGCCCCCTACCTTGGGAGTTCCTAGCAAGCAACACCTGTGCCTGTGCAGAACAAAACTTCACTGCCCACAGCAGGGGGCAAACTGACTGGAAGAGGAGAAGGCCTGGAGGGCATCCCTGCTGGCCACGTGTCCTGTGGTCTTTCTCTGGGCTGGGTCCTCCCAAGCAAAGGCCCAAGACCCAGATCTAGGTGACCATGGCTTACCATAGGCTATGGATCTCCCCAGCAAAGTGGGAGTCAGGGTCGTGGGTGTGGTGCAGACCCTCTGTGCCAGCCATGTGGAGACACAAGGCCAGGGTGTCCAGCTGCAGTGGGTTAAAACAGCTAGTATTGCCCAGCAGCCCCCCACCCTGACCTGGGTACTGTCATGGGGCTCCAATATCAGAGGCACAGGCCGCAATTGTGTCCCCAAAGCCAGCATAGATGGGCCTGGCACAGTAGCCTAACAGCTAAAGTCCTCACTTTGCATGCACCAGGATCCTATATGGGCGCCAGTTTGTGTCCTCATGACCTGCTTCCCACCCAGCTCCCTGCTTGTGGCCTGGGAAAGCAGTCGAGGACGGCCTAAAGCCTTGGGACTCTGTACCCACACAAGAGACCTGTGCTTCAAATCGGCTCAGCACCGGCTATGTGGCCACTTGGGCTATGAATCATTGGGAAGATCTTCCTCTTTGTTTCTCCTCCTCTCTGTATATCTGACTTTAAAAAAAATCAAAATCAAAACCAAAACCAAAACCAAAAACAGCATGGAGAGGAAGTGGGCAATGGTCTCTGGCTGCCTTTCCTCCAAGAAGTCACCAGGGGTCACTCTCAGACCAGTGACGGATGGACAGAAGAGCAGTTGGCCCGGCCTGTGGCTCTGTGATGCCTCATACACCTGAGTCCTCCAGGGACCCATCCCAATAGGCACATTGCTGTATGTTCATGTGCTTGCTCACTGTCACTTACAGAGCCTACTGTGCATGAGCTCTTGGGAATAAAACCAACACAGGCGGGCCTGGGGGACAGCAGGGCAGCCCGAGGGTCCCAACCCCTTGAGCTGTGGGAGCCTGTGTGTGGCTCAGTAACAGAATGGGATTGGTCACAGGACCTACATAGGGGGTGAGGGCCACCTGTAGCAGGAGTCAGGGACAGGGAGAGGAGGCAAGCCCTCCCAGCCACTCTGTCTCTACATGGAGACCCACTCAGACCTGTCAGCAAGCAGCACAGCGAGTCAGGGTGGGGCTGCAGGGCTGCACGGAAGGCAAGCGGTGCAAACTGAAGGGGGGACGCACACCCTCAGTTCCCAGAGCTCCAGGATAGGCAATGACAGATTCAATCTGTGTGTGTGGGTGGCTGGGGAACACGGGGGTACTAGGAAGGCAAGGTGCTGGTCAATTTCATCCCAATCCTTCCCCAAGCTGTGGGGCGCAGGACAGGCAGCAGGGGGCAAGACCAGCCTGGGTTCTCAGTGCAAGGCGCAGTGGTTTGCACTTACAGTGAGCATGGGTCCTCTTCGGTGAGGTCTGCCAGGTACACGTTGGCAAAGTGGATGAAGAGCATGCCAATGGCTTGTTTGGATGTGTCCAAGAACCTGTGCCGAACACAGCGGTGCAGGTTAGCGGTCTGGCAGGAGGGTTACCATCTGCAGAGAGTGCCAGCAAGTGGAGAAATGGTCTCCTTCCGATGAGCTCTTACTCTGGTGTGGGAGACCTGGATGGTTTTAGTCTGGCCAGCTCTGGTCATTGCAGCCATGTGGGGATCGGGGAGTGAATCAGCCAATGGAAGATCTCTCTTAACCAGATCCTTTACATCAGAACTAATTTCTCATTCCATCCCCTCCAACTTCAACAGTCCTTCCCCATACATCCCTTCCTCAATTCCCCCAAGCCTAATACAGTACAAAGCAGTCTAGGAATGAGTTACTAATTAAATACATACCATATCCTCCATGGCCGCCTTTCATGCTTTGGTTCTCTGAAGCGCTTGACTGGAAGAGAAGACAGACATCAGAGCTTTGCAAGGTGACAGCACAGAGCCGAGCGCACGGCACAGTGGCGCTGTCAGTCACTCTGCTGACTCTACTGGGGCCAGGTGTTTCCTCTCTCAGCCTCCAATGGCACACAGGAAGCCCAGGGCAGGCCTGGGGAGCCATGCACTGCTGATGGCTGGTGGAGGTTTTCAGAACTGGGCATGTAAGAAGAGCAGGCAGAGGACCCCAAACTTCCTTCAGCTTTGTGACAAAGCTATTTCAGCTAATGTCCTGCAGACAGCAAAGCAGAACTCGGCTGCTTCTACCCACACCTGTGCAGAGGGTGTGCTCTGAGCCTCTGTGGTGGAACAGGAATGTGGCCTCCACAGGCCCCTTCCCACGGAGGGACTGGGGGCTACATACACACACCATGGAAACCCAGGCAGGACATAAGGGTCTGCAGGGGACGTCCTGGCAGGGCCAAGGGCCAACAGCCAACTCCAGGGTCACTCCCTGCTGTTGGCTGTCCTGCTGGGAGGAAGGGGAATCTGCCCTCATGGGTACAAGACACAGGACACCTGACAGATCCTAACAACGAGGTGGCTTTTCCCCTGACACACACATGCCCCAGCAACAGCATGGCTGCAGGATGCTTGCACACAGTAATGGGTGATCATGTTATATAACCACAGAATTAATACACAGCGCAGCTACAAACATGACACATGTGGCTACACACTAGGCTTGTCATGCTGAATTAAAGCACCTCCTTTGGAAAAGATGAATGAATGGAGAGCAGGTAACATTCAATATTAGGTACTCTTAAAAGTGTCTCTATTTAGGATGCATATTTTCCAGTCTCTCTTCTTTCAGTTTTGTACTTAAGGCAGCACTAAGAGAAGCAGGTGCCCTGCCCCTCCAAACACCAGCAACCTTCCAAAACCTGCTCCCTTCCAGCGTCACGCCGGAAGCCACTCCCTCCACTCCTGCCACCTCCTGCCACACAGGACAGGGACTCGTGCTGGCTTCACATACTCAAAACCAGGACATTGTACTGCAGGAATTTCAGGAACCTTTAAAGTATAAAGAAGTGTCTTTTAACAGTCCTCAGAGAGTCACACCCCATGGATGGACTGCCTGCAGGCCTGAGCACCAATGTCCCTGACCCACATGGTCTGTGAGCCAGTCAGGCCTGGGGTGGGGTAGGGGTCAAGAACCCACTGCAGTTGCCAGGGAACCTGGCCTAATGCTTACACCTGTGGGATACCACAGGCCCTGCAGGGCTGAGCTGAAGGAAACGGGCACAAGGCTCTGAGTCTCGGCTCCACAGGCCAGCCAGGGCCTGGGGCCACCTGTGACAGCAGCAGAGGGAAGGTTCCCAGTGCTACTTGCAATGGCTCTTCTCCACAAATCGTCCCAGCCAGGGTCACACTGCCTCGTCCCTCCAAGCTGCATCCTTGCTGGTGGTGGGGCCTGCTTGAAGTACCAACGCAGCGGTGCCCCTTCCCACCCACCCCCCATCCTGACAGTCAGTCAGAACTCCAGACTTCTGTGTGTGCTCACGTCATGTGACACTCCCACACCGCTTGTGCTTGCAACACACCTCTCCCAGGGGCCAAGGGCCTGCTATGCCTCCTTGGGTGTTTTTGGTTTTTGGTTTTTTTGAAAGGCAAAGTGAGTGAGTCCCAAAAGGGGGGAGAATGAGGGTGACAATCTACCGGATCACTCACCAAATATCTCTAACAGCTAGAAATGCCCATCTCCTACGAGGGTGTCAGGGACCCAACTGCCTGAGCCATTACCTGATGGCTCCTTCTCATCCTGGCTCTCAGGGGACCATCTCCCTGATGACCTCACCTACAGGTGTGCCTGTCCCACCTCACCTGGCCCCTTGGCCTCCTTCCCGTGTTTGGTCTAGTTGTTCTTGAATGCTGCCTTCTCCCTACTGGGAAGTCAGCTCCCTGAGACCAGGAACTTCTGCTCCCTTTATCCCTGAGATCCTAGGATGTGGAGGGACCTTGACTCATGACAAACAACAAGTGGGGAACAAAGTGGTTCATTCTCTCTGTCCCCTGGGTGCTGGCCTGGTACCTGTTTTTAATTCCCTGAGAGCTATGGATTTTCAGGATGGGTTCTCCCACCAGCTCAGCTGGCGAAGCTGGGTCCTGCCATGGGGTTGAACAGCTTCACCTCGGTCAGACCGCGTGGACAGTTTGGCTGCCAGAAGACAGTGGTCTGTCCAAGCTCCCTGCTGAGGCAAGGTGAGCCGGCCCCCTGACTGCCTGGCCTGAGAAGTAAGCACCAGGTCATCTGGGTTGGTACCTAGCCTACATGACCACAACCCAGCTTTCCTCTGGGCCTGATGAGGTGCAGGCTGGAGGTTTACCAGCTTTCACCTTTCCGAGTGAGCTTCAGCTAACAGCTGAGAAAACAGTGGCCTGAGAAAGGAAGAAAAGGGGCTAAACCATCTGGCAAATAAACAGGCTGAATGGTCCATGTGCAGCCCTCCTTTAAGCTGCGACTTCCCCAGGGAGTAGGGCTGTGGAGCCATCTGCTGAGGAGGGCTGGGAGCCATCACCGTGTCCACAGCCCTGGGGGTGGGGGGTGGGGAATCCTGTGGTCACCTAAACACACAAGGAGATGCGAAGCCTTAATAACATGGATGTGAAAGATGCAAATGAGTCATGATTTTTTTCACCCAGATTTTCTGCAAGTAAAGCCTCCAGTAGTGCGTGGAGGAGCAGGTGCACCTGACTGAGCTGCTGAAGGTGAAATCAACTGTACCACTATGAGGGTGGGTAGTGGACCTGCGGGCTGGGTCCCCAGGACTGCCTGGGGTAAGGGACCTTCAGTTGGTGTTAGGTGGCTTTGGTGATCCAGGAGCGTGTAGGAAAAGGACTCCAGGGCACAGGATTTGACCGCAGTGGAGAGGTACTGGACTCGGCATGTGTTTCCTGACACAGCCTTGCCTCTGAGTGTAAGTTTCTCCTAAAGCTGATGGGATCCCCAAGAGTTGATGGGCTATCCAGGGAGGGCCTGACCCTGTGACCAGAGTCCCCAGGCCCTCAGGGTCCAGAGAACTCACAGAGAAACGCCATCTGTCTCTGCCTGCTGACCTGTGTTGCCCAGATGCATTTAGGAGCTTCGCTCCGTCTCAGAGAGGACAGAGGTGGGGATGTGTGTTTTCTCCATTAATCCACAGGTTGCCCGAAAAGTAACAAGTTGCAGCAGGTGTTTGGGCAGTATCTATTGCAGTCTTCAATGTTTAGATACCGTGACCCAGAAAATCCATGTCTAGAATTTTCCTCTCCAGTTACACAAATGTCCACAGGTCTGTGTGGAAGAGTGGGAAGTCTTCCCCAGCACAGATGGAAATCCACAGCCCCCCGTGGAAACATGGACTCTGGGAGTCTCTAGGGCGGAATTACAGCAAACGCCAACCACTCCCCCCTGGCCTTTCAAGCTGTACAACTCCACACTGCTCCAGTTATTTACAGTAGAGTAGAAGTAATAACTTCTGCTGCAAAAAATAATAATTAAAAAATGACTGAATTACAATTTTGCACATTAGTTAATTAATAGCCTTTTTCAAATCCAACTCATTTGGGAAATTCCCCTCTGAGAGAGCAGCTTCCAGCAGACAGAACCCCCTGGAGATGGAACACGCACCCCTTCTGCCAGAGCTGTGGGGGTCTGGCTCTGCACATGGCCCCAGGTGTTCGCAGGCTGCTCAGGGCCCGGCATACTGGCCCAAGGGCTTCCCTTCTGGCTCTGCTGGTTCATCAGAGTCTGTTACAGGGTCTTTCAGCAAACAAGCAAAACAACCCCTTTGACTGTGCTAAGAGGCCTCGGTTAAAGGCCTGCTGTCCCAAAAGACTGACTTTCCTTGCAACCTTGTGGCTAGCCAAACCCTCAAAGATGCTGACCCAGAGCCTGAGTTTCTCAGGCCACTACCCAAGCACAGAAACTGACTCTCAATCTAGGCAAACATTTGTCTCTGTGTCACAGAGGGGTCAGAGGGGACACCCACTGGTCCCGCTGCATGGGATAGCTGAGCTGCAAGACACAGACTGGATTTCCATCTTTGTAACCCACAGTTCCAGCAGAGGGGGCACCTGCCCCTTTCTACATTGATGCATCAGTACGCTGCTGAGTTCGCAGTAATGGATGGAGCCTGGCCTTGGGTGAAGCCCAGACTTCCATGCAGCATGATCAAAAGTCAAGAAAAGCACCCCAAAGGCCTGGCACAATGGCGCAGTGGCTAAATCCTCACCTTGCACATGCCAGGATCTCACATGGGTGTCGATTCATGTCCCAGCTGACGCACTTCCCTTCCAGCTCCCTGCTTGTGGCTTGGCAAAGCAGTGGAGGATGGCCCAAAGCTTTAGGACCCTGCATCCACATAGGAGACCTGGAAGAAGCTCCTGGCTCCTGGCTTTGTATTGCCTCAGCTCCGGCCATTGTGGCCATTTGGGGAGTGAACCACTTTTCTAATTCTTTCTCTCTGTATCTTCTTTTCTCTGTAAATCTGCCTTTCCAACAAAAATTAATAAATGTGTTTTTTAAAAAGATTTATTTTTATTTGTAAAGTCAGAGATATAGACAGGATATAATACATCCAGTCCTAAATGTCAAGGTACAACGGAGAACGCACGGCCACCAAAGTTCCTTGGCACAGGGCACAGGCCACAACAGGACTCGGCAGACAATCTCTGCCTGCAACTGTTCTAACATCACCCTTAGTTCAGCTTAGGTCCTCGGGCAACCCTATCCCTGCCTCTGCCAGCAGCAAGTGGGGAGGAGGACACAGTTTCCTAAGAGTGGGCAGCAGACCACCCCCTCCCCTGGTCACCTGCTCTGGCTGCTGCCCCAGGCTCCATGCCCAGCCCAAGTGGCATGATGTTGGTCAGGAGACCTGGTCCACAGCTGGGAAGATTCCCCTTCTCAACAGGCTCCCTAGACAAAGCAATGTGCCTGAGTCAGCAGTATTGTAGCAAGGGTGCTCAGAGACGCACCCA